CAAGTCCTTGCTTGTGTTGGTGCCATCTTCTAGAGGTTTTAAAACTTGCTGTGCCTGCTCTTCCGTGCACCTGCTCTTCCTTTTGGCTTTCTTGCCCAAGGCTGCATGCTGATAGATATGTATCTTTCTGGGTCATTTTCATTACTCATCCGCAGAACTTTTTTTCCCCGTGGTTAGACAGCGTGAAGCTGAACTGTGCATATGCAGGCTGAATTTATGTTGTGGGTAGGTCATGGCATACTTAAATTGCTGGTGAGTTTGCTCAGTTCCAGTTTCTCTTCAAATAGGATATTTAGCAATTTTGGGACACTTTAGCCCACTTGGGTGACTGAATAAGATTATATGAATTTATTTACAACCACTAGAGAATCTAAAAACTCCTGGAGAAGTCATGATGATTAGAAGGTCAAAAGTTTTGGCTGAAGAGCTTATCCCCACTGTGGGCTCTGCATGTTTTGGAGCACAGTTCTCACAATCCTCAATCATTGGCCATGTTGGCTGGGTGTGATGGGAGTTGTAGTCCAACACCATCTGTGGACTTAGCATTTTGGAAAGGCTTCTCTAAAGGGTCAGGTAAATATATTCCCCTCTCTAAAGAAACGACAACACAAACTTTACTGAGCCAGTCTCTAGACAGACTTGTTATTTGGTCCCAACCCTATGTGGTACTGAGAAAGTGGAAGTGCCACCACCAGGAATTGCCAGAGTGGTGCTTGCTGAGAAGATGTGGAGGGTGTGGGAAGAGTTAACCCCACATTCTGTCCACCAGTTTCCCATATGAGCTGTTCTTCTGCAATTAAAGAGCTGCATGTAATGGTGTCTGTATCAATTTTACTGGCTCAGGCATAGTGTGTATACAGAATTATTACTACTCTTCAGCAAAATACACATATACCTGGGGGGGAGGTAGGTTCTTTGCCCTATGTGTAGCAATAGGAAAAGAGAGTCCATTACTCTAGCAGAGGAACAAGAGAGACCCTCCCGTTGGTCACTAGGAGGCAATGCGCAAGCAATATTTTCCCTCCGACCATGTGAACTAGAAACTTATGTTTTTTAAAAATGTACAAAATAAAAGCTGGGCTTCACAGTTGGGTATGCTAGTGTCCAGCTTTTACAGTTTACATTGCAACCTCTGATGTATAGAAAACCTCTACTCATATGGATACATTGGCTTTATAGAGAGAGGGCCTTCTAACATGACCTTTACCTTTTGGTGTTGTTTGCTTACCACCAGCATGTGTGTACTTAAAACTCTGTATTGATGGCATGTACATAAGATTGCATCTTTTATGCTGTCGTACATTAAGGCTTACTTTTGAAAGTACAAGCCATCCTTGGCCATGCTGACTGAGGATGATGAGACTTATTGTCCAGCCCATCTGGAATGCACCAGCTTGGAAAAGGCTGCCAGTGATTATTGTCTACTTCTGCCTTCACATAAACATGATATGGCCTAGAACTGCTAATCCCAGGCATGGGAAGGGTTGATTTGAGGAAAGACCCTGAAAATATCAGGAGAAGGTACTGTTTTGATGAGGAACAGCATGGGGGTGGGAGTCAGTGGTGCCAGGGCTTCTTCACTGTCTAATCCTCGGTTCCTTTGTACTTGGCCAGGTGCTGTCCGAGCCGTGGCGCCTCTCTACTAGCCAGACTCCCATTCAGCAGATAGAACTATTTGACCTCCAGAACCACCCAGACTACATTTCTTGCGGGGGTGGATTTGGGCCGGTGAGTGGAGCAGGAATTTTTGGTCCTTTGAGGAAGGAAAGTGGAAGCATAGTGACTTTAGAGATGGAGGGCGGGGTTCGTTGGAGTGTGTGTAAGAACCATGCACACTTCTGGGTTCTCTAGGGAAAGGGAAGTAGAGGCCTACTCTAAGTATCTGTTTTCCTATCCTGGGATGGAGAAGGATGGAAAACAGATATACTTAGTGACTTAGAACTAAGGGCAGGCTTGGAGAGCCAGGACTCCTGATTTTCTAGGAATACTTTATTATTGATTGATTGATTGATTGATTGCAAGCATTCATATCCTGTCCTTCTGACAAGTGCTAAGGATGGCGTACACAATATAAAATTACAATAATATAATAACAAAACCACAATTATTAAAACAATGTAAAACAGCACATCATAAACTAAGAAAAAAGAAAAGGGAGGAAAAGAATAGAAAATGCAACTGGGGAAGGGGGGGAATCGTAAAACATTTAAAACTCTTTGCCTGGCACTGGCCTCCTATGAGAAATTATGCATGTTTGGAATTAGAAGTCCTGTCTCATGTTCCTTCTCCTCTTCCCTCCACCCTGGGACAGGTTGATGATAATGGGTATGGAGTGTCATACGTAATTGTCGGTGAAGATCTCATCAATTTCCATGTGTCGTGCAAATGTTCAAGTAAAGAGACAGTGAGTACAGACTGTTATGCTTCTGCAGGAAGAGAGGAGAGGGAGGGAGGGACACCTTGACATTTGGGCAGGAGGCAAAGCCCACCAAGCGTCTTACATGCCGTGCTAGAGACTTGGCATTGGAATCGGGAAAGATTTATTTCCGAGATCAAATTGCTTAATGGCTTTGGGTCTTCTGTTTTCTTTCCATGGTTTGTTTGCTTATGTCTTCTGGAAGTGTTTGTGGTGCACCTTGTCCCTTCTCCTTTCTACTTCTGGCACCGTGGAGGCCTGAAATGGACTGTGTGAATGGTCCTGGCTTGTGGAAAAAAACGTATGTGTGCACCTTCCAACCCTGATTCTCTGTTGAACTTCTGTAACCCAACTCCATGGAAACTTTCCTCCATATAACGATTTCTAGCTGAATATTTCAGATTTTCTAATTTTTTAATTCACACGCTGAGGTATACTTATAAATGTGTCAGGTTTCTAGATCTCCTCATCTTTCCTCCTTTTCTCTGCAGAATGCACACCGGTTTGGATTAAACATTCGGAAAGCCATGACGGACATCTTGGCCCTATTTCAAGTAGACAAAAATGCCTCTGCCAGGCATAACCAGTGACTGAATAAATGCCAACAGGATTATACAGGCAGCCACATAAGCACACTTGTTGTGTGTGTGTTGTTCTCTGATCTGCAGGGACATTTGGAAACAAAGTGGGTAGGTGGGTGGGATGCACAAAGGGCCTGGAATGAGGATTCCTACAAGCACAACGGAAGGGCAAGATATTCTCCTGCGTTGGATTTGGGGATTTGAACTCTTTGGAGGATACCACAGCCAGATATGGCAAGTGACACTCACTCTTTGAAGTAATACCTCCAAGTTTCTAAGGTCTTATAGGTCTAATTGATGAGTCTAAGAGCCTAATCTTGTGGGTTTTTTTGGGGACTATGTGTGGATGGAGAACAGTGGCTGGATCAGAAGAGCCTGGAATCTGGGAAGGCTGGTTTCTTCTAGGCTTCTGTTAATGGCTGTCCAGGCTGTTTTGAAATTGGTTTCTTCATCCTGCTATCTCTAGCAGCCAAGAGTCTCTTCTCCTTTCACACCAGCCACCTCAGACTACAGCAGCTGGCTGTGTCTCCCTTCTTGCTGCTTCAGTTTTGAAAGATCAGTCCATGTGGCTGCCATGGTTACCCGATTCACATAAGGCACTACAGATGGAATGATGAGTGACATAATGCGAGGAATGTAGTTTCTTATTTCTCCCCCACCCCAACCCTCAATTTCTAGGGTAATAGGAATCTGAATAAATGTAATGCAGGGGGAAGTGATCATAATTTTATTGCAGGGTTTTATAGAACAAGAAATGCCTTTTGGGGAGGGGGAATGAAATGGGCTAATAAGGAGAGGCAAAAGGAGATATGCCTTTTTTCTCATTTTGGTTTGTTAGCATTCATTACAGGCCTGAATAAAGCCACAGGGTGGGAGATCGTACAAAAAGCAAGAATGTGTGCCCTTTGTGAGCTGAGGGGAGGGCACTGGATAGTGGTGATGGGGGGCACATGAGTGTGTTTATGGACCAAGGGGAGTTGAAGGGTCACTTAAACTTTGGAAATCCGTGATACCTTCCTGTTTAAATCGTTCTGCTCCTGAGAAATGTGTGGTGGACTGTTCCTGATTACCTGGAGAACTCTGATCATTTATCTCCTCCAAGTCTGAAGCTTAAGAGTTTTGGCTTCATTTAAAACTGGGATTGAGAACGTTTTCAGCCCAAGGGTTAACCAACAGACTACTATTGTTGCTGGCATTCTATGAAATGGGATAGCAATAGATTGCATCAGGTTCTGGTGAAAGAGCTGCAGGGTAAGACTTTGGATGCGAACATGAGGGTACTGCAGCATTATTATGGAAGGGAACCACCTGATTAGAATGCTTAGTGAGTTAAAAATGCAGACATTTCACGTGTTTAGGATAAAATTGCACAGCTGCCAGGTTTGTGGCCAGGCACCCAGATTTTCTGTCTGTAGCAGCTCCCAAAAGCTCTTCTACTACTCTGAGAGCAGAATTTCTTGGCAAGATTGAAGCAAGCCCTTCAATGTCTATATTGATACTACATCTGGACTAGGGCTCCATGCAGACACTCTAAACGAGTCTGTGGGGAACCAAGCATGTAGTGTTGCCCCAGATGTTGCTGGATTGCAATTTTCATACACCCTACTGAGCAGGGCCAGAGATCAGGGATGATGGGAGTTGTTGTCCAGCAACATGCAATGTGCTATCACAGGTTCCTTGCACCATCCATCCCAGCAGAGGCCACTGGGAATGGAGGAGAGGCATGCTGTTTTTCTGCTGGCTTGACTCTTACTTCCTGTTCTTCTGTACTTGCTTGACAGGTCAGAGGCAAAGCAGGGTCTTTCAAAAGTATATCATACAAAAGAAAGTTTGCCCAAGGCTCAACTCACTCCTGAACCACTGTGTTGGAATAGCATTAAGAGCCAAAGAGCATGACACATTCAACATGTGGCTACAGTATAGGGTCCTGTTTTGAAGATGGAGGAGCCACTTCTAATGAGACCAAAGCTGCAGTGGAGACACAGTTGGTGGAAATGGCATACCTAACCCTTTTCCCTACTTTTAATTTTACCCTAGAAAGACTCTCACTGACAGGGTTTTTTTTTTTCATTAACATTCCCTGCATTTGAATTGAACCTCGGGCAACAGAGATTGATTTGGTGCATGGAATAGCAAGCAGATGAAGGTTAAACACTCATGCTTGACCTGCCACTTAGAATCATAGAATAGTAGAGTTGGAAGGGGACAAGAAGGCCATTGGGTCAAACTCTGCTCAGTGCAGTACACCAATTCATATCTTCCCACTCACTTGCATCTTGAAAGCCTCTAGTATGGGAGAGCCCATAACCTCTCTAGGTAATTGGGTTCCATTATTGCACTGTTCTAACAGTCAGAAAGTCCTTCCTGATGTTTATTGGGAACTTGGCTTTCTGTAACTTGAGCCTGTTATTCTGCATCCTGCACTCTGGGATGACTGAGAAGAGATCTTGTCCTTCCTCTTTGTGGCAGACTTTCAAGTACTTGTGGAGTGCTATCATATCACCCCTTTTCTGCTCTTTCCTCAAAAAGAATGGCAGGGAACATGAAACATGTGGCTTGGTTCTTAGCCCACTATGCATATAAAATGCTATGCCCCAGCATGTAAACTCCTCTGCCAGTTCCTTAGCATCTCCACCTATCTTTCCTTTGGGTTGGCAGTGCAAAAACTTTAAACAAGGCCCCTCTGTTCATCTGGAAGGTTGTCTTCTGGAACCTATTTTCCAAAGAAAACAGTATCAAAGGAAGTCATGGCCATTTTTCTCTTTTATTGGGGGTCACGATTTAGTTCAGCAGGGCAAGAGCTCCTTTTGGTGAGAGTTCCAGGAGGAGCTATGGAGGTTGCTGGGGACTGGAGCACTCCTTCCTGGGAGACGAGGGAGAGCTGTGAATGGAGGGAAGTCAGCTTGCTCTGAAGATAATCCAGATTGGTGGCTTTATCCCTGCTAGAAGGAAGGAGAAATAACTCATGAGAAAGAAGGCTCTTAAGGTCACAATCCTTTCAGGATGCCCATTAGTCCCCAAACTTGGGGGGTTTGCGGGTATCATCACAAAGTGGGAGGAGTGGTAGAGCTGATCTTCACCTCCCTAACTTCCTGCTTTGCATATCCAAGAGACAGGGTGAAAGAGATCGGCTTTTTCATGCTATTTATTTGAAGAAGGAAGGAAAGATGCTGGAATGATTTCAGGGTATCTCATTTCCTGGTTGTTCCAGTTGTTCCTCCCCAAACTGCCCGCTGAACTGCCCCATTACCTCTCTCTGAGATTTCTTTTCTGATATTGGAGAGCAGCCAGTTCAGTTCTTTCCAGGTTAGGTCCAAGAGGGAGGGGGAAAGGAAACAAAGCTCTGGTCTCCAGCCTCTGATCTGGAATCCAAAAAATCCCATGGCACCTCAGGGATTGTCCAGGGGCCATAGACTTCCCAAGTTTTCTTAATTTGCCATTCAGCCATCTTGGATCCTAACTGGCAGAAAGCCTTACCATTCCTGACCCCAATTAAAGTTGTCCTCTCGTGGCCTCCCTATCTATAGCACTTGCACTGTCCCTTTCCTGTTACCATATTAAAGCTAAACTCAGTGTGGCACCAAATGAATGGTGGTGATTTTAATTAATATTTGTTGCGGGGTGGGTACTTTTGTCAGATCCACGGCGTATGTGGAGTGAGGGATGGGGTCAGTTCTTCCCTTGCTACACCTACTCTCACCCCACCTGCTCTTAAAGGATAGGCATCAGTGTTGCAGTCAGAATTGTCCCTAAAAGAAAATACAAGGAAAAGGAAAAGTAGCTTTGCTTTCCCTCATCTCACTGAAAAGGAGAGTCCCAGGATTTATTTTTAATAGTTGTATTCCTTGGAGTAACCTAATGCATTTTGGCTCTGTATCATTCCTGGGCCTTCAAGATTTTTAAATGCAGTCTGCAGAGATCTCCGGAAAAAAAGATGTCTCCAAGATTAAATTCTGTGGCAAGTCACAGAATTTAATCTTGGTAGCATCATTTTTTCAAGGCCAAAATACACTGAGTAACTCTGAGGAATAAAACTCAATTTTTTCATTATGGGACTTCATCTCCCCTTTTCATCATGTGATTTTGGAGGTTTGACCATTTTTTTTCTGACTTTGTTTCTCCTCAGCTCAAACTTAACTGTTTTACTTATTGGGGTTTTAGAATCATAGCTGTGGATGGAACCTCAGAGGTCAGCTAATTCAGAGCTGGACAGAAAGTAGGTCTCCAAAAGTTCTGGACTTCATTTCCTAGTGTTCCTGAATTTGGGCCATAGTGCCAAGGGATTTCTGTGAGTTGAGGTCCAAAATCTCTGGGGACCTGCTTTCTCCTAACTTTGGGATCAATCATTTTAAAGCTCTCATGAGCTTTAATCTATTATTATTACAATTCTATACCACCCGTAGCTGAAGCACTCTGGGTGGTTCACAAAAGGATATAAAAACAATAAAATATAAAACATAAAACAGCATTTAAAACATTTTAAAAGTTAATTAAAATAACATTAAAATGCATTAAAATACAATAAAAAAGAGCTAGCCAAGAAGAAAGGGAAAAGGCACCTGGGTAAACCCATCAGGCTTCTGGGTGACCAGGGAGATCTTTAAAGGTCTCCACAAAGAGGACTGCCTTAACCTGGTGCCAAAAAGATAGCAATTTTGGTGCCAGGTGGGCCACAGCAGAGAGGCTGTTCCAGAGGTGGTGGGGGGGGGGGGTGTCACCACCCACCGAACTTCTCAAGGGTTTAGCACCTGGAGGAAGGCCTTGAGGTTGAGTGTAGTGTCCAGGTAGATCAGGGATGGGAGAGGGCACTCCCAACAGGTATTGTGGTCCCAAGCCATCTATTCAGATGTCTTTAATCTGGTGACAGCCCTAGTTAATACAGCTACCCTTTGCATCAGTTTAATTATGGGGGTGGTATGGTTTTTTAAAAGGTTTGGTTCCAGGGACAGAGAACTCGTTCCTAAGAATCTTTCATGGACCTATGGAATGGGCAGGGCAAGGAAGGTGACACTGGTGGATGTTTTCATGTTTACTCACTCTGTATTGATCCTTGCCCGCTCCAGATAGTTCTTGGCTCTCAAAGCCTCATCCTGGGCCAAGCGTACATTCGAACTTAGCGCCTCTGCTCGTGCATGAGTATCCAAGGCCGACTGTTCCAGATCCTGCCTCCCGGTGATTGGAGCAATCGGGATAAAAAGAGAGAGAGAAGGAAGGACTACAGAGCACATCACCCAACTGGGGAGGAGTAGGAATGCAGCACAGACAATTTAAGCAGTTTAAGAGAGTTGTGTTTGCAGTCGTGATCATTAATTTCTGCTATCACTTTGGCAAGGAAGATCAGCATAAAGCATTTTTGGCACCAGGGCAGTCAATGGACAACTTCTGGGGTTTAGAAAGAAGAGTAACCCACACATGTGGGCTACATAAGTGGTTGGGATCAGGACTCTTATGTGTCAGGACTCACACATTCACATAAGACCTTTCACTCGCATTCACTCTCATAACCTGACCTTTCATTCACTCTCATAAGACCTTCTGTCTGTTTCTTTCATATAGACACAAAATCGCTGGCGTGAGGCTTTAAACATGTCCCCTTTCCATGATCCCAGTTGCTGTAATGGTCAGGTTAAAGCCTTGCTCCCCAGGCTGCCAAGCAAGAGGTGAACAGCTCATCTTGATGCTGGGATAAGCATTGCTGCTGGGAAACAAGCTACACGAGCCGAGAACTGGAACTGCTAGAACTAGTGACAGCAGAAACAGAGGGCATTGTGGTAGGGCAGGGTTCTCACCCACGCAGCCTCCAAGGGACCTGCAGAGTGGGCTGCAAGGCTTCTACACATGCACTGGGGATATGAATGCACAAGGTTCTACTTGAGATTATGGAGAGATCACAGCATGCATTCAGCTGAGATGCTGCTGCTTCAGTGGTATCCCTGCACACTTCTCTCTGGTGGCTGTGCAAATGCAGCATCAGAAGGAAACGGTGGCTAGGCCCCAGTTAATGGGAGATGCTGGGAGTAGTATAGGTATAGTGCTGAAGATGACCTAGGCTACCAGGTGATTTACCAGGGTCTGCTGGCCCAAAGAATGCAAGCACTAAAAGCTACTATTTTAGCAGTTCCAGCACAGGATTGCTAGCGCAGCAGGAGGCAATGGCAGTCACTGGCCGTCTGGGCTGGTCTACTATTTTAAAGCCTGCTTCAGTTGTTTTCCTGTCAGGCATATATTGGCTGCTGGAAACCTAAATTGTATGACATGTCTTTGGCAGGTACCTGCTTGAGTAAAGTACTGCTCACATATGGTTTAGGTTATTTAAGGGGAGACTGTGTGGGTGTGCTTAATACACAAGGGACTAGCAAAATGGTGAGGCAACCATGGCAACCAAAGCACCAGAATTAGGGGTGAAGCAGGACTCAGTAGTCTCCTGGAAGGCAGAGGAATGTGTGCCTGCCAAAGAGGAGCCACATGAAAACTGTTGGCAATTATAGGCCAGGAAACTGGGTGGAAGGGATGTTCTTTAATATAGATTCAAGCCCTCGTGTGCAAGCAAAGCAAGGCTCTTGTTTAAGCCCTGACAGCTAACAATGTCTGAGGGTACCTCCTGTCTGAAACTCTAAAGAGCTGTTGCAACTCCATGCAGGCTGGGCTTCCTCATTCTAGTGGCCTTCAGATGTGTTGGATCACAAATCCTGCTGGCCATGCGGGCTGGGCTGCATAGGAGCTGCGGCCCAACACATCTGGAGGGTCAGAGAAGACTGGTATAGGCAATATTGATGCCCTAGAAGGATCAGTGGTTTGACTCTGTATAAACAGCTTCCTTCCTTTCTAGAATATACTTAACTATTTGGAATAAGGCATCAATAAATTACTGCAGAGGCTTTGCTTAGCAGACATGGAGGTGATTGTGCTTTAACAGCAGACTTGCCAGAAGGAGGCTTTATCTTATCATCATCATCATCAAGCTTTGTCTGGATTCCTCAGTGCTCACAGGCTGGGCTGGAGAAGCAACTGCGAAATGCTACCTGTTAAGCTACAAGGCCCAGGACAGATCGAAATTAGTGCCTCCCGTATCCGCGCTCCTGTGGCTCCCCTTCTGCACTTGGACATTTCAACTGCGTGGTTCCTGCTGCTGGAGCTGATTTTCTCTTAGCACCCACCCCAATCTAGACACGGCATCTAAGGTATACTAACAGTAAGCCCCAGAGTGTAAGATTTTTTTAAGCTGCAGCCGCCTCCATGCTGCACAAAAGTCATCTTGATGAATGGGACAAAACATAGCAGTCTTGGTGCAATCCTATGCATGCCTGGTCTCATTGTCTTCAAGTTAATATACTGGACTGTAGCCTAAACATTTCAGAAACCAAGCTTTACGATAAGAGAAGGGGGTGAAATCTGGAGGAGACACATTTGCATATTCATACAAACAGCCTGCTACACAGAAGCGCCACATTCTGTCATTCAGAAACATAAAAATGCACACATGGAATAAAATTACAAGGAAAAGGCAGGGCTAGGTAATTCAATATCTTTTAAATACCTTCCCTCACCCCTGCCCCTGTTGCAAAGCAATGCATTTATAATGATCCACAGATCCAGGAAGGTTAAAAGGCAAACTGTTCGCATTTTTCATTTATTTCATTACCCAACCCCAACATCCTTCCTGTTAGACAGGGTCATTATTATTCCCAGGGAAATGGAAGCAAACAGGAGAGAGCAATGTCAGTGAGTGCTTCCAGATGAGGCTGTAGGCAGAGACTATGCCAGGGAGCTCAGTGGCAGAACACCTGCTTTACATGCAGAAGCTCCCAGCCTCAGTTCCCAACATGTCCAGTTAAAGCCAGCTGGTGATGGGAGAGACCCCCCCCCCTGAAACTGTGGAGGACTGCAGCCAAACAGAATAGACAATGCTGGGCCAGTGGCTTGACTCCATCTATGGCAGTTTCCAGAATCCACAGCTTAGGCAGGACCTGAACCCAGATCGTTGAGGCTCAGGGCCAGAAGGATGCTCTAGGGAGGCTGTGCTCTGGAATCTTTTTATTGCAGGGCAGGGGGCTCCGGGGTTGGCGTACTCTGTGCCTCACGGTACCATTATCTTCTTCTGTAAGCGCTGGCAGCTGGGGCACGTGCCTGGGGGTGGGGCCCTCTGCTTCAGTTCCTCCAGGATGGGCGCCACAGCATGCTCCACCATCTGTCGCAGTGCATCTGTGTTCACAAAGCTATAGCTGTGGCCAGTAATGGGGTAGAGAGAAGGAAGAGGAGATACAGAAACAGTCAGACACTCATGACTTCTTTATCTGATTTGATAAGAAAAAGGGATGGGGGGTAAATTATGATATTAAGGAAATCTTCACAGATATGTAGGTTTTCTGCAATGAAAGCGAGAGGGGCAAATCCATTACGTCTAAGATAATGTGATCATTTTGCACACAGAAAACAGCCTCACATAGTATTAATATAAAACCAATAACTGAGCTTTTGAAGTATTTTGGGGAATGAGGAAAGGGGGAATGGTTAATTAGGAGGAGATAAGGCATGATAAATAGGATGTAGCTAAAGAATTAGATCAAAATGTTAATACTAATAAAGAGTGGAGCCATTTCAATCAGTAGGGCTTGAATTAGTCATGAGTAACTTACACTCATGAAGTCACATTGATTTTAATGGCTCTACTTCAAGTGTGACTAAATCTGGCTCTAATGAGGCATCTGTGGAATAGAACCAGGAAGGCACAAGAGAAAAGTATTACACCACGTCAGACCATGTGGTTCTTATTCTTGTAAACACACATGCCAGTTCAGTGAAGACTAGCTATATAATTCTTTTCTTAAATGAAAGCAGTCTCAGAAATCCAAACTTTATACCACATACTGGATTCTTTTTTTCAGAACTGCAAGTCTGTTCTGGCAACTTGAACAAGAATAACCAATCATGTGAATAGTCTATTTGCTCAAGTAATATCACCCCTTCTCTTCTGTGAACTGGAAAATTGCAAAGATATACCAGTTCATGGAAGAGGAGAGGAACAATCTTGATTGTGCTTGCAGCTCTGACTTTAGAATGCTGACTTGTGCATGCTGCTTGTGTGAGCACTTTTTTCCCTGTTTGTAACAGTTTGCCACTGGCGTATCATTAGAATAGCTTTGCAATGGACTTGAAATCAGAGAAACTAAACCCTTCCACCACCCAGGGAGGATCTATACTAGAACTCCTTTTGCGGACAAGGTACTCTTCTACTGACATTTTCTGAAATACAGTTGTTGCTCTGAGGGGACATACTAATAAATACTGATGAACACAGCACAGCATCTATTGTTTATAATGCAACACACCACCACACACAAATGAGGAGTATGCTGCCATCTTAGTTCCCCGCACTCTCATCCACTGACTGTATGGGCACCTTGGATGGTATGCAGCAATGGAGGTTTAAAAATAAATTATGTGGTAATTCACAGCTTTGCAGCTGTATACATGCACAGCCAAAAATAGTCATATACCAAAAACACAAACCAACCCAGAAATGAGATAAAAATGAAGGGACTCGGGAGGGGAGAAGTTCATGATGCCATTTTGGGTGCTTGTTCTTTCCTTTTCACAAACTCATAAAGATCGTTGCAAGGAAAGAGTAGGGACTAAAAGGAGAAAGACATGACAAAGGAAAGAAATTGGGGAAAACGTTGCAAAATACGTTCTACAACTATGTAACTATAAAGCCATTGCTAACAGTAAGAGTTATAATACTGCTAGGATGAATTACACATCTTTGTAGCTCATGCAAACTGCAAGCCCTACAAAACCTGTCATAACAGTATTTTAGGAAACAGAATATTGAGGGGAAAATAGCATTAGCACAATGGCTTAGGGGAATATCTTGTATATTGAACTATTGGGGTGAAATGCCTGTGCAAAGTAGCCCTCAGACTCCTTGCCTCTGCCCTCATTTGGCTTAGTCTTGGCCTCCTTGCCCCAGGTTGGTGTATACTTCCTTGACCATGACACACATATGCCCTGTTGTGTCTGAAGGGGCACCTGGAACATCTGGCGCAGCTGGCAGGGAGTCTTTCAGATGTCTCCAAGGCCTTGAATGCTGAGAGGTGCCGGGAGACATCTTCCAAGAGAGGTTTCACTTGCCACAGCCCATCCAAGTCAGCACGGAGCTGAGTGAGGGACACCGACGTTCGCTTTGCCCTGGAATGGGAAGGAAGGTAACAGGCAGTTGACCTTAAGCACGATTACCTCCACAATTTCCAAATGCAGTACATTAAAAGTGCAACTTTGCACACTGTGTAAATTGTAGTGTTGCTAAGACTGGGGCAACCAAGCACCTTGTTTTGCGATGCCCATCGTCCAGGAAGTAGGCAAACACAAACATATCATCTTCTCTGCTTTGACTTGCTTGCTTCCAAGCAAAGGTTCAAATGACCCCTTGGATTTTCTGAATTTAACATTTGAATTTTTGCTCCAGTTGTTTCTTGCCACCACCCGCTCCTAAGTTGGCCTTTTTGTTCCCTGGATTCTACAGGCACAGAATAGGCAGTTCTGGCCACTGGAGGAGGACAAGCTTTCAAGAAAGGAGAAACCTATTTGTGGGAGAGACACGTACGTAGCAGAGACCTCGTCCAATTCCTCTCGCAGCAGACGGAGCACCTGGCTGTGTTCCATGTGTGTCCTCTCCCACTGCGGAAGCGCTCCCTCCAGACGCACACCCAGCTGGGCCAGCAATCGTAGCACCTCCTTCTGGGTCAGCCCATCCCGCTGAGATCGCCCCGCCAGCTCTTGCACACATTTCCTAAGTGGCAGTGGAAACAGGCGGCCATGTCAGGAGGTGGAACGTGCGGCTTCTTAACCCACAGCTGGGCAGCTTGTGGCCCTCTCACTGTTGTTGGACTGCGGCTCCATGGGCCCTCACCAACATAGCCAATGATGAGGGGTAAGGACAGCTGCAGGGCAAAAATCTGGAGGGTCACAGGTTGCTCACCCCTGCTCTAACCAGACCCTGCCTTTACTACTCCCACTCCATCCCCACAATACCTGATCTCTTCCAGTAGAGGGACCCAAACCGAGGTGTAGGTTGTAGCTGGCTTTCCATCAGCGCCCACCTCATCCCCAGGGCCTGCCCGCAGATGCCCACTCTCCAGTGCCACGCGCAGGTTGTTGATGGATGCCAGGATGGCAGCAGTGGACCGTTGCAGTTCACCCTCTTCGTTGCTCAGGGGCTTGGGGCCAGCTGCTGCTGTGTTGCCTACAAGTTCCAGTAGATGTTTGGAGACCCCTGTTGCCATGCGCTGCTCCAGCTCTTGCCATTCACGCTCCTGGCGACCGAGGTCTTCTGCCTGGACCTGTCGCTGCAAGAATCGTAGTTTCTCCTGATGGAAGCAGCAAGGGGATGGACAGAGGAGAGAGAGATGTGTGTGATTGCTTATGTATTTGTCCATTCATTCATTCATTCATTCATTCATTCATTCATTCATTCAATTGATGAGTTGCCTTATAGCCAAAGTTCTCAAGACAGCATATATAATAAAAATACCAATACCAATGATAATACATATTAAAAGTATTATTTGATTTTTATTTGATGTGCTTCCATGCCACCCTTTAGTTTTAGAACATGTGAGGGTAAGTCATGTTATTAAAATAACACCAAATAAAGAGGCGGGCATAATCCAACTATTAGAAATCCACACAAAGCAAGAAAGCACAACAGCAGTAAAATCCAACGGAACCAAAAGAACAACTGAAGTTAAAGCCAGCTACAGTGACATGCTGGGACGCCTGAGGTAATCTTCTGGCATCTTCTGGCATCAACTTTGGCAGTAGGTAAGTTTCCCTGGAAAAGGCAATCTGTATAACCGCATGACCACAGCTGAGGCAACTCTCATCCCAGTCACCACTTGCTTAAGAGTTACAGATGACACTAATGGTCTAGTAGGCTGCAAGCAGGTTAGGGCTTTAAAATGACACTGGCACTTTGAATGGTGCTCAGAACAAGTGGTAGCCACTGCAGTCATTCAAACAGTGAGATCTAGTCCTTGTGGCCGATCCCAGCTAATAGCATAGCAGCTGCATTTTTATATTGATGGAAGTTTTACATCCATCCATTACATGATGGACGAAGCCTTCAGAGGCAGTCCCATATATAACACTTTGTAATAGATTAATATGGAGATGGTCAGAGCATTATTAAGTCTGGATGGGCTTTCTCTGGCTGTGTGGTGATGTCATAGCTGGTAGAAGCCACTGTGTGCCATGGATGCTGCTTAGACGGTCAGTTCTAGGTCTATCAACACCCCGACTGCAGATCTGATCTTTTAGAACAGGGGTAAGGAACTTGTGGCCCTTCAGTTGTTGTTAGACTCCTACTCCCATCAGTCAGTCTGGTCAAGGATGTTTAGAATCATAGTCCATAATATCTGTAGGGACATGAGCTCTCCAAGCCTGTGTTGAAGGGAGGACAATCCTGTCCAGAACAAATGAACCATGATGATTAATTACCAGGTGTCTTGCTCTCTGCTCGGCACCCTCACCGTCTTTGTCTGCAGTAGGCTTCCCTAATAGGATGCTCTCCAGATGTGCTGAACTACAACTCCCATTGTGCCCAGATAACTTGGCCAATGAACTTGGGAAGGCTAGTCTACAGGGCCAGCAGGTGATCCTGTAGCCTCTCACTATGGGGTGGGGTGGGATTTCCATTAAGCTGGCCATACTGGAGTGGGGGTGGTGTGGTGAAATTCCTCTGTGCAGTCTCAGTTCTGATCACATACCCCACTGCAGCTGCTATTTACATAACAAAAACTAACAAGACTTAATCTATAGCTATATTTAACATGCTGCCTAGTTTGGCCCTAAAATACTATCCAAAGTTGACTAGTACTATACATGTGTGTGCACCTATGTAATTTTGCCCTGAAAACCCACATGTTCTTTATCAGAAATTTCTAACATTGCAGAAAAGTATGTTATGCATACAGCAAGTGGACTAGCTTGGAAGCAGTCATATTCAGTTCAAACACATATTTTCCTCTCCAGAGTTTATCTCAGGGGGATGAGGGCAGTTCTGTGAGTATGCACCAAAAGCAAAGAGTACAAGGCCCCGATTGTCTGTGATGGCAGCATGACAATCCCCTACTGGATGCAGAAATGGATAAATGTACATGCAGCACTTTAAAGAGAAAGGGACATGAAGATACCCTGCCAGAAACATAGCGTTGCAGGGCTGGGGGCAAGATTGACCGTTTGAGCTATTTATCAGCCTGTGGGTCAGTGAACAAGGCCTAGCGGAAGCCAGGCTCACCCTCTGACTCAGCTCCACTGTGGTATTACATCCATTTTCACACTTGGTGTCTGGAATAAATTGTATTTGTACCACTTGGGCAAACCTCCATGAACTTACTTCATCAGCACACTTTATGTAATTCATTTCTGTTAGGATTACAGGACTGGGACTTTGCAAAAAATGAGAGGAGTTTTGATCAGTAACCGAAGCCCATGGCAGAATGAAGATGGCTGGGTCTAGAAAGGCAGAGATATTAGGAAAGCTAATAATTAAGAAGCTCTTCTCAGCCCAGTCACTCTGATCATTGAAATGTGGAGAGGGAAAGTGTACTGATTTTATTTTGCCACCAGGGGTCTAGAAACTATATTTTTAAAAGGATTCTCTGCCTTCTGTCTAAGCTACAAATACTTTGTACTGCATGTTCCTCAGCTGTGATCATGCAAAATTCCAGGCTGTATTATAAAGCTAATTTCTCTCAATCAGTTCGGCACTAATCTGCCCTCTTCAAGTGGCCTCCTGACATTCCCACTTGCAGTTAGTTTCTTGCCTGGTTTGCTTGTAATGAGCTCCCATGGGTTAAATAACCTATGGCCTGTTGTGGATAAGCAAAGGAGCAGCCATGCTGTCTCCTACACATACTCCACTCCTGCTTTTAATCAACAACCTAAAATTGGCTTATTAGTAGGTTGTGGAGCATGATGTGTGAACCTGGAGTGCTGGGTTGTTTAGGGGCTATAAAACCCAGCAATTAACTCATGTTGAGTTCCTTGCTGTTGGGTTAACCATGGTTTATTGCTGGATTCATCATACTCCACAATCTACAAGTCAATCATACGTTACTGAATAAAAGTGGAAGTGATCCCCGCTCAACCTCCCCAATAACCTCTGGGAGAGTTTAACACATGGGTTGCCATAAAAGTAGCAGTTTATGCATTTATATGAACGTGCCATGCAACAACACATCTCTTTACCACCATGTTCCTTCCAGCCCCAAACTTTATCCCTCTCTTACTTCCAGGAGTACCGAGTTTTTCTTGAGCACATTGGTCTTAACTTCAGCATCCTCAACTGATTTTGTTACCTTCCGGCAGCTCTCCTAAGGGAGAAGTTACAGGGATGCAGAGGCAGAAAGGGAAAGAACATTAAAAATAATAATAAAAAGTACCAAGCACTAGTGAAATAAGTTTTATTGTTGCCCTAGGCATTTTGGAAGTTCTCTTCTTCAGGGGCCAAAAATCATTGTGTTGGTTTTTTTTGCTTTTTTGTTTCCTTATTTACACTTGGATTCAAAGACAGGCCAGCAAAAAGGAAGAGAATGGAGTCAGTCTTCATTTGGCCCTCTGCTCCCCTTGTTCCAAAAGAGCCCTCCCAAGAAGAGGCACCTGAAAATGCTCTTCCTTTTGCCTTCTACCTCTTTTTTAAATGGTACTTTCGACCTCTGAACATCTAATTAAAAGAAAGGAAGAATTTCCATATGTCTTAGGCCTCTGGCAGCTCTCCTGCAGCCATGGAAACAAACACAAACGGCCTTGCAGTGCTCCTGCCTGCTTCAGCCCATTTCTTGCCAACTCACTCAGATGGATGTCATTCCACCACCTATATCTCCTTGACAATTTCTGCAAATCTGAAAGATTTAGCTCAACTTTCTCCTCCCCCCACTCCCCTCCCCACACTCACTAAACTCCCACTCATAGTCCTAGTGCTTGGAATAAACCAGGCAAGCTATTCAAAATGTTTGTAGTCACCCCAGATCATCTCAGTAAGTCTATGATGAAAGTATTCATGTTTTATGGTTGCGTTTCATTTGTAAATTCTCCTGCCTAATCTGATCCGAGCTCCCTGGCATCATTTGCCGAGTCCTGTTTAATGTGCTTGTAAATAAACTATGATCTTGCAAGAAGCTCTAATTTAATGTCTGAGTTCTGCAAGGCTGGCTTTAATTTGCTTACAAACAGAATCATAACAATCAAGTCTACGGAGGCCTTGAACAGTTAATTCATTATACTGCTATTCTCCATTTCTTACAAATAGCCTGTCTAGTAGGTTAGTTGGAGAGCTAACAGGAAGAAGGGAGACTTGCCTCTTCCAGCACGAAGTAGCCCAGTGACTGATCAGGGAGCATCTTTAAGCTGTAACACTGACAAACTCCAAGGTTACCTGGATCTAGGTTAACCAGCAAGTTTCTTGGATGAATGGAGATTTGAACTTGAGCTACTTAAGGGACAAGCAGCTGTTGAGTCCGGCACCCCAAATAGCTTTCAGTCTCAGGACACTCCCAGACATTAAGAATCTCAGTTACTTTCTCTCACACAAGCTGAGGGCCAAATTGGACATTAATTTCTTCCAGAATGTCTCCACACACTGCACATTTTTCACTCTAGGGTAAGCAACGTAGGCCCAGTTCAGATTTGTGCCCTGGCATGTGGTGAAGTGATTTTAAGATTTGGATAAAGCTCTGTATCCACTCAGGAAAGCTACAAAGTAACATTTGCTTTGGCCATGAGGGACTGACCAAGGGCCTTTTAATCCTTTGCACTCCAGTGGGAGGTTTGAGGAAAACCATTTGCTTTTGGCCAGAGCATATGCTTGAATCAAATCCCTTCATAGAATGGAGAACAACAGTGAACTTTCTCTCTTAGGTTACTCAGAATTACCTGTTCACCTCAAATGTCCATTTGTGTGGACATAACATTCAAATATAGGATTATGATTATGTAACATTTCTATATCGCCTGTAGTTGAAGCTGTCTGGGCAGTTCATAGCAGGTTCAACAGATTTCAACCAGGCCCAATCCTGCTTAGCTTCCAAGATTAAGCAGAATCAGGCATGTAGAATCCAAAACCCGTAGGCTCAGATATTTTTGACTATATCTAATTTGTTTTTAAGAATCGAGGAGTGGACTGCACAGTCTGGGCCTATGGTTTTGGATTTTAGACAAGTAATGCTTTAAGAATGTTATTTCTTGTGCATGAATGTCTCAGTGTCTGAGACACACCAGGAAAAGCTGAGTAAAGAAGGAGTTTTCTTTGTACACCATACACAGGAGTGTGCATTACTGGATCTGTTCCCATATCTTATATCTTAACTCACACACAGCACATACAAATTAGAAGTCAAAGTGTCTCTGCCAAATGCCTCTGGTTTTTTTCCCCACACCCTAGGTTCCCCACTTTTTTCTTTGCAGTGAACCGCTCCAGTCTGGCCATGCCTATCATTAGGTAAAGTGAGGTGACTGCCTGGGGTGGAGGTGGGGATTTGGGTGTTGCAAAAAGGCAGCAAATTGTCACTAATTTGTAAGTCTTATAATTAGATTTTCAGGAAGCTGCCTTTGGATACTATATACCTCACTTGATAGGCGCAGCACCCTTGGCTCCTCAGCCTCAGGAAGCAAATTGTCTTGGGCTGGCCCTGAGTGGCAGAGATGACAAATTAGAACCTCCTCTGTCAAAGCTTCTGTTGGTGTTTTGTACTCATGAAGAATGGCTTCTCAGTGTTGTTACTCCTTCACTTTTTCCTCAATTGAAAACATGGCGAATGTACATTTATTATAGCCATGATTTTAGAATCACAATTTCAATGCTGTTTATGTGTTTATGTTTATGAAACCTATGTTTCATATAGGTTGTTGGCAACCCTGGGATCTTTATGAGAAAACATGGGATAGTGATAAAATCAATAAAATAATTATGATTTCATGTTTGCAATCCTTCTTCCAAGGAGTTTAGGATGATGCATACAGGCTACCCCATTTTACCCCCATGACAGGCAGAGTGGGTAGGGTAGGCAGAGTGAATCTTCCAAAGCAGGCCTGGCCCTACTTTTACAGACACTGGGAGGCAGAGAGCAGTGGGCAGCCATTCTGGGAATGGAGCTGTACCTGCCATGAGTCTGTGCTCCCTAAATTAGCCTGCTGCCCCTGTGCCATTGCTGAAGTTAGGTTCAATTGCTAGTCCAATTGGCTTTTGTACATGGAATTTGGGCCCCAGGGGGGTGGGCATTAACAACATATCTTAACCCAGCTCAGGTCCACAATTACTCAGTCCTCATCCACCTGTCCAACCACCACTAGGAGGGTGAGTACCCAAAGGAGGCCTTCTCTGCGGTGGCACCCCACCTATGGAATGCACTCCCCAGAGAGGTCCGCCTGGCACCATCGTTATTTGTTTTTCGGCGCCAGGCCAATACCTTTTTATTTAAAAGTTATTTAATTGTTAACTAATGAATTGTACTTATGGGATTTTTAGGTATATGCCGAGATGCTTCCGGTTTTTTTAACTCTAATTGTACAAATTGTTTATTTATGTTTATTTATTATTGTTGTAAGCTGCCCCAAGGTTTTTTGCGAATGGGGCGGCATAAAAATGGTTTAAATAAAATAAATAAATAACCTGCTTTGTAACACTCTCTTCCCTGGCACAAACAGCCCCTCAGCCACCAGCACGTCAATCTTCTCTTGCTCCATGTCAAAAGCAGCATAAGTCTCTAACTGAAGTTATTGGAAACAAATTTTTGAACTGGAAATGTAATTTTCTAACCATAAACTTGTGAGTTTCACTGAAGGCTGGAGAACCATCTGGGTAGCAGCCAGCCAGTTATTTTTTTTTTAATTTTATTTTATACAAAAAGTGGGTTAGTCATTGTTTCTTTGTCTGAGAATCCTATTTGTATTCTGAACTCTCCAGAACCTAAGAGAAACTAATTCCTGAAGTTAGCCTATCTCCATCATGAGAATGGGTTTAAATGGAAACCTTATGCAAGATTTGGTCAAATTTGGCCACTTCCTTGCTCTTCCTTTTTCCCATCATTCCAGCTTTAAACAAACAAACAAACAAACAAAAACAAAACAAAACCCATCCAGTCTGAAAAGGAGTTCTGGAGTACTCAAAAGTTTGCATACTATTGTAATTGGACCTAATTACAGTTGGACCTTTTAGTTGGACCTAATAAAAACATTGCCCAAGTGAGAATTTTGTAGAGTTTTCTTACGAACCAAAGTGTCTACTTTTGCTTTTTTTTAATGTTTAACCAGTTCCTTCGCTGATTACATTGTTTAGGAAACAGAACAATGACAATGAAAGTGGCCAGCACAAAAGCAGAACTGGAAGATTAGATTTCAAAACAGAAAGGAGGAAGGTTGGTCTGTTCAACCAATAAATTGGCCTAGTGAGTGATGTGGGGGCACCCTGAAGCTGTATCATTGAGAAAAAGTCATACTAAGGATTATTAGGGAAAGGGACTGAAAGTAAAACTGCTAGTATCATAATAACTTTATAGAAACCCCTTGCCTCTGAGACCCTGCACCCTGGGCAGATTGACAGGTACCAAAAACAATGTCTTTTCAGTATTTATTTTTTATTTAAAGCATTTTTATGCCGCCCCCATCGCAGAAAGCATTGGGGCGGCTTTCAAAGAGGATAACCAAACATAGGATAGACATTAAAAATTCAGAGTAATGGCCTCACACCTTAGGAACTCCCCCCACACCAGTAACCACCCCCCCTCTGGAAATATATATGTCTCATTTGGTTTTAAAGAAAACTCTGGAGACATTTTACTCCAGTAAATGTGTGTGTGTGTGATTCATTTATGTGCTGTACTTGAAGAACTGCAGCTGCTCTTGATTTTAAGTGAGTGCCTTTAAGTATGGTTAAACTGTAATTGTAGTTATTTTTATCTGCTTTAAAACTTTATGTAAACTGCCTTGTAGGGTCAGAGTGCCCTGAAAATCTGGGTGGGATATACATCTTTGAATGAATGAAAAACACATCGATATAGTCACTGTTTGGAATACTGTGTACTGTTCTAATCATCCCATCTCAGAAAGGACAGCTAAAACAATCAAACACATTTCCTGCAAAGAGAAAGCCAAAGCATTTGAGACTTTTAAATTTAGGGAATAAGACAACAAAGCCCTCCAGATGTGGTGGGAATGCAACTCCCATTATCTCAGCCCTTGCCAACTAAGGCTGATGGGGAATGGAACTAGACAACTACTTGAAGGCCAAGAGTTCCCTCAGCTATTGCAATGCAAATGTATACAAAAAATAAAAATTACAAACAGCATGAAGAAAACAGTTCTAAATAATTTTTTCAGCCTCTCCCATGATGTTAAAATTTGGGATCATCGAGTGACTTTGGGCAGTCACAGACTCTCAGCCCAACCTACCTCACAGGTTGTTGTTGTGGGGATAAGATTAACCAGGAGGAGGAGAATTCTGTAAGCTGCTTTGAGTTTGTTGGAAAAAAGTGGAATATAAATATAATAAATAAATAGGACCTAATTCATTTATGGAATACCCTACTGCAAGTTGTGGTGATGGGTCACCAGCTTAGATGGCTTAAAAGTGGGACTGAACAAATTCATGGAGGCCATCAGAGGCAATGGCCATTGGCAGCTCTATGTGATCTCCAGGATCACAGGCATATACCTCTGAGTACCAGTTGTTGGGCAGCAGCAGTGTAAGAATGAGTGGGATGCTGTTGCCCTCTTTTCTTGCTTTTGTGCTTCCCACTGAGGCATCTGTTTGGCCACTGTGGAAAACATGAAGTTGAACTAAGTGCGCTTTTGGTGTGATTCAGCAGGGCTCTTCTTACTTGCATAGAATACTATTGTTTATTAGACTTTTATGGAATTCTATGGCATTAACACTGAACTGTGTTTCTGAGCTACTACACTGTGGCTACTACAAAAGATTCTGCCTTGAGCTCTTAGGATATCTAATCTCAGGGGGAGTTTTTGTTTGTTTAAGGTTTAAAGTGTTCAGTGGCTATTAATCATGATGACTGCACAGAATATCCATAAGAACGTAAGAACTGCTCTGAAGACCACCTGCTGGAAGGCCTGCTTAGTCCAACACTGTGTTTATACTGTGGCCAACCACTATGAGAAGCCTGGAAACAGGACATGAGTGCAACAGCACCATCCTGTCCATGTTCCCCAGCATCTGACATACAGAGATGTACTGTCTCTGATACTGGAGTTTTGGACTGGAACTCTAATGATCTGTGTTCTTGTTCCCACTTGGTCCTAAAGCTCACTGTGTGACTTTGGGCAACTTGTTGACTCTTACCCTAACCTACCTCACAGGGTTCTTGTGAGGATTTAATACAGAGGAGGAGAATCATGTAGACCACCATGGGTTCCTTGGAGGAAAAAAGGCAACATATAAAATAAAATAACCAATAACCTTAACTCTCACAAATTTGTTTACTTCAGTATAGAAAGAATTTGTGACCAAATACTATTTATTGGGGGTTCAACAGTGGTTGTGAATTTCCTGGGTGGTGCCATTGCAGGAAGCAAGATGTTGTACTAGATGGATTTTTGGTCTCCTCCAACAATGCTATGCTCAAGCCTTCTGCTACAGCAAGAGAGAATGTGCTCTCCTTTTGATAATTCAGCGAGCAGTACATCTGTTCAAACTGCAGCCTATCATGATTTCCTTTCTCAGAATAAATATGATCTGAGCTCCATATAATTCAATACAGGCTCCCAAAATGTATCCATTGATCTTGACTAAATGACAGTGGCTGGTCTCCAGTTCTGCCATGTCCACAATTTAGGTATCTTACAGGCCATTTCTTCTGCGGAAGCACCGTTATAAACAGACTTCTCTAACAAGGATCAGGCTTTCCTTATAGGGGTGATAAACTGAAGATGCTGTTAATGCTGGAAATGACTGTGGTGGCTGGCACAGCTGCTGCTTCCTAGACCGGTTTAGCACCACCCACACATCCCACTCCCATTCTCACCTTAAGCTTACTGCAATACTCCTCGAGGTCCTCTGCCTCCTGCCTGCGTCGCTCCAGGTTTTCGCACAGCACCGTGCACTCACTCTGCACACAGGTAGAGCAGGAGGAAAATGGTTGAGAAGGCAGTGGATGGCATCTCAGAGGCAAGTAAATGTGGCAAGGAGGCCATACTGCCCTGATCAGTTAGGAGCGTATCTAATCAACAGCTCCACATTCAGTTCATTGTAAGGTTTCTCTAGCTCAGGGGAAAACCTCCAAATCCAGACCTTCTGGTCTCTCAATACCAATCTTCTAGTGTTCCCAGAGTAACCCCATTCCTCTTCCCTCAAGTTCCATCTTCTTTCCCAAGTCATCAATAGTTTGGTGGTTTCTTAGCTTTTGAAGAGTTTGTATTCCATTCTGCAGGGTTGAAATTCTCTCCTAAAGCTTAATTGCTACCAGTAAGAGCTTTAAACTACAATAAGTTCTTATTTTTGGAATTTTGGCCCTGAATTCTTTTGTGATTGGCTACATCCATCACTGGAATGTGCTGCAGAGTGCTTTTCAGATTTTAAATTCAGCCCTTCGGCTTAAAGAGGTTCCCACCACTGTTCTAGCAGCTCCCCTTACATAGAACCTCAGCTAGTGGCATGTTTAGACTGGAGGCATGTGTTGTTGTCCGCCCCCGCCCCCCCGCCCCCTTTCCGTCTAAGCAAGATTAACATCACTGAAAAAGTGATTAACATAATTGAAACAAGATTAACATAATTGAAAAAGTGGCAAATCCAAGCAAGCCTACACAAAAATCTATAAAACATTTGAAATTATTTCCTAGTCTCATAAAAATTAACAGGTAATGCTTTCACAATTTTTGACCAGTTGCTTCCTTTGGCAACATTTTTAATGTTCCAGGAGTCCAGGTTGGGATGCAGATAGAGAAATGGCTTTTAGTTTTACAAAACAGCCTGGGACAAGGTATGTGTATAACATCCAGTCTGGGTACTACTCATCTTCAACATATACAGTCTCACTGGAGGATAAAGCATGGTTTAGCAAGAATAAAAGTTAGGAATACTGGAGAAGTAAAACAGACACAAAACTGCATGACTAACGCAATGGTTCATAAGGTGCGGATTGGCTCCCAAGACTACCAAAAATGGTCAAGACTGAAAAGCCAAAGGTGTGCACTTTAAAAAAAAGTTATAGCTGTGGGATGAAGAAGCTACCCACTTTAAAAACTCAACTGCAAATAGTTGACCTTTTCAGCAATTAAACCAGCTACAGTGAAAAGTTTGACTGTAGGCTGTCATCCCTGGACAGAAACATGGCCCCATGTGACCTTTATCACAAGCTGCTGAGTTTCAGTTCAGTGTATCCTACTGTATAACAGGAGATACGAAAAAGTGGTGGCCTAGATGGCCACAGAAGAAAGTGTAAGAGCCAACAGTCAGGTTCTTAGTGCAGAGAAAGGAAGAGGACAAGCTCAGGGTTGGATCTAGGCCCTTGCCCTGGAACTGGTAGTGGGAGGGGGACAGTCTCCAGACCTGCAGGTTCTGAACATGGCGGTTGACCTTGGACGTCCTCTCCTTGAGGCTGGTGATGGAGTCCTTGGCTCGCAAGAGGCCGCTATTGCTCACTTCCTGCTGGGGGAGAGCGCAAGAGGGGGGGCAGGTCAGGTGAATAGTCCAGTTACTCCTGACCTTTCCACACTTCCTGGGCATTTCTTTGACCAAAGGCCTTTAAAGTGGAATAGAATGTGGCTGAAGGCAGCCCTCTATATTAGGGAGATCCTGGGACAACAGACCTTAGAAATAAGCCATTAGCAGAGGGATGTAAGCCCCCTCAAGGCAGAAATAGAGGCCAGCTGTTATTTGATAAACCTTTGAAAGTTTCATTTAAATAGCAGAGAAGGGCAGAGGTTTACCTGGGCAGTGTAAGAGGCCAAGCCAGTGGGGTTGAGGAAACAGGGATGTAGGGTGGTAAACTGAAGAGCTGGGGAAGGAGCAGAATGAAAACAAACACCCAGGAAAAGTCCTTGTAAAGGAAGAAATCCAAGGAAGGCAGCAAGCAATCCCAGAAGGAATATCCGTACAGGTTTGGCTAACACATATTCATTTATATCAATATTAAAACTCTCAGAGCACATTTAAGAGCAATAATAGTCACATTAGGGAACAGGGGAGGAGGTCTTTTCCTGGGTAATTGATACAGAGTGGATAATTTCAGAGTAATTTTACAGTTTCCATTTTGAAAGAACCAGGCAGGAAGGTCAGGTGGGAAGACAGCAGTTGTTGGGTGCTTCCAACCAGAGATCTCAAAACTGCTAATTAAAAAGCCCCGTGATGCCGTTCTTTTTCACCTCATTTTTTTTTCTGGTCAGGAAAAAAGTCAGAAGAAGCAGTGCAAAACAAGGGAGGGCTATAAATTGAAGACATCATTGTCTGGATGCCCTATAAAATTCCATGAATGAGGCACTACAATTACACCATATAAGGCATGTCTGAAAACACCCTAAGTTTGCAAGCCTGGACTAACCAAATCTCTTAGCAACCTTCCCCAAACTAGTACCTGCCAGGTATTTTGGGCTGCAGCTCTCATCAGCCCCAGCCCCAGCCAGCAGGGCCGAAGGTCAGGGATGACAACAACCACTGTCCAACAATCTCTGTGGAGGCCCTAGTTGGGGAAAAGCACAATGTTTGTCCAAGAATAACCTAGACCTAAATGCTATGGAACAAGCAGTTCATATTTCCCTCCAAAACTGAACAGCCAGACTTTTTCCCACCCTTCCCCTGTGCTTCTAAACAACATAACATGAAGAAATGTTTTTAAAAAGGGGGCAGGTGGATTTGTAGGAAGAATTATGGCAAAACACCACCAGTTTAATTGCTGTCCATTGGGCTGAATGGAAAGAGCAACTGTTTTTAAAAAATCTGCTTTGGTACAGGGTACCTCAAAGAAACCTATTATTGTAAATAGATATCAACTAACAAAATGTATTTAATATTAAAGACATTAACTTGAAAGAGAAAAGGATAACTACACCAACCAGTTTGCAGAGAACTGTCTCACTTTGACGGTAGGTAGGGGAACTGCAATCTGAGTCTTAACCTGAGGGTAACCATTCGTGTTGTAGTGGTTAGAGTGCATGATACTGTTCTTTAATAGCTAGACTGCTGAACTAGACCTGGAGAAACCTGGGTTCAAATTCATCTCAGCCATGAAACTTAGCTCACTGAGTTACCTTAAGCTAGTCTTTCAGCCTAACCTACCTCCTAGAGCTGTTGTAAAATTAAATGAGGGACTGTAGATTCCATCCTGAGATATTTGGAAGAAGGAGGGCATTAAAATATAATATTGTAATGATGTAACAGTTTGTCCCACATATAGGGTATACCTTAATCATTGCTGATCTATACCCTTTCCAAGCAGACTGGAAGACCAATAATCAGTAATACAGGGAGCCTTGCTGGATTACAGAAAAGGTCTCAATCCCAGCACAATCTGATTGGTATTTCCTAGTTTCTCTTGGCTGTGGCCATTTAGATGATGATCTATGCCAAGCAAAAAGGTCTTGCCTTATGGGGAAGGGTGGTATATAACTTTAAATCGTTTTCTAATGTTATTGGTATGCATGGTACTCACTCCAAAAAAGGAGTAAGTTAGAGTGGTTTTAATCTGCATGAAACTGAACAAGTGCAGCAATGCAAATGAAGGTGCCCGATGGTTTCCAGCAGTAGCCATTCCAAATGAGGCCAACACTGGGCCGAACTGTACAAGACGAAGACAACTATATGCATTTGTTCATAACTAATGCCTGTGAGTGTGTGTAAGGAGGTGTTCTATTCTTTTTGTTTGTTTCTACATTAAAAGGAGTGTAGTGGTGATAGAGTCTAATTCTAAACCAGCTTACTCCAACCTGACGCTCTCCAGATGTTTAAGTCTATAATTCCTATCATCCCTCAGAGTTTGAAATGTCGGCTAGGGAACTGTGGCATCAGATTGGGGGAGGCTGCTCAAATTATCCTTTTGCACCTTTACCTTGCCATGTTGCTTGAAGCAGTTTTCTACCTGTCCTGGGCCAATACTGAAAATTAAGTGAGCAAGGAAAAAAGCTGCCTCAACAGAAATAGCACAGAATGATAAGGTGGTTGGTGGGGGAATTCAGCATTCTTCCCCACAGGCTCCTTCTTGTAAAAAAAAAACAACAACCCCCAATCTCTCCACCCATTTAATATATGAATGTACGTACAGCTTTAGGCCAGATCAGACACGTGGCCATACTGTCTGATCTGGCCTAGAGCTGTAAATTCTGCCTTAACTTGGAAGCTCAGGCTTGTAGACAATATAGGTGCTTCCAGATACAGATCTTATAGCACTACCATTCAGAAGACATTGTGTGTCAATACTATCCCTTGCTTACAAGATTTTCTGTGGTTAAAAAAAAAAAAAACAACTGAAGCCCAGTTGGGAAAACACAAGAACGTTACAAGTGGAAGATGCTGTCAGCTGAAGACCCTGTAAAATTCCATGTACAAGGCAGGGCTATGGCACCATAAAACTCCTGTCTGGAAGCACCCACAGCATCAACAGCAAATTAAAATAAAAGCAAACAAAGCAAAATGTGTTAAGCCCACCACCAAACAAATACCTGACAGAAAGACATCTGAGTATTTCTTAGAAAGTTGCAGGAAGTTCATGCTAATTTTGGAGCTTAAAAGTACAGCTTCAGGGTGAGGAGAAACTCACCATCCATAGCCACAGGAGTGATGGAGCCTCTGAATAATGCATGAACTGTTGCCTCAGCCCAGATATTCAAGTGCATTGCTGAAGCAACACCCACAGGTGACACTGGTATCCGTTTGGAGACATTCCATTGTCTCCTCCTAGCACATAATTCAGGAGCTTATGTTGGGCTTAAATCTGGACTTGGTTGATGCAACTGAACACTGACTGAAATGTTCAGACAGGACCAATCCAGTCCACTGCCAGGGCTTTTAGAATGTTTGGGTTGGAAGCAATGTCCTCATGGTGGGATCTGGATTCAAAATATATGAATTTTGCAGGCTGCAGGGCCAGCCTTACCGTTAAGCAGAGTAAGGCAGCTGCCTCAGACAGCAGGGGAGGCAAGTGGAATAGCAATAGGGAATGGCAAGAAGAGGTGTGTGCACCTTGCACTGAGGCTTTTGCCTCCTGAACTAGCCCTCTGCCTTCAGCTTTGGTGGAGGACAATGTCTCATTGTCACTATGAAAGTAGGTTTCAAGAGCCTGTCAGGTTAGTTTCTATATGTGGAAAGGGAGGAACCAACTTCTCCCTTGGCTTAGGCAGAAAAATGTCTTGGGACAGCTCCTGGCAAAGGTGGGGTTTTCTTTTATAAGAATGCATGAACTTTCTTTTTCTTGATAGTTTCTCTGTTAGCAGATAGAGAAATGCCAGTTCAGATGGGAAAAAAAGCAACAGTGCATAGTATGTGAGTATGCAATTCCTTTCCTCACCTGCTGGCTGGAGGTATCATCCTCATCCTCAGACCAGACAGGTTTGGTAGGGAGCAAAGGATCCCTTCTTTCACCCCCTGCTGCTCCTGGAGGACCCCCATCATCTGTGGATTCGTTCTCAGTGGTGGAGTCGTCACGCTCCCCGTCAGTTAGGTTCAAGAGGGAAACATTGGTGCAGGCAGAGGAACGCTTCAAGTTGAGGTTGGGGCTTTCAGTGGTAAAGGGAGGCTCAACCCTGAGGTGGGAAAAAGAGCACATATGTTACCTGTAGGCACAGGACAAATCCTTTTCTAGGAGCTTTTCTACAGAAGGCTGTTCCTTGCTGGATCCAGTTTTGGTTTCATTACAAATTGAGCTCCAAGCACTATACAAACAGCTTTTTGCTTCCTGCTTTTCTGCTACATAACCTGCATGTGGAACTGTGCTATAGTGGAAAAGAACAAATATACAAATAGGAACAGCAGTTTCAGAAAATATACCTCATTTTCCCAGTTCCAAAACGAAACAAAAGGAAACAGGAAAATGCTCTGATAACACAGTACCAAACCGGAAGATCACATTTTTAGTGAACCTTCAACTGTGGATAAGGAATCATGACTGCACAAAAATATTTTGTGAAGAAATGCTCTAAATTATGCATTTCAAAGGAGCAGCAGCATTAGTCTGCTGCAGCGATGAACAACACAAAGATTCTTGTGGTACCCTACAGTAGGGTGGACAACTGGTGACCCTCCAAATGTTTTAGCCTACAACTTCCATTCATCCCAGCCAACATAGCCAATAATGAAGACTGATGGGAGTTCGAGGCCAAAGTATTTGGAGGGCCACTCCTGACTTAAAGGGATGAGGGTATTATTGTGGGATAAACCATAGTAAGCCAGAAAGTCTACTTTGTCAATATAAGATGTTTTTGCTCTCTTCTCAAGTCCTTTCTGAAGCCAAATGTATGTCAATGCTCAAAGACGGGAAAAGTACGACAGAAATCCTAGGATATCTGAGGGGTTAAAGGTGCAGAAAAGTAAGGCCAATATCAAATGCACACTGCTTTGGGATTTGTAAAGAATATTTAGCAGTATAGAAATAGTATGTATAAATAAATAAGTATATGATTGACATTTGCTGAGGGCCCACACCCCAGCAAGAGTCCATTGAAAAATCTGTGATCTTGTTTCTTCTTTTCACTACTGCAATCTTCACCTGCCTCTTGCTCTGGCTCAGTGATAGTGACAAAGATAGTGATAGTGAGGACGAGGAAGCAGCAGATGCCGCTGACTGCTTACTCGTTGGCTCTCTGCTAATCAAGCCAGCATGCAGTGGCAATGATGAGAAAACGAATGAAAAGCAATAGCAGCTGGGGAAATGGGAGTAAGAAGGTAAACTCACTGTGGAAGGGGGTCCATTCAGGGTGCCTTGTCCCTGGGCCTCAGAACCTAGGGCCAGCACTGAGGAGGAGACAGAGCCAAACACAGGATGTCTGGTCTCTTTTCCAATCTCATGATAAAATAGAGATGAGAGAAGCTAGAGAGGGGGAATGGGGGAGAATGCTTATTTGGTTGGGCAATAGTTGGAGGCTAGTTTACAGCCAGAGAGGAAAACAGTGATCCCGTAGGTTTAGCAAGGAAAGAATGAGCAAGGACTGCTGGGAGTGTGAACTAACCCTTTAACAAGAGCCATAGACCAACCTTCACCATCTTGGGTCCTCCAGATATTTTGGACCAGAGCACCCAACATTCTTCACTGTTGGCCCTGCTGATTGGAATTGATGGGAGTTGAAATTCAATACAGCTGGAAGGACTGAAGCTGGAGAAGGCGGCTGTAAACAATAGGCCCTGTCATAGGAAGCTGCCTTAAATCAAGTCAGATCTAGCCCAGTACCATCTACTACAGTGGGCAGCAGATCCCTGTATTCTCAGGCAGCAAGGGGTCTTTTCCATCACATTGCCATCAGGTGCCCTTTAAACTGGAGATCCTGGGAACTTAACCTTGGACATTCTGTATACAAAGCAAGGGCTCCACATTGAGCAATGTCTCCCCATCCCCTATCTGTCAGCATGCCCCAAGTAGTGCAGTGAACTCCACCTCCACCCCCTCCCTTCCCAGGGCTCCCACCCATGGAAAGAGACGGCTTTCTTCTTTTTGGCGAAGCCCTTGATGCTGCTAGACTTTCCCAGCTGCTCTTTGCTTCCCTGAGGCCGACCCTCAGTCCCCGTTGGTGTATCTCCAGCCTCATTGATTTCCTTGGATTGCCAGATGGTCTTCACCACAAAGTTGGCCATTACTAGGGTGGGTATCAGTATCTGGTCTGAGCGCCAGTTTCCTTTCCCACATCACACCAGGGAATATCGACTGCCTCCAAGCCAACCGGCTCTCCCAGGAGGGCGGGGTTTCCCAGCTGCTTCCCATGACATCATAACAGTTGCCAAGGTGCCTGTGATCATATGACCCCACTCTTCCTCCTTTGCCACCAATGTTCTATGATGTCAGAACAGGGAAGATCGTCTAGTCCAAAGCCATAGTATTGGGAGGGCTAGCTCGGTCTGGCAAACCCTTTTCTCCCCCTTTCTCCCTCTCGGTCTAGTACCACGTTTGTTCTTCCTTATTCTTTACAGCTTGACAAGGGAAGCAAGATTACTGTACTTCCTACATGTACAAATACATCTCTGGCTTTCTATTCACAGTTTTGCTTTACTCTGTCCTCTGCCTTTCAAAGCTGTAAGAGCAGAACAAACTTTCATATGGAGACTTTTCTCTCAGTGGCTTCTGATTTTGCATTTCAGCTTGAACTTTGGTTTAATTTCTCAGTGCTTTGGACACAAACACACATGGGATGATGAAAAGAGCCTGGGAGGGGATAGGAAGGAAACGCTAACCTCACACATGACTTCACTGTCCTGTAGCTGAAATTCTTTTGCATCTAGGTGATGTTGGGATACGTGAGCACAAAAGGTTAAATGGAAAACTGCAGAGAAGAACTGCTTTGCAGCTATGACAAGAATTGTATCATAGGCTGCCTCCAGCAGGCAAGCTCGGGATACACCCTGAAAAATCTAGCCATCTGTGAGGCAAGGAAGGAGAACGGTGCACTGCAGCTAGGGAAAACAGGGCCTAAACATAACAGAGAAGCCCAGCAAGACCAAGGGGACTCCAAGGTCCAGTTAGGTGGCTGTAGTAATTAAAAATAGGATTAGATAAAATAACGAAAACTTAGGTCCCTGATTAGGTAGGGCAACAAGAAACGAAATTTGTATGCTCAGATCAAGTCTGATCACCAGATGAGGTAAGAAACAACTTTTGGCTACCATCTGTCATTGTAAGATGACGGGGTTGGCAGAGTTCCACTAGTGACTTGGATAGCATCAGAATACATTTCTTTTGGCACCTGAGCAGGCCAAAATTCTTAATTGTTAGGGCCAGCCAGTTGTTGAAATTTGTATCCTTTGCCCTCTACTACATCTGCAAAACTTATAACCTGACTTCTTTTACATCCACAGCTGAACTAGAGTCAGAAAAGCTATTTCCTGTTAGCTTTCCATGGCAATGAAATCTGCTTTGTCAGGTCCCTGTATATTATTATTATCCTCCTATTATATTTATGCCCTGCCTTTTTTCCTCTTGCAAGGAACCCAGGGTGGCTTACAAGGTTCTCCTTTCCATTTTATCCTCACAACAACAACCCTGCATGGAAGGAAGAGTAGGCTAATTAGGAGCAATGCCTGGCTCAGAGTTACCCAGTGAGATTCATGACTGGATGGGGGCTAGACTCCAGATCTCTTGAGTCCTAGTCCAACACTTGGAGAAAGTGGGCTAGTTTGAATATAATGCTAAACCATTGTATACCTTTACAAGAAGAAGCCTAGTCTCCTCCCAGGTTTCTGCAGTCCCCTTTCAACCATGAGGAGTAACTTGGATCAGCCACTACTTGCCAAAATAATCTAAACCAGACAAACTCTGGCTAATCTCAACTATGTTATGTTGAAGCAAGTGAGCTTCAAACCATTTTTAAGAAGCTGGCTTGTTTCCAGAAGCTACAGTTAAAATTAACCACAGTTTAGGGTTCAGACACAATGTGATGGTTACTAAAACAGAAGCTTGTGATCTCCTCCTTGCAGCTGCATCAAAAGAAATGGGAGAGAGGAACACAGAAACTCAACTGCTGCTCATCTTTGTAACCCTTCCAATGCTGAATTAGATAGATCTCCGCTTTGAAGCAGTTTATTTTGATCACCATAGCTATTACCCTAGATATATAAAGGCTCCTAACAGATGCACAGTACCCAAATGGTTTCGACTCCTTCTTTAAAATATCAATTTTATGCAGTTTCTCCCTTCACAGTTTAAAATATTGAAATGCCTCTCCCAAAGCATCATGTCTGAAGCGATATTATACATGTAGTTTTGTCTTTGGCTCTGCCCTGGCCACCAATGGCATTCTGAGAAATGCAATGCGGTCATAAGAACACAAGAAAAGTCATGCTCAATCAGACCAAAGGTCTATTGAGCCCAGCACTTGATACACAGGATGGCAAACCAGCTGCCCACAGGATCCCTCAGGCAGGATTGGTGCAAGGCTCCTGCCCAGCTCTTCAGCAATTGGTGTATGCAGACATGCCACCTCTGGTAAAGGAGGTAGCACAGAGCCAGCAAGGTCAGCAGCCACTGATAGCTTCCTCCTGTCCAGACCCCTTTTAAAACCATCTAGATTTGTGGCCACCACCACTTCCTATGGCAGGGAGTTCCAAAGTCTAACTATACATGGTGTGAAGAAATATTTCTTTTCATCTGATCTTAACCTTCCACCAATCAGCTGTATATGGAATGACCCCAGTTCGAGTGTTATGGGAAAGGGGAAAGGAAGAAAAATGTCTCCCTTTCTACTTTCTCCATACCATGCATTATTTTAAACACCTCTGTCGTGACTCACCTTTTTATTCTAAGCTGAACAGTCCCAGTTGTAGCTGCTCCGCATAGGGGAGCTGCTCCAACCCCCTGATCATCTTTGTTGCCCTTCTCTGCACCTTTTCCAACTCAACAATGTTGTTTTTTAGGTAAGGCCACCAGAACACAATGTTCCAAGTGTGGCCTTGCCAGGGATTTGCACTAGGGTCTGAAAGAGATTCTGCATCCCTGGAATAAGGCTTTCCAAGCCACTTGACAATTTTATGTAGCCTCCTTTGCCTTTTTTCTAAGAAGCAACAGATTCATCCAGGTAAACATGGTAGCCTTGACAGTTAGTGCTTCTTTTCCCCCCCTACTCTGTGCCTGACAAAACAAGTACATACAGTTCAAAAGCTTTGCTTGCAATGCAAAGATGTAGAAGCTGAGGTATACATCGCATATAAAGCACTTGCAAGTAAGTGTTTGAAACATACTGTCACATAAAAGCCCACTTACTGTGTAAAAGTCAACCTATTTGCATTTGGAATTAGCATGTCAGCAATGACATCCTGGCAGGTGTACTGCTGGTATATGAACACTTGACATGAATGGGCTGAGAAACATTGAAAACACACTTGTATCCAGCAGAGAAAGCCTTCTATGGAGATGTACTTTATCTTTACACACTATCAGTCTCTGGCCTTGGAAATCCTCAGCAGGAGCTGCTGTGATTAAGGGATAAGTTGCTTTCACCACAAAATGAAGGATTTGCAGCTCTTCAAACCCACCCCTCTATTCACAGGATCCCAGTGATAGTTGCTAGGCTGGATCTGCCTTCCTTGATGAGAAGAAACCTTCTGTGAAAGGAAGGGCTCTACTTGTGGAAGGCTCCTCTGCTTGATTTTCGGGAGTCATCACCCTCACCCTGTTCAGCAGGATCTCCTGACTGTGTAGGATTTTAAGGGGTGGAAGGGCTGCCATAGGAAGGGGCACAAGAAAGGCCAGTGCAGCTGAGCCAATGTAAATTGGATCCAACCCTTAGTAAGCAACAGCCAAATGGCAACACCAGAGAATACCAAGGCCAGGGAATGACCATAATAGAGAAATATGCTGACTTCTGTGCGATTTTATTGAGAATCTTTTCGAAGCAGCATTTCAGTGTCATTTAAGTTTACAGAGGGATACGTATTTCAAAATAAAATTCATTTCACTTGCTAAGCTTGCACCTGGTCTGACTGCAGTTCCCATTGCTTAGCTTCTATTATTTTGTTTCACAGGAATGAGTCTGGAAATTGGGAGTATTGTTGACAGAGAATCTATCCGAAATGCCTCTTCTCACAAAACAATTATGAGTATTCAAAAGCTGGAGAACTTAGCATTTTAGTTGACCCTATTATCCTACTGCGCCCCACAGCCCCATCTCTGAACAAATCAACTCTGATCCTAATAAAAGTCTCTATACTTAAGCAAACGAATCCTTTAGAATGAGAACTCGAACCCATTCCCACCACAGAGCATCAAAACCCAGGACTTTTCTTTCTCTTCACATTTCACTTCTTACGCTTATTGGTCCAAACATGGTGACGACATCCAGCCTCCTCTCCGGAACTGTAACCCAGTCTCCAAGTCAGTCTCCCTACGTTTCTTTTGCCGCCGTTCCACGACCAGCTCATTCATCCAATGAGACGAGGATTTTGGCTTGAAGGACAAGGACTTTTTCGTCCAATAAGAACCGAGAGGAAATGTTGAAGGGCCGGCAGTGGGGCTGAGGGTAAGCTTGCTGATTTCGCAAGAACCAACACTTAAGGTAGGAGGAGAGAGAAGGAGGGGTATCGCTTGAGCGACATTCTTAGAGACCATTGAGAAAGAGACACTTTCTACGGAGGCGGGAAGAAGGGGAGTATGGGAGGGACTTATCGTGACTCACACCCAATGGAAAATGCAGAGTGTTCAGGGACTTATTTGACACAAGGGGACGAGCGAATCCAATACGAAGGCACTCAGGCGGGACTTAAACCGGTTGGCCAATCATCGAGGAGGTTGGCTTGACTGCAGTCAATAGGAATCAGGATGGGCTTGAGAGGCGGTACCTCAACCCAATAGGACATGAAAGCATTAGGTGACGGACGGAGCCAGCGGCCAATTGGCTTGGAACGGGTCGGTTCGGTGCTGCTGGGCCAGGTTCGGGCGCGGAGCAGAACGGAGCATCGCCGCGGTCCCGACCCGCCACCGCCACCATGCCGGCCGTTTCCAAGGGAGACGGGATGCGGGGCTTGGCCGTGTTTATCTCCGACATCCGAAACTGTAAGCCACTGCGGGGGCCGTGGGGGAGAGGGGAGGGGCCGTGGAAAAGGGGAGAGGGGGATCGGACCCCGGGGAGGACTCCGCAAGGGGGCCGGAGTGCGGGCGCGGGAGAGGCCTTCCGAGCCGATAGTGCCAGCGTGGTGTGGGAAGGGAGAGGAAGGGGGCCCGGCAGCGGCAGCGGCGGTTGGCTGAGAGCAAAGAGCTTGAGCCGCGGGGAGGGGCTCTCCCAAGTCCGCATGGAGGGAGGAGGTCAGCGGGGCTCTGGGCAGAAGCGAAGGTTTCGTGGCCGCGTGGGAACGGGAAAGCAAGCAGAGACAGGCCACCCTGAGGTGCGACTTGGTGGCAGGGTGACTACAAGGGCTATTCGAGCGGACTTTCCTAGCCCAGCCGGACCGACCATTCGGGGCGCATGCCTGCAAAGGAAGCGAGCCATGGGAGTGCCAGTCGGGAGATGGGCATCATTTCGGGAGAGGGAGAAGGAGCTGCTTGCTGCTAACGGGAGATGGATAGAAGTTCGAGCAATAGTTTGATTAGGGAGTGAGTTGCTGGAGAATGTTGGGTTGAGGCTTCCCACACACAGTTAATTCTTGTTAATTTTAGCCCCTCGCCTTAACTGCGTGCTTTCCAGATATGTTGGGCTACAGCTTCCATCATTCTCAGCTTGCATGTCCTTTGCTTTCAGCATGTGGGATGGGGATGATGGGATTTCCAGTCAAGCATATCTGGAGGGGACCAGGTTGAAGAATGCTAGTGCGTGTGTTAAGCTTCAGGCTTTGCTTGAGCCTGGGGCTGTAATATTTGGGGAAAGTAGAGGCCATAAACAGAAAGTTGTAAAGACAATGTGGGAGGAGCTGCATTTGGGACAAAGAAAAGAGAAGGGATGATAAGAGAGCAGTAGAGACGTCACCTGTTTTGCTTAGGTTTGAGGTTCAGTTCTCTTTCTTTCCAGTGTCCCAATAGCACAAGGGCATCCAAAGAGATTGCAGGTGAATAAAACACGTGAACATTTAGGCCTTGCATGGCACAGCACAAGGATGGACACTCTCATAGATTTCCATAAGAGTGGCTTTGCCTCTGTGTAAACTGCCCTTGCGGAGCATTGTATTGAAACTTTTTGGGGTAGAGAGGTTTCAGAAGAATTTTCAGAAGTTGGTCCATGGAGCCTCATAGAGTTGCTGATGCCAGCATAATGGATATCAGCTATTTGCATCATCTGCATGGAAAGGGAAGAGAAGATTCAGATACTGTTCTGTGATTGCAAAATAAATTGTAGAAAGATTTCTAATGCCTGGGAGTCAAATTATCATTTCCCTGGGATTTGTTTCTTATGGTTGCCAGGTATCTAGATGAGTGAAAGTTGACAGTGAGGACAAACGGGTGTGATCCTGTTAGAACATTGTTGGGAAGCAGAGATTTATAGTTCCCCTCAAAAAGATTGCTGGTTACCAGGTTCAGTAGAAAATGTTCCTTGTCCTTTCATTTTCCAAGCCTGCTATTGCATTTCTGGAGGAGATCCCAGTGGTCAAGGCAACAAAGATGAAACCGAAGAGATCAGTATTTGGACCCCACTCCTTTCTGGATTTTCACAGGGGTGTTCCACTGTGGTCAGAGGCTAAAATTGTTTGATTCAGCCTGCTTTCTTATTTCCTTCTCTTAATCCTAAACATTTTCCCCACCCTTCCTCTCCTTGGCTGACAAAGAAATAAAAAAGTGTTGTGCAACATCGATTTTGGAAGAATAATTCATACAAACTTAGTGGTAATAGCTTTCCGAGAATGGCAGCTGGCAGGGCTGATTTCACATAATCATTTTTAGACTATGAACTTACTGGAGTAGATTCTTCTCTCAGTGCAGCCCACACAACACCCCAAAATGTAAGAGCACAAACCACCAATGTCCGAGACAGCATTAAACACCCGAATTTGACCAGACCATGGCAAATTGTAATTATGTCACATGTTGAAGCATTCTTAAGAGTATAACCAGTGAACACAACAGTCCTGTGGCACCTTAAAAAACCTAACATTTAGGTTAGGTTACATGTGCTTTCATGCACTTTCAATTGCTACTTCAGTAGATTCGTCGAATGCTATAACAGTGTGTGTGTGTGTGTGTGTGTGTGTTCATTTATTGGGATGTTGAACCTCTTTCAGTCCAAGGATTCTATTTGGAGATGTAACTGGGAGCCACGTTCCAGTGGTGGCTGTGGTGAAAAACACCAGCATATGTTTGCTTAAATCTTCTGTTGCCAATGACAAAACCTTAGAAGAGACTTTCCGGTCTTTTAAAGTGTGGGGTAGCAATCATCAAATACTTGATGGTCAGGGAAGTAGGGTGGACCAGATCGGGACAACAGGTGAACTGAATTGGGATCCTGGGCCTGATTTTTCCTTCTAGGTCTAGATACACAAACACATATCCACTGTGCTTTGTAGAGCACAAAGTGAATAGAAATGCACATTGTAAGGAGAGTGATAGGGACTGCAGGTGGTACAGTGGTTTAAACCGCTGTGCTGCTGGGTTGGTTGATCGAAAGGTCGCCGGTTTGAATCTACACAACGGGGTGAGTTCCCGTTGCTTTGTCCCAGCTCCTGCCAACCTTGCAGTTCGAAAGCATGCAAATGCAAGTAGATAAAAAGGTACCACTTAGGTGGGCAGGTAACAGCGTTCCGTGCACTTCAGTGTTTAGTCATGCCGGCCACATGGCCACGGAGACTGTCTGCGGACAAACGCTGGCTCCCTCGGCTAGGAAACAGAGATGAGCACCGCCCCCTAGAGTCAGGCATGACTGGACTTAATGTCAAGGGGAAACCTTTACCTTTTAAGGAGAGTGATAATTACCATATTTACAGGGACCATTCAAGAAACAAATGTTTTGGGATAATACAGATGTCTTTGCAGAGGAAAAGTGGACTATAGTCCATTAAAGTATGCACTTTATTTTTGGATTTTGCTTCCCATCAATTCCTGCCAACTTGGTCAATGGTCAGGCATGATGGGTGTTGAAGTCTACAAATTTGGAGAGTATCAGGTTGAGGAAACCTGGCTTATGCTGTAATAATCGTTAGTCTTTAAGGTACTGCAAGAGAGTAATTTTTACTGTACTGCCATTTCAGAGAAATGTTTGTCCTGTGGTGAATTTAACAGGTCTGATGGAGGACATACTGATCCTTTTTTTGTTGCTCTGCTTGGTAGGTGGATGCTTAGCAGGTATGAGATTCCCGGTTCAAGGCTGGCATCTTTGCAAATGTTAAGAGAGAGGCAATGCCTCAGTGTTAAGCACCTGCTTTATGTGCAAATGTCTCCAGGGTCGATTCTTAGCATGTCTTGTTAGGTTCTCTCCTAAACTGAGTCTCTTCTTCAAGAGTGGCTTTCAGCCAGAATAGAGGCAGTCCTAGGCCTGACAGACAGACAGACAGATCTGGTGCAGTTTCTTTATAGGGAGGAGGCATAGCTCAATGGAGAGCACCTGCTTTGCATATAGAAGGTTGACTCTCTGGCATCTCCAGGGAGGCCTGGAAAGATTCCCACTGAAGATCCTGCAGTGCTGGTGCCAGTCGGTGTCTTGAGCTAGGTGGACCAACTGTCTGTCTCAATATAAAGTGGTTTCCTATATTCTTATGATGCTGTGGATCTAGAAATAGAAAAGTGTATCCTGAATGCCAGTTAAAGACTTAGTTTGGATCCATTACTATTCTTGCCTTGTATTGATGCAAGATCCACATGCCTGTATAGTCTTCTTAACTGCTTCAAGTCACCACTATTTTGTCTGTTTTTCTAAAAAAACAAAAACCAGGAAGTGGGTGGATGGTCTGTTTATGTGGGAATAATATTGACACACACATGAAGTACAGGCAGTCCCCAAGTTACAAATTACCAAGTTACGAACAACCCATACTAATGAACAAACTGCCATATACCCTATTAATTCTAAAAAATTACTGCAGAAAATTGTCATCACCATAGAGAGGAAACAGAAGAGGAGAGAGGGAGGCATCTAAAGCATGCCTTCCTGCTCCACCTATCCAGAGGGAAATCTCTTCAGCATTTTCTTGCTCCAAAGAGGAGGCACTGGTGATTTTGGGCAGGGAGGGGAGGCTAGAGATGTTGCAGTTTTTTCTATTGTCATGGGAGTGTACCCCTAACCCCTGCAAAAGTGGAGGGCCAACTACACGTGATTTGACTTACATACAGATTCAACTTAAATTTCCATCTTCTCAGGAACAGAACATGTTTGTAACCTGGGGACTGCCTGTAGAAGTGTTATAAAGATGCTCAAGCTGGAGGAGAGCCCTTCTGTACCTTCAGTGATTGTGTACAAGAACGTGTTTGCAAGGCATATTTTGTCCTTCAGGACTTATAAAGCAGCCACTGTCAAAACTTCCTTGTGAACATGGCTGTGGAGGATGCAAAAGCCTGGTCCTTTTGGGGCATCCTTTATCCTAGAAAGGACTCGATCCCTCTTTATAGCAAATGACTCCTTCACCTCCATTTTCATCTGCAGAATGTACAGAAGAATGAAGGTAGCAGTTCAAATGAATGACCAAGGCCAAATCTTTTGCATTTCCAAACGCCAATTGTTGTAAGAGGGTATTGGAAGGGACTTGGAAGGAACCGGAGAAGTTCAATCTTCCCTCAGGGTGAATATTTTGGGATGGGATGTTGCACAGAAGGTGTTTGAGTCACAGGTGCTCGTGAACCTGAAGAGAGAGAAGTGTGTGTTGGCAGCTGTGTGGGTGGAGAGAATTCTAGAGAATTTCAAAGGAGCAACAGTTCACACTGCTGGAGGCTCTCTGGAGCTATAGCCAAGGAGAGAACAGGCAGCCAGGAAAGCATCTGGGATTGTGTGGGCAGTATGAGCTGGAGGAACCAGAGGGAGGTTGCATCTTGGTGTCGCTTTACACAGTCTGTTTTGTAGACAACAGAATCCTTCTGCCATTGGTAATTAGGGCCTGATGGCTACAGACCTATGATATCTCAAATTCAAAAATGGCTTTGTCTCTTGCCCAGTATTTGGCTAGGGAGCTCTGAATCCTGTAACAACTGTGGAGCTAAGGCGGGGCAGACAAGATTACTGTTTGGATGCGAGATCCCTCAGGAGGCCAACGGAAACGTCTCTGAGCTCCCAATAGGAAGAAAAGGATGTGGCAAATAAGCACTTTTCACAGCCTGTTTCTCCGTTTCATAGATTTCCTCTTAGGTGTAGTGATGCTATACCTTAAAGGTATAGCATCACTATACCTTAAAGGTCCAGCTGTTTTTCCATTTGGAGTGATAGTGGATCTACATGTGAAGCTAAGGGATGGGGAGAACCAGCAGCATCCAGATTTTGGACTCCAGCTTCCATTGTCTGCAGTCAGAATGGCCAGGGATGATAGAGGTTGACATCTGAGAACACCTGGGGTGGGGGCATTTTCCTTACCCTAGAATGGTTGTCCTCTCCCAACCTGAATGGTGAGCTAGGAACTTTAATGTGGAAGGCTTTCAGAAATGTGTTGATGCTTCCTAATTTGATAGTCCATTTGGCTGCATTTGGAGGCTCTGGATAAGGTGCTATACAGGGACAAAAAGAGAAAAAAAAAGAAAATAGTCAAGGTTGTTTAGGAATGTGATTGAGTTGTATTTACAAGCCAGAATTTATAAGCCAACATCAACCCCATGTTTAAACTGGCTTTTAACCTTGGTGTGTTTGGATTCAGCTATCCCACTTCAACTGGTACTAGAAAACAATCTCTTTCTTGGTTTAATTTACCTGCATGTGTTAAATGGGAGTGACTTCTGGCTGCCTTTTGTATTAGCCACCTTTTTGCACTCTCTGATTAAATGCTTCTTCTCTCTCAAGCGTGTCTTTCAGTCCTTGTGCAAAGAATCCCTGTATAAGCACTATCTACCTTCTCCACTCAGAAAGGCCAGACGTTGCATCTGTATACCATTGTAGCAGAGACTATTTGTTTGTTTGTTTGTTTATTTATTTATTTATTTAGAAAGCTTCTATGCTGCCCCATTCGCTGAAGCCTCGGGGCAGCTTACAACAATAAATAATAACAATATAAAACAATATAATATAATTGGAGACGTCCTGGCCATATACTTGAACATACAAGGGACCTCTGTGTACTTGTTCCTGCCCACTTCTACACGGTCATCTTCCAATTGCTGAAAGAATAGTTCTTTGGCCTCCCCGCTTGTCCCCGTGCTCTTCTGGGAATTGGTAACTGAGTTTCATTTCAGAGTTTCAAGAGAGCATGAATTAGATCAGGAGCTATGCAGAAACAAAGGGTTTACTTTCCTGGTGCCACCATATACAACAGGACTGGGGTCTCCCAAGCCGTCGGGTCAAACCTGACCTGGCCAGGTCCCAACTTTGGCCCTCCAAAGTTCACCACAAGGCCATGCCCACTTCCCTGAGACAAACCCTCTGACTGTTGATAGTTTTCTGGCATTTGTGCAATTCCCCTCTCCGTACTCCATTCTAAAAGTTTGAAAGCCTCTCCTAAGGTTCAGTACTAATTAAGAGTTTTAAGCTAAAATGCATTGGTACTTTTGGCTCTGCCTTTGACGTCACCCACCACTGGATTGCTGCCCCTGGGAAAAAATTGAATTTGGCTGTTGGATTGAAAAGAGAGCTCTACCTCTGAGATACAGGTCAGTTTGCCTGCTTTTGCCAGTTCTAGTGTGGGACTGATTATTCTGTGCAGCCATGGAGAAATAAGTACATTATCCTTGAATCTTTGTGTGGTCTTTGGCCTTTCTGTAGTCTTTCTCCCTGTAAGAGCCAACAATACATAATGGTGGTGATCCTTGACTGTATCTTCCCAACAAAGTGATTTTCAATTAACAACAGGCCCAGCTTGGAACAGAGCAGGACGGAGTGTTAAACTTTCCCCTTTTATCATTTTTCATCTTCTCCCTAAATGGGGCAAGGAGCAACTTTTCTGGTTGAGAGGTAGAATACAATATTTCCTGCTAAACAGCAGTGTGCTGTTAAATCCCACTTTTAAAGGTTGCTTTTAAGTTACTCCCTCTAGTTGCCTTTAAGTTACTAGACACAGCAAAAGAAAGAGAGAGAATTCCAATGAAAATCTTCTGTCGTGCATCTAAGAGGTGCCTTTTTCACTTGGAAAAGCAGCGTGCAGGCCCTGATCCTTTCTTTTTGCATCACTACTTTATTTTTGTGCTGTTTTTTCCCCCTAAAGTGTCATTTTGCGGTGGGGACTGCTTCAATTCACTCCACATTGGGGAGCCAGTGTAGGGAATAGTTAGAGTGTAGGGCTGGGGGCTGGAAAGGCCTAGATCCAAATCTTCACTTGGCCGTAAAGCTCCATGGGTGAACTTGGGCTAGTGACTCTCTCTTAGCATAAACTACCTCACAGAGTTGCTGTGAGGATGAAATGTGGAGGAGGATCGTGTATGTCACTGCCATTTATCTGACTTTTCCCACCCCAGATTTTCTTTCTTGATGAGATAAGTAGGTGTTCACTGCTAAGCACACAGTTTAGGTGGGCAGAGTGGACAAAATACAGAGGAGACCAGCAATTTTTTCTTGTTTTCATCCCTTTGTCTTTTGATTCCAGGTAAGAGCAAAGAGGCTGAAATTAAAAGAATTAACAAGGAGTTGGCCAATATCCGGTCAAAATTCAAGGGTAAGTCTTTGTGCTGTTTTCTGCTTCCTTTTTCTTTCTCTCCCACCTTGCATGATATGCCAACTGTTTCACATGAGAGACTTTTGCAGCAGCTCCATGACTCAGCCTTGAATTACTCACAGTCTCTCATTTTCTTTCTCTGTCTTCCCACACACTGACCGTGCTTATCTGTAGTTGCTGCCCAGGTTGGTTCAGCTCCTATTGTCCACCTTTTCTAATACTCTCTTGGCAATGTCCTGCTGAAAGGTGCTGTGTGTGGCATGTCTGCAGGCACCAGATGCAGTATGACCCTTGCAGGCTCAGGGTCAAAATGCTAAAGAGCTGGATGGTTCTAACTCTCCAGCTGGGACATTGAAATGTTTGTGAACAAGGTCTGATTCCCAGGACCTCTGCTTCAGCCAGAAGCTTCCTGTCTCCTCTCAGAGAATCCAAGAGTGGCTCGCGTTGGCCCTGTGCCTTGTTCTACTCCAGCCAGTCTTATCCAGTGGATCCTGGGCAGTCTGTCTCCTTGCTGCATTTTCTTTTTGGCCCACTGATCACCTGTGTTTTCAGCAGGATCCAGAGATGTTAAGGGGAAAATTGGAAGCTTCACCCTCCACCCAGCCAGGGCATTTGGGGATGTGTGCTGTGTTGGAATGAAGATTTTTTTTCTGCTTTTGCTGCTTTTTGTAATTAAAAAAAATCATTTACAGCATAGAACGGATACCATTCCAGAAGTATGCTGATCTTATTCATACAATCAATGAATCACTGGGCTTTCTCAGTTCAGTATTTCGCTTACTTTTTGTTTCCAGCTTGTATTATAATCAGCTAAATCTTCTAATACTTCTTTCTTTATATTCCAATTATTATTATTTTGTCTCCAATACTGAACAATTTAATCCTGTTGATCTAAGCAATCCTTTTCCTGTAATTTGACTCTCCAATTTTTAAATATTAGATCTTACACATTGTATGATATGCCCAATACTATTTTCTCATTCGCTTAGAGATAGTACTTCTTGCCACCTCCCTGTGGGGTTGTTGTTGTTGTTTTGCATTCAAGCTGAAAGCCATATGTTTGCAGTCCATTTATTCATAGTTGCCACCAGACCATCTATCTTAACTGATTATACAATCATTGGGGAAAAAATGAACACGAATCCAAACTGTTTTCACCTGTGCATCTTCACCTGAGAAGAGCAGGATTTAACAAGCTCCATTCTGTTATTGTCTCTGTGGTCAGGATACTAGGTGGGGGTAGTAAGAAGGGATCGGCATTCTAAGAACACAATTGTGCATTCTGTGCCAAGTGTTTTTTCCCCTCAAAAGCAAGAGGGAGAGGGTGAATTAGGAGGATACAGAAAACAGCTCTTCTGCTCATGTATATTTGGACAGAAAACCCCATATACCAGATTAGACAGTGGCTTATGGATGTGCAGATATGGTCAAAGACCACGCAACCCAGTTGGGCTACATTCTCTGGAGTGGCAGATAGTATTCTGTTTGCCTGAAGTGCGTATATGGCTGAGATCCCCAGACCTCTGTAGAAATACCATTTCCTTCCTTTTTTTTCTACTGAAACTTAGGCTGCTTCCAGGTAACTTCAGAGATCTGGTTTCTGGCATTTTCAGGCTATCTGGCAGTTTTGGTTCTTGGTTTATTCTGTTTTTTTCTTAGATAGACTTCACTTTTTCTGAGAGCAAGGCAGTTTTTTTCTTGTCAGGAGATTCCTATGGCTCTGCAGGGCAACAGTGTTGGAGTTGTCTGTGGACACCAAAAGACATCCCTTGGTTTGTTGCTTGGTTGTAAGCTTTGGGCTGTTTAAACAATGGATTGTAACTATGTGTGATAATGTGTCTGCTGATACACATGTCCTCCTGAGGGGTTTCAGATGTGAAGGTTATGACCTCCGGGAGAAGTGACCATGAAGCTCTTGTAACTGATCCTTCTCCCCTTGACTGCCTTATAGTCAACTTTCAACCATGCCAGTGAACGTCTCTCCTCCATACTCCCCTGTCACTCTCCTTTCCCCCTCAGGAGATAAAGCCTTGGATGGTTACAGCAAGAAGAAATATGTCTGTAAGCTGCTCTTCATCTTCCTGCTGGGCCATGACATTGATTTTGGGCATATGGAAGCAGTCAACCTGCTTAGCTCCAACAAATACACAGAGAAGCAAATTGTGAGTTGGTGCAAGGGGACTGTGCTGGGGGTCTTCTAAAACAAAACAAACAGGCCAGAAACAAAATCCACCACAGGTCTTGGCTGTCTCTTTGCCCTCATTCCCAACTGTAGCCTACCACCCAGACTTCAGTGGAATGAAAACCCCAGGTCTATGTATAATTTATTCAGAAAGACCATAATTATTTGGCCTGTAATTACTTGCTATTTTCGCACTTCCTGTAAGGATGTCTGGGAAAAATATGTCATCCCTCTGTTCCTATTTTATCCTTACAGAAACTTTGTCAGGTAGGTTAGGCCGAGGGGGTATGTGGGGATCTTTCCCATCCTAGTCTGACACTGTAATCCAAAGGTGGGCAACTTGAGGTTCTCCAGGTCTTTTGGCCTGCAGCTTCCATCAGCCCTCATCATTGGCAGTGGTGATTAGGGATGTTGAGAGCTGTAGACCAAAACACGTGGAGGGCTATACCTTATTGACTCCTATGTAAATTATAATGACTGTAAAATCATGCAAATAAAATAGAGCTAGAATTTCATAAATTGTTGTATATGTTATAAAAGCAAACGATTACAGATTCTGCTTCAATATCATGGGTCATGTTAATCTGTGCTCTTCTTACAAAAGTACAAATAAGAGAAAGGTGGTAAAGTCTAGAACAGGAGCCTTTGAAAACTGTTGTGTCTGCATACCCTGTGGGACAAAGGCTTCCCTTGGGGAAGTTGAGGATAGTTCACATGAGATGCCCCATATTCCCCTTTTGCGTGGGTTAGCCAAAGTTGCCCCAAATCTCTCCCACTGACACAAACCACAGATAGTGGTAAATCTCTTCCTACTGGGCACCCACGTGAAGGTTCAGTGTGAGGTAGACTTAGGGGAGAGAGAAAATGGGCCAGAGTCCAGGGAGCTAAGCTGAGAAAATCTGATGGAATCTCACCTCAAAACCAAATTGCTTTTATTCATGGCTAACATACACTTACAATTAGTTGACAACCTCATCTGCTATTCTGTATGAACCAAGCTCAGGTAAGAATTTAAATTTAGGGTTCTGTATTTATTTCTCCTCCCTCTTTCAGCTCCCCCATGTATTTTTCTCTCTTTTAACTTCTATTTTGAGCCTTCTATATTGACGTGGGACTTTTAATTAAAATGCAGTACTCCTTGCTGATAATTGGACAAAAAAGGTGACCCTGGGCCAGGTGGATTTGATTTAAATCAAGATTTAAAAAGAAGTATTTTAAAAATCCAATTTTAATTGATTTTTATTCACCCTGTCCTGGGCACATCAGGGCATCTTACAATGAGTCCTTCCCCATGTCCTGTGGTTAGAGATAGCTTAGCTGCCAAAGAATGTGTCAACATGACTGCTTATTTCCCTTGATGACTGTAGCTAACCTCACCCTGGCTATTTTCTGCTAAGAGACAAAGCAGTCGCAGTGGCATTTCCTTGGGATGCCTTTGGCTAACCAAAGGTGTGCCCGTACCGCTTCCACAATTCCAGGGTCATGACTTCTTGTCTTCCCCACATCTCCCTTCCTGTCCACTTGCCTAGGGCTACCTGTTTATTTCTGTGCTGGTGAACTCCAACAGCGAGCTGATCCGCCTCATCAACAATGCCATTAAGAATGACTTGGCGAGCCGCAACCCCACCTTCATGTGCCTGGCCCTGCACTGCATTGCCAATGTAGGCAGCCGCGAAATGGCTGAGGCCTTTGCCTCTGAAATCCCCCGTATCCTGGTGGCCGGGTAAGGCAGCATCATTGGAGAAAGGGTTGGCTTTGTGTGGAGTAAAGGGCTGTCTTCAAAAGTGCTTGTAACAGCATAGGGAGCTCCCTATGCCAGCACAGGTTATCTGTCCATCTCTGTTTCCATGTTGTCTCTTCTTGTGGCTCTTCAGGGCCTCAGGCAGAGGTCCTTCCCGTCATCTGATCCTTTTATTTGGAGTTGGCAGAGATTGAACTTGGGATCTTTTGCATGCAAAGCAGTGGTTTTACCTCTGACCTTTGGCTGCAGAACCTCAGTCCCAGGGCCCCAGTCCAGCCCCCTTGGAACTGTGATGCAGGTGTTGCTGGACCTTGGGGCCCAAGTGCAGGTCCCCACAGAGCTCCCAAGTGTCCACCAAGAGAGCAGCAGGTGCAGAAGCAAACTCCAGTTTACTCCTGTCATCATGAAAGTGCTGTGATTTCAGTGAGTTAAAAATGCAAAATTGCACATGCTTAGAGTTCATTTTAACATCCGGATTGGTGAACAGTTTTGTTTTTGTTCTAACATTTCAGGAATGCAAAAGCAGTTTTAGAGCATGTAATGGTGGCTGAACTGTGGGGAGAAACACCAGAATGAACTAACACATATAGCCATCTAAAGGGTGTCCCCATAAGACCATCAATTTCAACTAAAATGCCATAGCTGAACTACTGGCCTGGGATCCCAGTCCAGTTGGTCAGGGTTTCCCAGACAGCCATGCCTCCTTTTCCCTACCCACCAATCACTGGGTACTTTCCTAACTTTTGTGTTGTTTTCCGCCCAATTCTATCTGGTTGAAATGCCTCTCCTAAAAACTGGCAGTAAAAACATTACAGTATGCTGGTATGTTTGACATTTTTGGCCCTGCCTCTTTTACCTTGGGTCCCACTTTTGCTTTTGGCCCTACCCAGCACTGTAATGCCAAGGAATGTCTCTGAAATGAAAATTGGGTTCTGCACCCTACCTTCAGGCACCCTGTTAATCTCACCGCCCCCTGCCTGCCCTGTGTCTGTCTATAATTGCACTTCAGTGATACCATGGACAGCGTGAAGCAGAGCGCCGCCCTCTGCCTCCTGCGCCTTTACAAGACTTCTCCTGACCTGGTGCCTATGGGAGAGTGGACGTCACGTGTTGTGCACCTCCTGAATGACCAGCACATGGTATGCCGCTCCCCTCCCTTTCCCAGCATTCGTTTTCAAAGGGCCCGTGTGTAGACTTTGCTGCAGTCCCCACAGTCACCTGCACATAGTATGTCCCAGCCACGCACTCCTAGTCCCTGTCACATGGTTTGTTCATCTATTTAACTCATTTAGGGCTAGGGTTATTGGGTTACTGCTCAATAGCTGAGGCTCTCTTGCGATGAGCATTCAGAATTGTTCACCTCCGCCCTGTGATACTCAGGGGTTCTGTTCACAGAAAATAAGGGTTACCAGCACTCCGCGTGGATTATACAGAATTCCTAATGATCCATTTGCGGTGGCTTTGTGATGCACTCTACATGTGCTTAAAGCAGCTCTTTTCGCGCCTACTGGAAGGCTCAAGGGAGATGCAATGTATGAAGCTTTGACCGCCAAACAGCACCCTCCACCCCCCCACAGAAACACTGCCCGAGTAGGCTTGCACCTCATTTTCAAGATGGCTTACAGTGGGAGGTGAAAAAGAGCCATCTCGCACTTTCTCACCGGGTGCCCCATCGCTGTCCCTCTCCGACGCAGGGCGTGGTCACAGCGGCTGTCAGCCTCATTGCCTGTCTCTGCAAGAAGAATCCTGATGACTTCAAGACATGCGTCTCCTTGGCTGTGTCTAGGCTCAGTAGGGTGAGTCCTGAAGTTTGGGGGAGCTGGGAGTCTATTTTTTGCTTTTTTATTACTGTAATACCATTTATTTTTATTTGAATTTGTTTGACTTTTTTGTGGGGGTGGGATTGCTGGAGAGCTATTGGTTGGGAGCCAGTCCTGTATCTGGGAGCAAGGAGTCATAAGAACCTGGGCACATAGGGAAGACGGTGAACAAAGCTGAAAACCCCAAACTTGTGAGGCAAAAGACATTTAGGGGGCAATCCCATGTATGACTAGAGAGAGAAAAAGGCCTGCAGTTCCCAGCATGTCCTAACCAACTAGGGAATGCTGAGAGCTATGTGACATTTTTTCTGTTTAAACATAAATGTGCCCTTGTTTGCTTGTAACTTTGAGAAAATATATGTACTGTGTTCCTTTTCTATTTTAAATACTTCCCATATCTGTTCATAAGGTAAAATAACAATCCCCCCTGAACCACCAAACCCAATATGCCCAATCAGTGAAATGATAGAAACAGTTATGGAGTAAGAAAACACCATGTTATAATAATCAGAGATAGCTGGCAATGCTAACTATCAGAGAAAGGTCTAGGCAAACAAACACATCTTCAGTTTTCAGCAGTCCACACTAGGTGTTTGCCTGATCTTGATGTGGAGATAATTTCACAGGTGGGTGCTACATTGAAAAATATCCTCCATTGCAAGATAAGATCTGTAGGCTGTTGTAGAGTAAGCAATAACGCTGTCTTAACAAGAATGAAAAAACCAAGGCAGCCTCTAAAGGACTTCCAAGGATTTGTTTCTTTATTTTGCATCATGGCATGCATGGCACGTTGGGTGTATCTCACATTACTGTGGCTGTGACATAGGGCCAATGCCAGGAAAAGAGGGCAAAGAGAACAGGGACTTGTCTCAGGTGAACACAAGAAGGAGCACCAACCTAGCCAGGGAGGTGGTGGAGGGCTTTGTCTTTCTGTTACCTGAGGGCAGGAGGGGGAACAGTGTATGAGGTAAAGCACTGTTGTGTCTGCCTGCATAGCTAAGGGTTGTGGCTGTAGTCTGCTTTAGAACATAGGGAGTGGAATTGCAAATAGGCAGAGCTTGGGGGACTCAGGAGGTTTTCCTGAGCTGCTTTGGGGGCATTTCCCTCTGCTCTGCTCTGCTCACAGGTGCCAGTGGAAACTTCCCTCCTGGAACTGATAGCTGCTGTAGAGGATCAATATCAGGACTGCAGCAAGCAAGGAAAATTGGGTCTTCCCCATACTTGCTTTTGTGTGCATGCCTCTGTGTTTAACCAGATGGAGTTGCAAGTCTCACATTTAGTATCACACCTGCTTTGATACTCCGTTAGCTCCTGCTCTCAAATGCCCCTCTTTTACCTGAGATATTAAATTTGTCACAGTTTTTCTTTATTATTCCTGTTGTTCTTTCCCCCTTCAGCTAATAGAACTTTGAAGGGTGCGGGGGGGGGGGGGCGCTTAAATTGGGGAAATGGCATACAGGGCATTAACCCTGCCCAGCAGTGGGACTCATCTCGCTCCTCCCTCTGTCCTCCCCAGGTCTGCTGTGAAGCTCATCTAGTGTAGGCTCTGGGAGCCAGGCCTTTTGTGGTAATAGGATGGAGACAGAAGGGGCAATAAAGATGTTTTAACATAGCCAGCTTGGGGGGCTCTCACTGATGCTGTGTGCTATTGTGTTTGTGTTCTCCCCCTGCAGATTGTGTCATCAGCCTCCACAGACCTCCAGGACTACACCTATTACTTTGTGCCAGCCCCCTGGCTCTCAGTCAAGCTCCTGCGGCTGCTGCAGTGCTATCCTCCCCCAGGTAGGCAGTAGCATAGGATTTGGGGTGTGCAAAGAGAGAGAAGTTTAGAGAAGAACAAGGCCAATCCAGCCCTCTAGGGTTTGCCAGTGGCCATGCCCTCTTTTTTTGGTCTACCCTTTTTGACCAAAGCATCAAACTTTGGTGGTTTCCCAGCTTATGTACAGTTCTTTCCCTAGTTTGAAAGCTTGAAATGTCTCTCCTAAGGCTTAGCTACTGGTGGTGAGAGATTTAAGCTAGAATATATTGGTATTTTTGGCTCTGCTGCTTCTAGTTTGGTCCCACACATCAGTGGGATGTGACCCCTGAAATGGAATATGGCCTCATGCTAAAAGAGGTTCTGTACCCCAAGCTACATGAAGGGGCCTCTATGAGCCTTCCTGCCTCCCCTCTCTTGCTCAATTGATTGTCAGAGAAGGGGACTGGAATCTCATCATCCTCGTAACGCCTAATATATCTAGATTGTCACAAACTGGCATAGTTGTAGATGCATCTGCTGATGGAGACCTTCAGACCGTGACTGGTGTTCAAGTTGTAGAATACTAGGAGTCATTACTCTTGAGATGCAATGGAATGTGTTGGTTCAGGGGAGTATCTTGGGGGGATGGAGGAGAGTGCAATGATAATGGACGCGGAGAGCCAGGACTCTTGGGTCCTTTTCCTGACAGAGCTCCGTTTAATAGTCCACTGTCCAGCCTCCACACCCTCTGCTTTCCCCACAGAAGATGCAGCAGTGAAAGGACGCCTGGTTGAGTGCCTGGAGACTATCCTGAACAAGGCCCAGGAGCCACCCAAGTCCAAGAAGGTCCAGCACTCCAATGCCAAGAACGCGATCCTTTTTGAAGCCATCAGCCTCATCATCCACTACGACAGGCGAGCACTCAGGCTCCTTACACTAAGTAAACTTGATGTGAGGGGAAACAAAGACAGCATGATCCTGTTTCTTGACTGGCCACTCCACACCCATGCTCCCATGCCAACCCCTATGCAAACAGGCAAGGCCCACCCCAAGGTAGCCATTTTGTGAGAGTTCCCAAAACGATCTCTCCAAATGCCAGATTTGAGGAGCTTGAAAGCATTTCAGTGGTCCTCTCTCCCATCAGGCAAGAGCCACAGGCAAAGCCAGAGGGACAAGGACAGAGTTGTGGAAACTGGAAAAACCAAAAGCGTTAATGATTGGCAGTTGGAAAGTATTTGGTTGGACTCAGGGGTTGTTGGCTGGCATTCTGGGAGGCTTGAAAGGTTTGCAGTCGGTCCTGAGCTGCACTGGGACCCTCCTCACAGTATGTGAAGCCTGAAGTTAAATCTGTCCTCTTTCTCCACAGTGAACCCAACTTATTGGTGCGGGCATGCAATCAACTAGGCCAGTTCCTGCAGCATCGAGAGACCAACCTGCGCTACCTGGCCTTGGAGAGCATGTGCACCCTGGCCAGCTCCGAATTCTCTCACGAGGCTGTCAAGACCCACATCGAGACAGTCATCAATGCTCTCAAGGTTGGGGATCAATAAAGGCGCACACAGAACAAGTGAAAATGGCAGCTTACCTTGGGGTGTGGGGAGTTATAGGGCTGAATGCAAATAGTCCCCATTCCCTAATTCTCAGCCCTGTTTGCTCAGAGGTGATGAAATTGCAGGGAGAATCCTGTTGAATAATGTCCAAGAGTAGGGTGCTGCTATGTAGATTTCCAATGGTTTGCTAAAGAAAAATTCTCTGCAAATTAACTTCTGAGAAATTTTATGTGTGTATGTATGTATGTATGTATTTTTCGATTTATATCCTGCCTTTTTCCTACAAAGGACTCAAGGCAGCTTACATCATTCTCCTCCTCCATCTTATCCCACAACAACAACCCTGCGGGGTAGGTTGGACTGAGAGTCTGTGACTGGCCCAAAGTCACCCAGTTGGCTCCATGGCTGAGCGGGGACTAGAACCCAGATCGTCTGAGTCCCAGTCCCGTGCTGTTAACCACTACACCACACTGGCTCTTTTTTGTCTCAGTTAATGCTCTATGGATCAATATTGCTAGTTTATTCTAGGAATAAAGGAGGCTACAGGCTAGAAGAAGAAGCCTGGAAGGAGTCCAAGCTAATCCTCTGGTTCCTGCTACTGTATTAAAATAGCATGAAACCATATTAAAATAATAATGAACTGTGAATTGTACCCATTTTGGGTGGAGATTATTGGAGGATTATTTCCTAAAATATTCTCCAGAGGAGAACTTGAAAGCCTGCCAACAGTTGTGTTGTGGGTGGGGTCAAAAAGGAGTATTCTCTGAGGGATTTAGCTCAGTAAGGTTAGAGGGTAGAAAGGAAGATACATGGGCTGAAGGAAAAAAGTGTCAGCTCTGCAATCACACTTTGTGCATGTGGAACACAGCAACACTAGCTTTTCTTTGTTATTAAAGCAAGACTTTGCCCTTATGCTTGAATATATGTTAGTGAAATTTCAGAAGTCAAAGTGAATTTTGAGCTGGATTTCCAGTATTTAGGAGATAAGACTTCAATGGCTTCTTAAGGTCTTTGCCCCTCTAGACAGCTAAAGACCTTTTGGAGTTCCCAACTACAAGGTCAGAAAATTGCCCCAACCACATAGCTTGGGATCTGCCCAGATACCTCCCTCCACCACTCACAGCTGGCATGGAGAGAACCACACCAGCTGCTTCTCCAAGGTTCTAAGAAACATCTCAGAAAAGGATTTTTGGGGGGCTATTTTGTGGGGGATGGTCATCGGCTTCCTTGCTTCCCACTCCAGAGCACCACATTTAACCAAGTTCTGCCATCTAAATGTTTTGCAATGCAAGAAGGGTATGAAGGCAATTTATTCTTCTTTGCTCTTCTTAGGAGCATCTCTATTGGAATGAGCACTAAGAGATTCAGGAGACATCATGTGAGCCCAGGAAGTATTAGCTAAAAGGGTCGATTTCTGAAAATGTGTACAGCTTGTAGAATTGACATTGTGGCCCCGCACTTTTTATGGTGCACAGTCTTGGGATATCTTTGGTCAGAATTTTCATCATGAATCAGGAGATAACATTTTACATTTAAAAGCTAAAATGATTACTATTTAAAAGCAAGTTGCAGGAGGCATTAAAAAGAAATTAATTAAATGACCGCATCTTCAGTGAATTCTGTTAACCAAATCAAGTTAACATTATTTTGGACAGTAAAACATTAAAACGTTATTTTACAGTTTTGCATATAGGTCTTGCAGCAAAAAATCCAGCTTTCCTTAATGTGGTACCTTCTCCTTGTGTTTCCTATCACACTCATCACACAACAGGTGTGTACTTCAACACATCAGGAGGGTACCAGACTGGGGAAGGATGGACTAGGATCTATTAGAAGTCGTATTTTTGTGCATGACTGTCTAGTCATCACTGTTGAGGATTAAGAGACCTTGCCCTGACTTGGTTGTTAGGCAATCTGGCTTGAGTTTAATGAGTGGTCATGGTAGACCACAAAATCAGGTGTCAAACCTTTTTCAGGATGAAGGCTGCAGTCCATTTCACAGATGCTCACAGGGGCTGCATTCTAGAGGATGGGTAGAACCAAGGCAGATTGAGGCAGAGCCAAAATATTTTAAAAATCAGAATATTGTAGATTAAAGCTCTTATTGCCACTGATGAAACCATAGGAGAGGCGTTTTAACATTTCAGAATGGGGAAAAAAGGCTATGCCAAATCCAGGAACCTACCACATGATCAGTGGGGAGAAAAGGAAAGGGGCATGACCTTCTGGGGAACCACAGATTGTGATCCTGGGCAGGCTGGATTTGGTCTGTGGTTCTGCATCTCAGGGTTAAGGGTTGGAGGAGGGAATGAAAAAGTATCTGCTGTAGGACATTGGAACATGGTACCATCTTTATATCCTCCTCATGCATCCCTTTCTGTTGCATTGCCCGCCTGGGGGATGATTAGTAGCAGGTCATCAGAAGGTGCCTGCTGCATGGTTCATATCTGTGTGGGCCAACTCAAGGCTGGAGTGAAGGGTGGGTACACGCCACAGGCAAGAGCGTGGCTTTCACTGCTTCCCCCTGTTTTCCCAGACTGAACGGGATGTGAGTGTGCGTCAGCGGGCTGCTGACCTCCTGTATGCCATGTGTGACCGCACAAACGCCAAGCAGATTGTCTCAGAGATGCTTAGCTACCTGGAGACAGCCGACTACTCCATCCGTGAGGAGATTGTGAGTTGGGGGCTCCCGTTGTTGGGACCGGAGTGGGGAAAAGGTTGTGCAAATCAACATGTTTCTTTATCAGACAGGAATTCTGTGAAATGGAATAAGAAGGTGCCTGCGTTTGCTTAATGCCTGGTAGGGAGAGTGGTTAGCCGTAGCTGCAGACGCAGATGGGAAAGTTGGTTTCATTTCTCTCAGGTGCTAAAGGTGGCTATCCTGGCTGAGAAATACGCAGTGGACTACAGCTGGTATGTGGACACCATCCTCAACCTGATCCGTATCGCTGGGGACTATGTGAGTGAAGAGGTGTGGTACCGTGTCATCCAGATCGTCATCAACCGGGATGATGTGCAAGGTTATGCTGCCAAGACCGTCTTTGAGGTGGGTGGGATTGATTTGTTGACAGTGAACATCTTTTGTAAGTGCGCTTGAGGTGTGTGTACATCTGGTTGCCTTGGTCTTCAATTGATTTGAAGAAGCATTCTATACATTCTGATTTTTGGGCCAATGTTTGTTAGCCAAAGCAGTGTCGTGCCCACACCCAAGGGGGGGGGGGTACCACGAAGCTTGGAGAGCTGCAGGAAGCACCCCTCCCTCAAGAAAAATCAGGAAAAAAATGCAGGGAGGACAACAAAATAAACTCGACGAGGTTTGAGCATGCTTCATGACCATAGTTCTCACTAGACAACTGTTGTGGGGGTGAAGGAAAACTAGGAAGGAAGGGGAATGGAGAGGAGTATCCTGGAGGAGGACTTGGCTGGCTACTTAGAACACTAAAGGGAAGCATTTCACACAGCAAATCACACTTTGTTGCTGATCCCTCTGGTTCTCGTCACATAAAAATAAATGAACATGCAAGTTGGCCCCAGGTGCTTGGACCTCCTGGACAGTGCCCTGGGTTTATTACATAGGTTGCATCCAGATGTCCCTGCCAATAGGAGCAGCTGTGGGGGTGGGAAGAAGTCTGCTTTTCCCATCCTTTTCTCCTCTTGTGGCTCCAGAGTACCAGTTGACTGCTGCCCCTTCCCCCATGAGGCCATTTGTTTTGTTTCTGTTTTTATCCGCAGGATTATCAGTTTTTAAAATGTGTTACCTTACTATTTTCAAGGGTTTTTGCCCCTTTTTTGCACTTGGGAGCCCTGTGCATAGCTTTGCTCAGAGAAGAGGAAAGTTGCTTAAGAACTAAGCCAATTGTTGTTGTTAAACGCCGACATAACAAAAGATGAAGAGAAAAAGTGTTTCTCCTGAGGCCAGTCCTTGGGAGAGGATTGTCTGTGTGTTGGGAGCAACTGTGGTGAATACACTTGCATAGCAGATTTCCTGTTGAATGTATGCCTCTGTGGACAGTCATTATTTACTAGACTGGAGACCCTGAAAGAAATTAAAAAGACCTAAGGCTTTTTGGCCAATTTATTCATAGTAAACTAGAATGGGAGCTTCTTTCCATGGCTTTCTTTTTATCTGACTACCCATAATGCACTGCACACACTCTTATTTCTCATAGGCCCTGCAGGCTCCTGCATGTCATGAGAACATGGTGAAAGTTGGAGGCTATATCCTAGGGGAGTTTGGGAACCTCATCGCTGGAGATCCTCGCTCCAGGTAGGGAGTTGTTGGAGGAAGTGAATTGGTTGAGGAAACGGTTTACTTGCCCTCCCTGTCTGAGATATCTGAATTCCATTATATCCATCTCTGCCAGTAACGCACCCCTTCGCACCCCTTTGCCTTCCTCTCTTAGCCCTTTGGTGCAGTTTAACCTACTGCACTCCAAGTTCCACCTCTGCAGCGTGTCAACACGGGCCCTGCTCCTCTCCACCTATATCAAGTTCATCAACCTCTTTCCTGAGACCAAGGGCACAATCCAAGAGGTGCTGCGCTCAGACAGCCAGATCCGCAACGCCGACGTGGAGCTGCAGCAGCGCGCCGTTGAATACCTCAAGCTCAGCTCCATTGCCAGCACCGATGTCCTGGTGAGGGGGGAACCAGGAGTGTTGATGGCAGGAGTCAACTACTAGCCAGCCAAGACATTGTCTCAGGAAGCAATAGATGCCCATTTCCCTTCCAAAGGAGCTTGCAGCTCTCATCTGAGAGAAGCTGATTCAGGGAGAATCAAATAATGAGAGCCAGGAGCTTCTTTTTAAGATACAAGGGTGCCTGTTTTAATCAACCTGGCACCTGCAGGCAACACCATGTTGAGGGCACACAGCCTGGTTCAGTGCCCTCTCAGTCCTTGGGAAATGACTGGCTAAAGATCCCACAGGGGTCCCTTGATTTGGGCTTCTTTGTAACCTCCTGTGCCCTTAGGGAAGCACAGCTAGATTGCAGGTTTTATTCAGCTTGTTGCTGGGCATTAAAATAGTGCTAGCATGACCCAAAAATATGACCCTTTTTTTCGGGGAAAAACTATTCCTGGATGCTTGTAGTGGAGAAACCTTGGGCAATCTCTCCTGGTGCTGGAAGAGAAAGACCCACAACAGTGGTGGTTATCTGCCCTAGTCCTTCTCCCCTTGCCTGGGCAGAGATTGCAGAAAAATGTCTTGGGTTTGTTTATCTGACTACCCATAATGCACTGCACACACTGAGACGGATTCTCTGACATGGATTCTAGCTGCTTACAAAAGACCGGTTTCTGTCTGCTGGGCCTTGGTAAGATGGAGTCAGTATGGTCTAACTGACCAGGCCACTCCAGGCTGATCATAACAATATTCTATTACACAAATTCTCTGGATGGGGTAAAAAAATCTTTGGCTGGCTAATCAGAGCCTCTTGTTTACTGAGCTGAATCAGAACCAGCCTTCAGTATGTGGTCAGGGTCCTCTTTCTGACGCTGCAGAACACCTCCAGGTTCGAGATGCAGCTGCTCTGTTGCTCTGAGAGAAAGGAGAGAACAGGTCTTTCCTGTTATTTAGCAGCCATAACAGGAAAATTGGCCCTACAGGAGCTCATAACAGGTTCAGTATAGTGAATGAACGACCCATTTGGTCACATTGTTGAGATCGTCATTTACCTCTAAAGTGGGGATGCAAAATCTCAGGCCAAGTTGGGTCCCATTTTAGTCCACTGAGGTTCCTCAGATGGCTATGCCCTTTTTTTCCTTGACCACCAATGGTTTGGGGGTTTCCCAACTTTTGTGCCATTTTCCCTCATTCTAAAAGGCTGGCCTTCATCTCCTAAGATTTAATTGCTAGCAATAAGAACTTTAAGCTAGAATATGCTAGTTTAAAAACTATTTTGACCCTGCTCCTTTTGCTTTTGGCTCTGCCCACCACTGAAACACCCCTGCCCCCAAGAGATGCACAGAACTGGGATCTGGCCCTTGAACTGAAAGAGGCCCTGCCACCCAGTTCCACAGGGTCTCTGTCTAACAGATCTAGAGCTGTGAGGTTGCCTGGTTGGTTTTGCAAATTCACGCTCCTATTCCTCACTTCCCCTCTTTAGGCGACAGTGCTGGAGGAGATGCCGCCGTTCCCTGAGCGTGAGTCATCCATCTTGGCTAAGCTCAAGAAGAAAAAGGGCCCAGGAGCTGGCAGTGAGCTGGATGACGGCAAGAAGGACCCAAACTCTGAGATCAATGGGGGCATGGAGCCCTCAGCCAGCACTGCTGTGAGTGCAAGAGGAAGAGAGGGGGATGGGAATTGGGGACATGGAAGGTTCCCTTGAAAGAACATGTCCCTTTGGATATAAGAGCCGGGGAGGTGAGAACCACAGGCCCTGCTTTACCAGTATGCAGGCTATGTTGTGAAGGGCATCCTCTTGTGTGCTGCAGCTCATGCTGGCCTGGGTGGGAAAGGAAGGGACAGAAAGTGCTGCAGAATCTGTAAAGGCCAGCAAATTCTGCCCGTAACTCTGCCATTACATAGTTTTTTGCGGGAGTGGTCTTCCTCCTGGCAGCCAAGAAAAATATATTTACCTGGGTAGGTGCCTTTGACGACCATTGGTCGAGTAGTTTCCCTGGCCCCCTCCCCCTGTCCCTTGTGTTTGCTAAAAGAGATGCAAACCTAGGAGGTGGTCAGTTGGGTATGGATCATGTGAGGTCTCCCATCCCTCCACTTCACCTTCTCCCTTTTATATTTCAGACCAGCCAAGTCCTTATATCAGTCAGTCCCCAACTTGGCACCCTCCAGTTGTATTGAACTACAACTCCTAGCTGGGGATGCTTGGAATCGTACTTCAACACATCTGGAGAGTGCTAGGTTGGGAGAAGGCTGCATTAATCTTTGGGCTCTTAGACTTATGCAGGCAAAACTGATACAATGCAGATCTCTCCCATGCCCCCCTCCCCAGCCAAGGAGGTGCAATGAAATTGATGTAAATGTGTCCATACTTTTTGCACAAAGTATTCCAATTGCAGAATTTGTTTTTCTCCCCCGGACACATTGTAGTGCAGGAGTAGAGAAAAAGCATGCTCCCACAGCGCAGGGCACGGTGTCTATTCCTCTGTCCCCAAGGTAGGTACCAGGGTGCTTGGGTTCAGTTCTCAAGTCAGGAGCATGGAAGCGACTTTGCCTTCATTTCTTACTTCTCCACCTTCCCCCCGGCTTCCTTCCTCTGCTTCCTCACAGTCAACACCATCACCATCTGCTGATCTGCTAGGCCTCAGGGCCACCCCAGCCACCTCCTCCACTGTGCCTGCCAGTGCTGGTAACCTTCTGGTGGATGTTTTCTCCGACAGCCCCTCAGCTGCAACTGGCCTTGTGCCTGGTGCCGAAGAGAACTTCCTGAGGTGAGGCGGTGAGGGTGGGACCTGGGCACAGACTTTTCTCTCCTTTTGCTTTCCTGGGATTTGGAGTCAAAGTCTAGTGGCACTTCCAAGAGAATTCAGTGCTGGGTAATGGAAGCTTCCTATTCAGTGTGGTTAAGGCCCCTGGAATTATCTCACCAGCTATTTCTGAAGAAAAGGTGGGAGCTCATCGCGAGACCTTTTCACTGAAGAGAACATGAAGGCTGATTCAAGGCTGGTTTGGCGAGCCCTGGGGAAGGGGCTGCAGTTCAGGGGTGGGGCACCTGCATTTTGTTGAAGATCCCATTTGTGCAGGTCAGTTTCTGGTACCTCTAGATGCAAAGGCCTCTTTTCACCTGAGTCACTGGTGGGTCCTTGCCAACTGGAGTAGCAGGCAGTGCAGGCCGAGAGAGACAAATGTGCAAACCTGGGTAGAGGACTGCTGCTGCTCTTGCTAACAGGGTCGAGGGCATTCTGCAGGTGCATCCTTATAGCACCACTGGCTTAGCTAGGTGGGCTTCTGGGTGCTTGTTTCCAAATGGTTGGGGAGCTCTTGGACTTTCTCTCTGTTCTTTGGGAGAGGGGCATGTGTTGGTCCTCATGACCTTGTCTTGCTATCTCTTTGTCCTCTGTGTGAGTACGTGTATCCATTTGTGCATGCACGTGTGTGTCCTTTCCTTTCTGTCTGCTATCTCTTGGGAATGGTTTTCTCTCTCTTTCTCCCCCTCTCTCTCTCTCTCTCTCTTTCTGCCTTGGATGAAGCAGTGACTTGGAGCCACCTCCCGAGAGTCCTGCATCCCTATTGGTGGAGGCTGGCCTACCTGCTGAGTAAGGGGCTGAAATATTCTTTCTACCAATACCACCCACCCTGCTATGGACACCCCACCCCATCCCAGCCTCTGTGGTGCCTCCCAGCGAGTCCTGCTCTTGAGCTAGGCTTTCTAAAACCCAGAAAAAGAAGAGTAGAGCATTTAGTGATTTTTTTTAAAAAAAGATTTTCACACGTGTTTAAGTTGAGTACTTGGTGAGAAGCAGTGACAGATGTTAAAACAATATTCTGTGAGGTCTTGTGAGTTTTTTGCATTTAAAGGAAAGTGCAACAACATGGTCCATTAGGTGTTCTATAAATCAGGGTGGGCTGCTTGTGGCATACCAGAAGTTTTGGCCTGCAGTTCCCATCAGGCCTACCACCAGAACTAATGGTGAAGGAGGATGGGAATTGCAGGCCAAAACATATGGAGGGCTACAAGTAACCCACTCCTGCAATGTAGATAGCCAATAAAAAGCTGTTGCTTGCCTTCAGAACCCTCCATGGTCAGTCTTGCCCACTCCAATCTCTTTACACTTCCATCCCTTGCCTGAAGACTTTGCTTCTCCAGCTCCATCCTCTTCCATAGCTCTAAGATCTCCTTTTCCTGCAAAAGACCTTGCTCTTTCTCCCCTGCTCCTCCATGTGCTTGGAACTGCCTTCCAGAACACCTGTGTGATACTGCCGTGCTTCCCTCCCTCCACAAAAGCTGCCCGCCTTTCCCATGAAGCCTTTGGTGTGGCCTTCTGGTTCTCATGCTGCTGCTGTAGGCCCAGCTTGTACTAAGCCTAAGCACATACAACACAAGAGAACTACATTTGGTTCCAGGCTTTTCTTCTTCCGTTGTTTCCCATGTCAAATGTTTACCCTGTAAGCTCTACAGGGCAGGTACTTGTCATCTTGTACTCTGCAAAACATGGTAGACACTGAGGATAATACATAAATAAATGGATGGGAGTAGCCCCATGGAAATTTCCATTTCTTGGAAAGAGCATTCACTGTGTGCTTCTACACTGCAAAAGTCAAAGATCATTACAGCTTGAGGGTAGGGTGGGAAGGGCGATAACTGTTTCATGCCTCTCCCACCCTTCCTGGGAATGAGAACCTTGTGATTTGGAGAAGAAGGAAGCTGGGATTTCACACTTCACTGTGAAATACAGTGTGTTACAGCTGCTGTGTGCCAGGACAACTTAGCTTCTGATGGAAAACATGTAGGAAGCTGGGGCAGTTGTGGATCCTAGAATACTGAACTCCTTCCTGGGAGGAGCTTTGAATGGAGGGGGGTGGCAGGATGTGGAATTGGATTTCTTAGAGTAGAGTATAACATCTGAGAGACAGTGTAAGGTAGTGGTTAGGGTGCTGGACTTGGACCTAGGAGATTTGGACCTAAGCTACCAAACAGGGTTGTTGTAAGGATGAAATGGAGAGGAGGAGAGCTCCTTGGAGGAATATAAATGCAACAGATAAAATATAAGTGACCTCTTAACAGGCCAGGGAAACTAAATTCTTCATTGATGGAACTTGGGCATGAGAAGAACGTGAGCAAGTGCAGTTTAGTCAACATAGGGAAAGTGTAAACCCTGTTTTGTGCTCACCCTTTGCAGTGGTTCTCAACCTCAGTTCCAGAGGTTGATGGACTGTAACTCCCATCTTCCCTCACCATTGTGACCAGTGGTTGGGGTTGATGGCAGTTTTGGCCCCACAACAGTGGAGGGACCTATAGAAGGAAGCCCCTACTTAGAAGCTCTTTACTTAGAATGTCGCCCTGCCTTCCCTCCGCCTTCTTGCCTGCTGTGTTGCATGCCGCCTCTGTGTCTGCGTGCGTGTATATGGTCCCCCCGCCCCGCTCTCTTTCTGGTACTAACATGGTGCCGCGTCCCGGTGACTCGTCTTCTCTGCTCTTTCTCTTCCCTGCCTCTGCCAACTGCTGCCCCCTTGCTCTGCCCCTTCGCCACCACCTTCAGCTCAGGGGCTGCCACTTCTGTCTCTGAGGACCCTGCTTTGCCTATTGCTGAGGCCGATGAACTGCTTCACAAGTAAGACCCTGGGGCAGGGCTGTGGATGGGTGGGCAGTGGGAGATGGGCTGGGGGGGGAATGGATTGGAAGCCGCTCCCCTTTGACTGCTGGAGTGGGAACATTTCCTCTGCCACACCAGCCAGATCCCACTTACGCCACTAGCTTCACCAAGCACCATCCTCTGCTATGTCCTACAGTGTTGCCTCTAGAGAATACCTTCCAGATGTGGCAAGTGGTCAAAAAAGAGTCTACTCGGAGTAGTGGGTGTCTTTGGTGCACTAGCTCAATGAAACAGATTGTGAGGTTGATACAGTGTAGGGGTGCAGAACTTCATGCCCGGGCTCTCAGCCCAGCTTTCCAGGGTGCCCCAGTTGCTCCTGCTGCCTTTTATTTCAACATCCCAATGAGACGGTGATTTCTCAGATGTTGTGCATGTTTCCCCCTATCTTAAAAGGTTGAAATGCCTCTCCTAAGGGTTAGTGACTGGTAGTAAGCACTTCAAGCTACAGTATGCTAGTATGTTTGGTGTTTTAGCCTCAGCCTTTTGCCTTTGGCTCCACCCACCACTGGAATGCAGCCCCCAATAATTTCTCAGAAATGGAATTTGGCCCTTAGGTGAAGCAGGTTCAACACCTCTGGTTTAGAGAGCTAAGATGGCAGGAGAGAGGAGGTCAGCTGGCTGTTAACAAAACAGGTGAGCTCCAGCAGAAATTCTGGGGTGGGGAAGCTGTTGGCATGACAAACCAAAATGGCAGGCTCATTTACAAATGAACAGCGGCCTTGGCTGTCCTCTACCTGATCCTCTGTATTCCACTGCAGGTTTGTGTGTAAGAATAATGGCGTACTCTTTGAGAACCAACTGCTGCAGATCGGTGTAAAATCAGAATTTCGGCAGAATTTGGGTGAGTAGTTCTAGACAGGTTTGCAATGAATGGGCAGGTTTGAACTTCTGCAGGACTCCCTCAAAGTCCACTCAATGGGAATCATATTGTGCCTTCTTCATTCCCATTACAGTGGTACCTCGGCTCAAGAAGGCCTCGGTTCATGAACAAATCAGGTCACAAACAAAAATTTCTGAAAAAATTTGACTTGGGTCGCAATCACCGCTTTGGGTGATGACCAAGATCGCAGCCATCTCCCCCCACCCCCCGAGTGGGGAGATGGCCACGATCTCAGTGCCTTTTGTGCAGGGAAGGCATGCATGGTCAGAGGCTTGCTGCTGCAGGAAAGACAGGAGCAGCAAAGCAGAGCTGCGTGAGAGATGGCCGAGATGCCGCCTGTCTTTCCTGCAGGAGTGCGCCTCTGATCAGGCATGCCTTCCCTGCACGAACAGAACTGCGATCACGGCCATCTCCCCATGCCCAGCTCACTGTTTGTGCCCATCTCTCCCTCCCCCAGTGCACCCGCGATCACGCCCGTCTCTCCCCCCCCTCACCCCCCACCCCACTGGGATGACGGGCACTGCAGGGATGACGGGCACAATCTCGGTCATGCTGGGGGGGGGGCGGGGAGACGGCCGCAATCTTTGTTGTTGTCACTTTGCTTCACATTTTTCTGATTTAAAAAATGGTTACAGAACAGATTAACCTTATTTACATCGAACCATATGGGGAAATTTAACTTGGCTCATGACCAATTTAGGTCATGTCCAGAGTCCTGGAATGGATTAAGTTCGTGAGCCAAGGTACCACTGTACTTTACCTCAGAACAATACACCCCATCTTCTCCTGGAGAGTTGAACACAGAAGGCCAGCCTGGGCTCTGTTTTAGAGAAGAGAAGCTTGTGGCAAGTGTTGATCAGTTGCTTTTGGATAATATGGACATTGTGGAGGAGTGTCACCATAATGCTTCATGTAGCTCTTTTCTCTAATGCAGCTTTTCTCAGCCTGGTACTGTCCAGATACCTTGCAGAACAACCCTCAGAGTTCACAACTGGCTAGGGATGTTGGGAGTTGTAGTATCATGCATCTGGAGGGTGCTGGTTGAAGGAGTCAGCTCTGACAGAACAGCCCTAACAACCTTCCTAGGCTGGCACTATCAGGAGATCCTCTTGGACATCCCTTACTTTGCAGAATGGTGGGGCAGCTCCCTGGCTTTCCACAATTGTAGTTCTGACTTTTTAATTTTTTTAGTATTAATTAGTATTAATTGTAGTAGAGCCTCTAAAGCTTCCCTGCCAGCTGTCAAAATGGGAAAGCTGAAACCCACCTTTCTTTGGGTTTAAGATAGTTCCATTCCAACAACAACTTTTTTTCAAAAGAGAACTAGTGCATTTATTCTATGCAATTCCTGCGAAGAATTTGTTTGGCTTGCCAAAGTCAGGATCTGTTTTCCATCCTATGTGTGACCTTTTGGATAGAAAGCAACTCTCTGGCAATTGTTCAGAGCAAGGGTGGCCATCACACAGTTCTCACTGATGGCAAAGTAAAGGAAATTTGGGAAGAAAGAGCTCAGAGAGCGAGAGAGCGAGCGAGCAGGGGATGCTCCATCTGACTGAAAATAGGGTTCTTATTTTAGAGAGTGAAGTCCATTGGGGCCCTGGTCAGGGTTTGTGAGCTATATAATTGTGAATTGGAGGGAACTGGGCTGCCTCCAGTTGCCCAGGTGCTCTTCCTTTCAGTCCTGTAATCAGCCAGAGCAGAAGCGTTGATGAAAGAGCATGCTAAACTCTGCACCCTAAAACTACCTTCTTGCCACTCATTCAGGCCGGATGTATCTCTTCTATGGGAACAAAACATCTGTCCAGTTCCAGAGCTTCACCCCTACAGTCAGTTACCCAGGAGACCTGCAAAGCCATATCCTTTTGCACATGTGTATAGTGGATGCAGAAGGGGGAGTTGGGCTGAGTCTTGGGTACCTGGGTCTTCTGTTCCTCAGCTCCTCTACAGTTTTATTGCCTTGTTCCTTAGCGCAACTCACAGCTCAATATCCAGACAAAAGCAGTGGAGCCACTGGTGGAGGGAGGCGCTCAAGTTCAACAGGTCCTGAACATTGAATGCCTGAGTGACTTCACAGAGGCCCCTCTCATCAACATAAAATTCCGGTACTGTCACCCAATAGACCCAAAACTGCTTTTGCAATTTGAGCAATCAAGGTATTCAGCGGCAGCCCAGAGCAGTCTGAATTGGTATGACCAGTCTTATCTCTGCACTGCAACAGGGAGTGTGAATACAGAATCTTGTAATGGTTGAAAATGCCAGAGAGCTTGAGGTTCCATTTTAAACACAAAATGTTACCAGTAGTCATTCCTTACACCCCTTTCCTTATCCTGAAGCATCTGTTCTTTGTCCCTGTTCCCAATCCTACTTCTACATAAATGTCAATCCTCTACCAGTTTATATGTAGGAACTGCAAGAAAGGGACCTTATATTCAGTATGCCAGGAATGAGCTGTCCTGTACAGTGTACTTGCTTATCCTCCTGAAGTATGGGGGCATGAAAGGAGCCCTGTAGTCCAGCATTCTGCTCTCAGAGTGGCCACCCGATGCCCCAGTGGGAAGCCCACAAGCAGAACATGAATGCAGTCACACTCTCCTGTTTGTGTTCCCTAGCAACTGGTATTGAGAGGTACGTTGCCTCTGATTATGGAGCTATGATGTAGCCACTGATAGTCTCATATTCCATGATTGTGTGATCCCCTTTTACATTGAAACAGAGCAAGTCAGAAGCGGCCTCTTGGGGCATCTCGTCTGACCCCCAGCTGCAGCCAGCTCCACTCATGACATGTCTACCATGTGCATGTCCAGCCTGTCCTTAAACACTCGCACTGCTGGGGCTTCAACCACCTCCCGTGGAAGCCCATTCCATGCCCTAGGGTCCTAACTGTCAGGAAGTACTTCCTGGCATCCACCATCTTGGTTCCCTGAGCTTTGCTCCATTCGAATGTGTTCTGCCCTCTACCACAGGGGAAAAAAGGTGACAGGTCATGACTTTTAAAGGCATCCATAGTTTGTGGCCATCACTACAACTTGTGGTGCCAGAGTGAGCTGGTGTTTTTCACATCCCCTAATAGTTCTCTGCACTCATTTCTGTCAGGTACGGCGGGACGCTGCAGAACCTCACACTCAAATTGCCTATCACTGTCAACAAATTTTTCCAGGCAACAGAGATGCAATCACAAGACTTTTTCCAGCGCTGGAAACAGCTCAGCCTGTAAGTGGGTGTACAGTGTGGGCAGAGGAAGGAATGAATTTGGATAATGCCATTCAGCATTTGGAAATTGGAGCTCATAAATGGTAGCTCCTGCATTTGTCAGAGCAGGAGTGACATATAAGATACTTGCTAAGATGGTAACTTTCTCCAGCTTGATGCTCTCCAGATGTTTTGGACCACACCTTGTAGCATTCCTGAACATTGGTCATAGTGGCTGGGGCTGCTGGGAGTTGAAGTCCAAAACAACTGGAAGGCTACCCTTTGTTATTTTCTCTATCTTTTGTACTTTCTCAAAATATGCTTAGTCCATCCCAGGTACTTGATTTATATGCTGACCTCCTTGAGCTCCTTGGTATAACCGTAAAAGGTTTTTTAAAGCAAGGTGTTGGTACACTGTGGTAGCCATGTAGGGGCTTCTATCTATAGGTCCTGGCACTGTTGTGGGGCCAGAACTGCCATCAACCCCAACCACTGGTCACAATGGTGAGGAGAGATGGGAGCTGCAGTCTATCAACATCTGGGGAACCAAGACTGAGAATTTCTTTGCTTTGCTCAGGAGATACTTTTAAATCACCATCACCATCTCAGTTCTCAGTGAATGACTGAGGTGCAGAAAATGTGACAGTGTGGGACAGGTGGATGCGAAAGAGATAGGCAGACACTGAGTCACTGCTTTCCCTATCCTTGCAGGCCGCAGCAGGAAGCCCAGAAAATCTTCAAGGCAAACCACCCCATGGATTCAGAAGTAACTAAGGCCAAGGTGAGCAAAGTCAGTCTCAGTTACCTCCATTCTGCTGTCACAAGTGGCTTGCTGGACTCCTGTCGAGGAGAGGTGCAGGCTTTAATTTAATCAGTGCAGCTAATCAACTAAAGCTTTAACTGCAGACAGCTTTTAAACAGGTAAATTCACTCTGAACAGAAAATGAGTACCATTTTTCTTCTTATAAGAACCATAGACAGCTAAAGTCAGTAAGCATCAGCATTAATTTTTTTAACTGGATTTTTCCCTACTTCTCATGAATATTGAACTTGTTTATATTGGAAGATATTTTGACTCTGGTGTATTAATGGAGATAAATCAGTATTCCATATTTTTGTAGTTTGAGACTTTAGCTGAATTTTCTTTCCAACCAATCTCTCAATCTTTATGGCCTTTTACCGGTCAATAGCTTTTGTTAATTAAATTGCAATTACCTTCTATGGAAGAGGTGCATTCAATTGCACAGTACTTTTCACCATCTTCTGAAAGACACCTTTTATTTAGCAATATATAAATTTATGTAATCAAATTTATGTTTCCTTTAAAAATAAAGCAATTATCAACTCTTAATTTGCTGATGTCTTATCAGGGAAGTGATTCCTTTGCCGTATTTCCATATGAAATTGATCCTATGATAGTGTTAGGTCTGTTTCTCATGTAATGCTAACCCATGGTTTATTTAGGCCATAGTTTGTTGCCCTACTCTTTGTCAGGCAGATGATTGAAGAACCATAGGTTCTTCTCTAAGAGATTATTTGTTTCCCTTCTCCTTCACTTCCTTCCTTCCTGTACCCAAAATGCCTTTGTGGCATTGCTGCATAGGCATGTAAAGGAGGTATGGGGGTGACTGCTCTTGCCCACTGCCTTTGTAGCCTGGTGAAAACCCTGTGAACAACTCACAAACCAGGTTTTAAACACAATTCAATACCAAACCATGTGTTTTCTTTGTGGGTTAACCCATACTTGTAAGTATCATCCATGATTCAGTAACCACAATTTGATATTTCAAGCAAACCGTCAATATGTTGCAACCTTTCTGATGTCTTCTTCCTTGGTTCTCCTGCTTTTAGGTTGTACTGCTTGAGTTTAATGGGGAATTTAACTTCTTCAACAAGGCTACAATCCTACACTTTGCACCAGGCACCAGTGAATGCAGAAGGACTCACTTTCAAACAAGTGTGCATAGGATTGTGTTGTAATGCTGTGCACACTTAATTGGGAGTGTCCTTGAATTCAGAGGAACTGAGCATTCTTCTGATTTTAAAAATGTATGGGATTCGGACTGTAAATAGTTCAAATTGGGTGATCTGGCAATTTGCATCTTTTCAGATTTTAAAAGAATTTTATTTTCATCAATAAGGAGAAGGGTGAGAGAAAGTACATGGGGATTTGCATTAGTAGAGAGGATACAAAACATTCAGGCTTGTCCATTTCCTTGTGAGTTGTTTGATTCTTCTGGCAGATGTGCAGACCGCTCACATCCTTGAAACTGCCTGTGCTTGCATAACAGTCTCAGAGGTAGGAGTTACAGGCTATGCTGCAAGCCACTTGGTAGGATGATGTTTGCAATGGTCCTACTTCCTTCCTCTTGCACCTATTCCTCCTAGCTGACTTCCTCAGGAAAGATTAGGTTGGCCGTTTGAACCTCTGGCAAGCTGGCCAGCCCAGCTAAGCATTGGCCTTTTCTTTCCACAGCTGTTAGGTTTTGGCAGTGCACTCTTGGAGAAGGTGGATCCAAACCCTGATAATTATGTAGGAGCTGGGATCATCCAGACAAAGGCACTGCAGGTTGGGTGCTTACTGAGGCTGGAACCCAATGCCCAAGCACAGGTAAGGAGGCGGGGGCTCCTGTAAGCTGCTTATCATTTACTACATGTAAATAATAAGCACAATCTACATGCACAATCTAAAACACACAACACAAGTGGAAAAGGAACTGGGAGGGAGGAGGAAAGCAGCATAAACTAGGCACCATTTCTTAATGTCAGTGTTCTTACAGCTCTTCCTTCTGGCAGGGAAAAGCAACCCGGCTTCCCGCAGTTCTCCTTTTCTGGCTGATGTATAGAACTAGGCTGCTCTCCCCTCACCATGATGTTTATCCTGGTGAGGTGGGGCGCACAGCTTCTTAGTGGCCCAGGGACAATGCCAGTGTCTTCAAACCCAGGGAGCTGGGATTTGGGAGTGTGTGTTCCTTCCATCAGGAAGGGGTGGAGCTAACTCCCTGCAATTGCTCTCTCTTTGGATGATATATAGTTCTAAGCTGGTCTCCTCCTCATTATGATGTTCTTCTTGAGAAGCAGAGGGCACAGCCTGATGGTGGCTCTCAGTTCTAGGAGAGAGGGTGGTAATGTTTAGAATGCTCAAGCAGGAAAATGTTGGAAATCTGGACTCCAAGGTTCTCCAGAGCAAAGACGGGAAAAACTGAAACTCTTCAGAAGAAGCCACCTAGGGGCCTTTTGACAGTAACAAAGCTAGAATTAAAGACTGTTTTGGCTCTGGTGCTCACTGATCTTCTTTCATCTTCTCTCCAGATGTATCGGCTGACCCTCCGTACCAGCAAGGAATCTGTTTCGAAGCACCTTTGTGAGCTGCTCTCTCAGCAGTTCTGAGGCATAGGCTGCACTGGAGGAAGGAGTGGAGGAAAAGGCTGTTCCTGCACACTGAATGCCTAGGTCCATCCCCTCCCACCTCCCTCCACACCAGGGGCCTCAAGAAAAGACTGTAATGCTCCCTGCCTGTTGTCGTGATAACCTCTGTGTTCTCATTGCCTAGCCCGGGCCAGCACCAAGGGGGATATGTGAGGGGGAGCAGAGCTGTGGTCCCTGGGATGGATGAAGTAGGGTTGAGAAGGGAGAGCGTATGTTGGTGTAGGGCATTCTTCCAGGAGTAATCTTCCCCTTGGCAGGAGGGTGGCCCTTGGAAGAAAGCCAGGATCTCTCCTTGCCTATAAGCCTGGTCCATTCTAAATCAGGATGAGGCGAAGATTTGTGGTCTTAATCCCCTCCCTGCACTGGCACAGCTGTATGATTTAGGCTGGCATTTTGGTTTTGTTTACAATTATTTACCCTTACTTTCCATTCATGGCTTTCCCTCTTTCTTTTGGGGAGATGGGGTATACATGTCAGCTTCTCTGCTTCCCCCTGAGCTGGCTGTGGGGAGGAATGGTGTGTGCGTGCGTGAGTGTGTGTGTGTGTTTGGCTGGGGGAGAAATGCCTGTAAGGGTTGTTTTGTGTTTCTTTGCCTTGTGTATTTCCTGGGGGTGGGGGGGGCATTCTCCCTTTCCTTTGTCATGGACCATTCCAGTGTTACAGTTGCTTGTGTTTTTGTGGGCAAGGCATAGTAATGAGAACAGGCTCCCCCCCTCCTTACCTCTAGAAGGAAAACTACCCTAAAATGGAAAGGACTGTGGGGAACAGATGTCTAGTAACTCCTCTCCTGCCCTCCCCCCCAACTTCTCCAAATTTCAGGAAGGTGTTTACTGCTATCCTCAAGCAGCTGTAAAGTTTTGGGGGACTGACTCTGGAATAGTGACCTCCATGCATTTTGGAAAAGGGAGGGGAGGGTTCAGTTCATGCTAGTTTGGGGGTGTCCCAGCTTCCCATGCTGGCCCGGGCTCCATGTTACTCTGCTGTGTAGGTGTTATCTAGCGCATCTTAGTTTATCTGGGTTTTGAATGCCTGTATCTATCTCCATGTGACTGTAATAAAACCGTGAGGGCGGGGGAGAGCCAGAATCAAGCCAGGCTGGGTCACCCCCACACCGCTGACTGACTCGTTGTGTGCTGCTCTTTGTAAGTAGATAAATTTGGGGCAGAAATGGACTGGGGAGACAGTGTTCCCACACTTAGAACTGAGATGTGACATGGTTTTGTGATGCGGAATTAAATATTCCCTGCACAGAGGTTTCTAACCAGCCAGCAGGACAGTCACTTTCTATTCACAAGGCACTACAGTTATATGGGATGGTTTGTCCTGGTAACTATAGAAAGGTGTTCAACTTGAGCTACATGGAATTGGTAGCAGGTTGAATTTGCGAAGAGGTGGAAGCACTTTTCAAGCAAAGTGCAACAATTCTGCCATTATGTCAACACAAAATATAAGTTTGCTTTTTTGTTGGGGCTAGGCTGTTTAATGCCTTAGCCATGCACTTGAAGGCAGATCTTAAAGAAAAAGGAGACAAAACTCCTACCCCAGAATACAAATGGCAGGAACCCCTTCTTGAAGAGCCAAAAGCAATGAGGAAGGGGGATTATTGGAGTCTGATACAAGGACAGGAAATCCTGTTTGCTTTCTAAAGGTCTACAGTTTCTAATGAATGTCAAACAAGAAATCTAATTAAGTGGTGTGAATTATGCAGTATATCTGCATAAATGTATTTGATTTGTATACTTCTCAATTTGTGGAAAGAGTGGAATGGGGACTAGGAAAAGTGTTAGCATTAAAAGAACATTGGAGGAAAGATATTCTGGTTGTGCCATCTTAAAATCCTCAGCACTTGCCCATGTATGTTAGACAGATTGATCATAACTTGTCTGTATGGAGTGCTAGAAGGATACTTATGATGTTTTAATCTGAGAAAGACACTAATAATACTTCAAGAGATTTAAAAACATACACAGTGCCTGTGTACAGGCAGAAGATTTTTTTCTTCTAGCAAGCAACCTTGGAAATTATATTCATTAAATTGTTGCTGCCATTTTGCTGTCCAGCATGTCTGAACCAAACAGAAGTAGTGACAGCTTGAAAGCCAGCAATTTTATTTTTCACATAGGTAGCAAATTCAGTACAGCAGATATGAAAATGAATGACTAAATTCCTGGAATAAGTTTTAGTTTACCACTGAAAAAGCTGTCTAGCCACATTTTGCAAATAGCAACAGAATGGAAAGATTGTCAGGCTTAATCCTGGTAAATTTATGTAATTTGACAATCATTTCCAAGCTGTTGTCTTCTGGCGATTCATATAAGGATTTTAGGGAGAAATGAATTTAATTACTGTTGTTATTATTACAACTAATTTTTATATCACCCCATTCCCATAGGCTTTGGGCAATTTATACCAATCTAAAACCAAAAATTCAAATTTAGATTAATTGTATTTAATATGTTGCTCTTATCTGGGAAGGCCTGTCAGGAGAAATATGTCTTTAGCTCCCTTTTAAAGACAGCATTCTGGAATATTTGCTGCATCTCTCCCATTAGGCCATTTCACGGTTTGGGGAGATACCACAGAGAAAGTCCTCTGTGTAGTTGAACTTAATCTTGCAGAAGCAAACTTCAGGAGATTATTCCCAGAGGACTGCAGTGGCTGGAATGGAATATATATTTTGGCCTAGACTGATCTGCTTTTTTATTTAAAGATCCTCCCCTTTCCACCTAACTGCCTAAGATATTTTGAGCCACTGATGTAACATCCAATGAGTTTGCTTTAATTTCAAAATTACTTTTGCTATAGATGACATTTTAACATTTATTAATTAATGCCTTACCTTCCAAAATAACTTAGGTGGTATAGTTTAGGCTTGTATTCTTTCTCCTTTGCCAAAAAGCTTCCCAGTGATTTGGAAGGGAAATATTCCCAAATAAGTGTGCCCAGAATTAGAGGCTCAATTCAAATTAATTTTACCAGTCATACAAAAATCAGTGCAAACATTTCTGGATATAGTATTCATATAGAGTGCTTTTAAATGTCCATTTATACACCTTGACATGATTTCACCAATACCACAGCTTTTAAAAGCAGTACAGAATTAGTATTATAGTGACTTAGGCTGAGAAATAATGATTTGCTTAATGACCAAGGAAGGATTTGAATCGGGGGCTTCCCAGCCTCAGCCTTAGCAACTGTAATACATCAACTGGGAGTGTGAGGTAGCTTTGTTGTTTCCAGAGAGTGTGAATAGGTGAGAACTGCAGCAGCATTTCCTTAGTAAAAAGGATGGGAGAGCTGATCTCAGGGGAAAGGGAGAAATTCATATAAACAGGAAGTATGACAGTGTAGAACAAATGCAAGTTGTTACTGAAAATGTAGCAACTGCGGTTTCGGTTGTCATCCAACTTTCTAAACAAAATGCCTGATCCTTTCAGCTCTAACTCTACTGTAGCATCCCTGAACTGAGTACAACCAGACATAGTATTTTAATCTGATGTGCCTTCATGTCTATACAACAGTGGGAGATGCACAGTTTGTACTTTATTTTTAAAGAATGGAGGAGGGAGAAGAGCCTTGAGGCCAACATTGGTAGCTATCACCATTGTCCACCCACTTGCTTCACCCTTAAACAAGGGCTTGAGGATGAGCAGATATAATTCCTCTTCCTTTTGCAAGTTTTTCCACAAAAACAAGCTATTCTGTCACAGGTAAAGAAACCTCATGCGGAACATTCAAGGTCTCCATCTCACCACTCTCAATTTTTCCTCAGAGTACAGGAAATTGTACCCCCTCAGAAGCCAGAGTCCTCGGCTGTGAGGGACTGTAGTGTACAGGTTGCCAGGGACCGCAGCGCAAAGGTAGGCACCTCAGGCTTCATGATTAAGAAGAGCTGATAGCGTCTTCCATGGATAGCATAGGCCTTGTATGTGGTGTAGACCACATAGCAGTGCTGGGGAGAGTGGGAGAAGCCAGCCTGGAACACTTCCTGCAAAGGGGCTGAAGAAGGAAGGAGGAGGTCAGGATCCAACAAAGGCAAAGAGAAAGACTGTGGGTGGGTCTGCCCCCAAATACACTTCTAGCGTCAAGGAACGGCAGTTTCTGTTAATTGCATTTTTAAAAGTAGAAGTTAGGGTTAGAATTTTAAAAAACCAATCTGGAAAATGCTTGACTTCCTGTCCAGACTCTGTCACCAAAGAGTTCCCTCTAACAGAAGAACCTGATATTTGGTTGTGTAAAATAATCAGTGTACAAATAGTTAGCATAATTTTAGAAGTTACTGAGTAACAACTTTGATTTTCAGTACACCCAAAGATGGCCAAAAGGGGATACTATCAAGAACTTACCTGCACTGTCTTCTGGTTTCTCACAGGGGAAATATAAGGAGATAGCTAAAGCATAGAAGGAGCGAAGAGCACAGAGTCGATTCTTCAGGGGCATCTCAGATCCTGAAGATGAAACAAGGATGTTGTCCTGAGTAGCAGGCCACCCTTTATACACATCTCAGCATAAATGTGAATTGTATACAATTTTAAAACTCCATAGAATGGGGAAAGCTGGAAGTTCTGCTCCAACCCAAGTAGAAGGCACCAGGTTGTGGCAGATGGTAATGGAGCACTAAGAGGGGATAGGCTGTGTTCTCTCTCCTTTCCCCGTACATCAGGCTAGAACAATACCTTCAGTCCAGTTGCCATGAGGCTGCACTGTGAAGAGGCTTTTCCTCTGATCTTGGTTTATCAGCAACAGTCTGCAGGAGAGGAGAGTCTGAATAGCAGCTGTGTGAAGGGTATGTGCCCAGACTGGTAATACACTTTGAAAAGGAGGATGGGAAAGAGGTGAAACTAACAGGCCCTGGTACAAATCCTCAAAATTATTCCCCTGCAACCTGGCATCTGTGAGACTCACCCCAGGATTCCAGGAGCAAGAGAGATGTCAGGAGGTAGGCAGCGAGGAGAGGCTCTGGCACATGCCTTCAGGAGATCCAAGAGTGGTTGCCAAAATTTTGTCACTAGCTACAGAAAGAAAGAAAGCTAGCTAGCAAGCTTGGGGATGCCCAACTTCAGCTTTCTCAAGAGACAAACTGCGACTTTGCCAGCCACATACTCTAAACAAGGAACAGCATTTAAGCTGTTTTAGTCAGCCCTGGGTGTGGGTGGGTGGATGTGTCTGAGAGAGAGAGAGAGAGAGAGAGAAGGGCAAATATATTAATGCAATGAATTGCTTTTACCATCCTTCAGGGACTGCAAGGACACTGATGGTAAGCCATTTCACATCTAAATTTTGGTGTCTGTACACCCCTGCTTCTCACCTCATCAGCCAGGCACTGTAAGGAGGGATTAGGCCCACAGAGCAGCACCACTTCCAAACCAGGCACAAGCTGGAAGGTCAGATAGCGGTGAGGAACCTGTTGGGAGAAGGGATATGTAGTACAAAGACAAGAAGTGACTATTGCCCCTCCGCCTCTCCTCTCCTCTCACATCCATGAACCTGCTTACCGTGGGGCTGCCATGAGGAAGATAAACAGGGAGATCACGGGAGGTGTGGGGTGGAAGGGAGCGCACCAGCCATACCAGCAGCATGGCTTCTGGGGCTGCAAGTTGCCACCACTGCTCTGTTGCACACAGCACCTGACCACCCATGAGCAGGCTGCCAAACCGGGACTCGGCTGCTAAGGCAAAGGCTTCCAGGCATTCCTGAGTCAGGGAAGACAGAGTCACAGAAAAGAGTCGTTCATGTGTGCACATGAAGAACAGATACAAGACATTGATACTGAAATCCCCATGGGTGACAGAAGAAAACAAACAAACAAAACCATACATACCACAAATGCTCTAGACTGGCGAATAGTTAATCATCTTTGCATTCTTTGTTAACTTCTCAATCAGTGAAAACATTTACAGTACATATGCTCATCTCACCTTTGGGATCATTAAAGACATTGCGTTTCCATGGTTTTCCTGAATGCCTCATGTCTACCACAAAGAGGATAACTATTTCTGTAGTTGAAGAGAACCATGGCCAGTGAGGCAACTCAAGGAATTGTGGTAAAATAAAGTAGGGGATAATTTGGGGAAACTTCCAGACTTCTGCTGTGCCAGATCACCAGAGCTGAAACAACATGTCACACCAGCAATTATGTTTGCATATGAATAGTATGTGGGGGAGGGGGCAGTTGTTATTGTGAGCTGGGGCTGTATGAGGTTACACAAACTGGATGCAGCAAGGGCTTTAGGATTGTCACTAGCAAAGGATAAATGAAGAAAGTCCTTTCACTCTCCCATCTTTTTTCCTTCCTATAGTTCCCCCTTTCCCTTCATCCTGCTCACCTGATCCCTTGCCTCACAGTCCCCCTTCCCCACCAATTCCATTTTTCATTCTGCCTTTCTCCTTTAGTTTGGAGAGGGAAAGAAATGCCTATTGGCAATGGCTAACTGCATTTCCAGCTATCCAGGAAACCTGGACAGTTTGGCAGGCAAGTGATTCTTCTCTACAAAACAGAGTTGATGGGTGAGAAGCAGGGGTGGGGAGGGGGGAATCAGATTTTGTAGTCTGAGTGACAGATGCACTCTTCAACACAATCCAAACTCTAAAGGGAGGGTACTTATTTATTTATTTAGAATATTTATATGCCGCCCTTTCGTAAAAACCTCAGGATGGCTTACATAAATAAATAAGAATAATAATATAAAACATAATACAAATCAATTCCAGATCTACCCTGGCTGCAGATTAAAACATATATAGCTAATATTAAAAGTTATTAAAATATTGTTGGAATAAAAAGGTCTTAGCCTGGCGCTGAAAAACAAATAACGACGGCACCAGGCAGACCTCTCTGGGGAGCGCATTCCAATCCATTGGAATTGGATTCCAAACCCACCACTGATAGAGGCAAAGTCATAGAAAATCTATTTACTTCTCCTCAGGCAGGTAGCTTAAGGTATTTGTGCTTTTACTCTGCTCACAGTTGCAAGGATTATTTCTAAATAGGATAAAAGTCCTTATGTAACCCTTGCTGTGCTGCAGTTTTGTGCCAGCCACCTGACCTGTAATTTTTCTATAAGGATAGGAACCTTTCACCTTTCATTGGGTTTGCAGCCCTCCATGTCCACAGCCAGATACTGAAGCACCAGCACCAGCAGTGAAAGAACTTAACTAAACAGCACAAGCAAGAACCAAAATACAGCCACCTCCAAGAGCTTACTATCTAATTGTCAATAGTGAGGCGGGGGAATGAGGTGACAAGGAAGCAAAAGTAATTACTATGTTTTTGTTTGTAAGAAAGGCACTCATAGGAATACTGTCCCTGAGTTTGCCCCACAAGGGATTTGCATAATTGGACAAGCCCAATTCTGGACAGAGAGACTGGCCTCATTTACATGACGGGACAGCTAACTGGTGTAATTTACTTGCAAGGACTACCAAATCCTACTGAGTACGATTTAGCATTCCATTGTTTGCATTACGCAAACCCAGGGCTCAGGGTTGTTTGAGAGCGTAACACGATGACCTGCACGGGCAAATTAAGCCATGTTGGACTGTCATGTGTGAACAGTTTCAATGAGCATGTCAGGATCTGCTGAAGGGAAGAGAATATACTAGCCTCACCTGCAATATTGCCCTGGAGGGCATGATGGCACATTCCACACACTGGGTCAGATCAGCACTGCATCTGCTTGGCTCCAGAAAACTGTCAATCAGTTTGAAACATGCCTAGAGAGCAAGAAACTTCATATTTAAGCAACCACAATAAAAACCTACTCCAAAACATGTAGACTAAATAATAATAGCCATTTAAGAACATTCTAGGAATTCACTGTCTATTTCTCACCACTAATGGTATCTAAATGCTTGAAATGCCTCTTCTAAATTACTGGCAGATCTTTAAGCTAAAATATTCTGGTATTTGGGGGGGGGGGTTGGTCCTTCATTTATTTATTTGGGTTTTTATAACCCATTCATTAGCCTAGGGCTCTCAGAACAATTATACAATAAGACCCTCATAAAATGGTGTAACAGCAATCAATTTAAAAACAGCAATAACAATTTAAAATAACACCATGACACCAATAATAAAAATGTCTATATATGATCAATATAAATGATAATAAAAAACCAAAATAATAAATACCAACAATAAACAACAATCCACATGTACCAGCATCAATACAATAAAAGCCAATACAAAACCAAATACTCATCAGCAATTAAAATGGCAAGAGAATAGAAACATTTTAACCTGGCGCCAAAAGTTGGTGCCAGCCATATACCACTGGGGAGCTGATTCCATAAGCAGGGCACCGCAGCTGAGAAGGACCTTCCCCTTGTGGCCACCTTCTTTATTTCTTTTAAAGGTGGCTCTTGGAGAAGGACCTCCCTAGATGACCTTAGGACCCAGGTAGGTGTAAATGGGAGGACACATTCCTTTAGATGTCCAGATCCTAAGCCGTTTCTGGCTTTTCATGTCAGTGGGAGTACCGTGAGGTTGGCCCAGCCTTCAACTGGAGGTCAATGTAGAGAGAGCCTTTGGCTATGGGCTGGCATACAAATGCAATAAATAAATGCAGTGGAAAGAGTACAGGCTAATATGTTCATACCTACCCATCCCTGTCAACAGACAGGCTGCCTGTTTCGTACTGAAGTTTCCAGACCATTTTCAAGGCACCCCCATGTAACGAACATTATTGTAGTCTAGATGGGAGGTTACCAGAACGTAGATTACCATTGCTAAGTTCTGCCTGCCCAGATAGGGGTGGAGTTGGTAGACCAACCAAAGTTGTTGGAAGGTCACAGATGCCACCTGGAACTCCAGGGACAACTCTGGATCCAGAAGCACCCCTAAACTCCACACTGTCCTTTTGGGAGAGTGCAACCCCATTCAGGACAGAGCGGATATTCCCCTGGACTAAGGCTCCCCCTACCAATAACACCTCCATCTCGTCTGGATTAAACTTCCATTTATTAGCCCTCATTCAGTCCAGTTCAGGGCTGTTGCTGCTTCATCTGGATTAAAAGTAAATCTGGATAACCTCTTCCAGTAGTTTCCTGTTGATATTCAACAGCATCAGGAATAGGATGGAACCTTGTAGCATTCCATGGTGTAATTGCCATGGAGCTGAGGTATCCCCCAGTGACAACATCCGAAATCAGCCAGTCAAGTAGGAATGGAATCACTGCAGAGCAGTGGCTCTGACTCCCAACCCAACCAGCCTATTCAGAAAGACACCATGGTTGATGGTATTGAAGCTGCTGAGAGGTCCAGGAGAAGCAACAGCAATTCACTCCCTCTGTCTTCTCCCAGCACAGGTCATCCCACAGGGTGCCCAAGGAAGTTTCAGTCCCAAATCCAGGCCTGAAGCTGGACTGAAATGGATCCAGACGATCCATTTCCTCCAAGACTGCCTGGAGTTGCTCAGTCACCACCTGCTTCTGTGCCTTGCCCAAAAAAGGGAAAGTTAGCCACAGGACTATAGTTAACATTTTCTGGGTCCAGATTCCCCTTCATGAGGGGTCTGATTAATGCCTCCTTTAACAGACACAAGACCAGTCCCTTCCTCAGAGAGGCAGTCACAATTGCCTGAACCCTGAAGTGCATTCTCTCCTTGGCCTCTACGAGCAACCATGAAGGGCAAAGGTCAAGAACACAGGTAATAGGTTGTACTTGTCCAAGCATCTTGTCTTCATCATTAGTCTTCAATAATTGAAATTTATCCAATAAAATTGGACCAGACAATGCTCTGGATGCGTCTAGTAAAGAGACTACATCAAATGTGGAGTACAATTCATGCCGGATCCAAGCAACTTTATCCTCAAAATGCTGTGCAAATTCATCATAGCAAATTTCCTGTGGCCTTGGCCTGAATGCAGCTCCTAATACCTTCTGTGAAATGAAATTCTGTCCTCGGGCTGAAAAGAGTTGTGCTCTGCTATACTAATAAATATAATCTAGCATGTCTCCAGAAGGCACGCTAAGCACAGGCTAAAGGAAAGGGATTCCAAAGCCAAAATAGATTTCAAGGATGCTTCTTTACCATTAAGATTTAATACAAAGACAGCAGCAGTCACAAGCCCTCTCAACTGACCCAAAAACTGCAACAGAAAAGAGCAGAAGACACAATCTCTAAGATAGGGTAGTAACTTGTGAGCTTCCAGATGCTTCTGAACTGCTCAAGAATATGACAACATCCTTTAGTCCCAGTTTCACTGTAAAATCTATCTATAGCCCATATTCCTGTCTCCAGTTTTTGTCAGTTAAGATCTACGCTTCTCTCTGCAGCTCTCTGGAAGCCCGAGTCAGGTGTTACCTTCAAGTCCTTTTTGAGACGTTCTATGTTGCGTGCATTTACTAATTCTTCCAGACCCAATATCAGCACCTGCAGTAAAACATAACATCTTCTTAAACCAGAGAGAAACCCTGCACTTATTTCCTTTGAGAAGGAAGACTACCATAAAGAAGCACATATGCCAGTTCATGCAAAAGCTAAAAGCTAGACCCAGTGAGGTATAGTTGAGGATGTGAAGGTTGGGACCACTGGGTAATTTAGGAAACAAATTCTTAGGTTCTCTTGGTATCATATACCAAGCTCATCCCCTCAGATAAATTTATCTGGTACTGATGCACACTTTTCCATGTTCACAGTTGCACATGCTTCTGATGCAGTCTAGAATCTATACTCCATCCATAAACATCCCTTGAAAGGGTACCCCACCAAACCATCTACCCACTTTTTTTGCCATTCTAGGTATGATTAAGGTGTTCTCTGGGGTAAGCAATATACACTAAGCAAATGAATATGAGACATTCAGCAACGAAGATGCTAGAAAATGAGTTATTGGAAAGTAGAGTTGTATATATAACTTATGATTTATATGACTTAATCCCATGCTCCCCAAAACAAAACCACCCAGCTAAAACAGCTCTTCCTTGGGATCATTTATTATCCCAGTGGATGAGGAGAGCCTCTCACTTTCAGATTAAGCTTGAAATGTCATTCCATCAATTTCTTGACTTCTCACCATGGCACTGAAGACATTCTCAAGAAGTCTTCCAAGGCTGAAATCACTGGCACCTTCTTCTGAAGATAGCACAATGAGGGTGATGCTGGAAACAGCAAACATAAAATTTAAAAACTGGTGTGTGTGTGCCTGCATGTGTGTGTGACACACACACTCACACTGAGATTAGATCCATTAACATCTTTGCAATGGGCAGATATAGAACAATCTGTTCCATGTTCAGCAGCTTTGATAGAGAAGGCTGCACAGGGTTTATGAAACACTGGGCAGCTATATGCTATGGTGTATTCATCAAATAATTGTGATTCTCTCTTCTAAGTACATAAAAATTCTTGGGAGAAAGGACAAAAGGTACTTCTTTTGCCATACAGAACCCCCAAGGAAGGGGTTCTCTGTGGCAAAAGACATGCAGGGAAAGAGGTACTAATAACAGGTAGGGTTAAGTGTCTACAACAAAAGACCTCCTCTCCCCACCTTGCAAGTCAACTCTGCCAAATGGACATGTGATAGTCCAAGATGTATTCCATCAAATGAAATTGTGATGACACTAGCACCATCCCATTATGCAATGCCCAGAATTCCATGTCTAGCAGGCAGTCCACAAAAGCTGCTGAATCCTGAAGATGGAGTAAATTTAACAAATTCACAAAAGCTTACTTAATTCCTAAATATTTTCCATACTTGTGATTTGGGGAGGGAGTGCATTGGGATACAATACATTACAAACTGGGGTCTATGAAAAGCAACCAAGATATGTGCTAAATAAAGGTATCCTCCACCCTTATTAGTAGCTAGCAGTTTGGGGTTTCTCAATTTTTTGTACACATTCATGGATGTGACACAATTGCTGTTCTGTCAAGCATGGAAACACATACAACTACTGATGCTGAATTATAACAATCAAGATACTGAGGCCTCCTCATTATGGTGAGAAAATACTGTCAGCATGTAATATACACAGCTGAAGACACTGAGCAGTTGCTAACAACATGGCAATTCTTGAGGCACAGATTGGCCTGTTTCTCTGCTTACCTGTTGTGAAACACTTTCCAGACCACACGAATATTCTCTGTGCAGGCAGCTGTCAGCAGGACATCTAGGTTGGAGCCAAACATATGAACTCCATTCAAGGAGCCAATCACAGAGAAGGGCAGCTGGAAGAGAAGACATGGCATATGGGGGAGAGAATATATAAAACTGCTATATACAGAGTCAAATCACTGGCCCAGATACTCAGACTGCCAGCAGCTTTCTAAGATCCTTAGTGCAATTTTCCCCCACACTTGCAAAAAGAGATCTTATGACAGGAGATGTCAAAGACTATGGCTGCAGTTCTCTGCACACAAGCCATGTACTCAAACATTGTCAAGACATGGGGCATCTTACATAAATTTGCAACACTTCTAATATACAAAGTGTTTAACAACCATTATCTTTTTCACTTTCATAACAAACTATGAAGTAGGTTATTAATACTAACACAAGCAGTTCCTGGAGCAACTACATATTTAGAACAGGAAAGTTCTCGGTTCTAGTTAGCTATTCTACATTCTTCATAACCCATCCCTTTTCTTTTCCAGCTGACTCTCAGCATTTTGTGGTTAAGCATGTCTAGTTTTATTGAACCTGGTTCATATGTAATATCAATCCATGGTTTATTTAAAACTTGGGGTTTTTTGTCCTACCCAGAGATTTGTCTGGCAGACCAAACAAACCATCGTTTATATTTCCCGTCCCAGGACTGCTTCTTTCCCTTCTCCTTCACATGCACACTCCCTGTATACCAACTACAGCACAGGCATTTAAAAAGGTGCTGAAACCCTCCATGAATAATACACAACTCTGTGTTCATATGTAATGACAACTTATATGTTAACCAACCCACTGTTCACAATTGAACAACAAACCATCACTTCTCCTCATTGATTGTTTGTGGTTAATAATCAACATAGTTAATTCATAGTATCAGTTTTATACAACCCCACAATTCAACAAACCATGGTTAATTAAACTGTTCATTGTTTTATGTTTTGTTCTCAATTTTTTAAAGTTAAAAATACATTTGCAAACTTTGGGTTCAGAGCATTCCTGTCTTATTTAGAAAATGTTTGTCTCAATTTTTGATCAAATGATGCTTAAGGTAACTTACAATACATTGTGATCATATACAGACATTTAAACAAACTCCAAACCTAGATAATCTGGCAGCCTTTAGCCTACTGGCTGATGGCAAACTATGCTTCCTCTCACTTTCCAAGTCTCAGGCAACAGTCAGCTGAAGCCAAATGTTCTTTTTGGCTGGGAAGGGAGAAGCAAATTTCCTACACCTACTTCTCTGCTAGATGGAGGTTGCTCCTCCATCCTTGCCATGTTGGTCTCCTGGTCAATGGCAGCAGAGTGATCTTGCTTTCAAATGTGTGATCCCAGGACATCTTTTATCTTTCTTGTTTCTCTGTGACCCTATTTTAATTCAGTTTCAGTCCATACTCACCATTTGTTTGCTATTGGGCAGAATAATCCTTTCCAAGACTCAATCCTATGCACATTATGTTGAAACTAAGTCTCATTGTACAAGTGTGACTTACTTCTGAAGAAACGTATTATGCTGACTTATACTGAATCAAATCCTTTATTGTGCTCAACACTGTCTGACAGTCGTTCTCCAAAGTATGAGGCAAAGACATGTCTTTCTCAGATCACCAGTTGAGATTAGGTGGAGGTTCCAAGAATGGAACCTGGATCGTTCTGCAAAGCATGTACACTACCACTGAACTATGGGTGTTTCTGACAGATATATAATGCTTTTCAGTCACATGACTGTTTTACTTGCTCCAGTACTGTTTATTCTGTCATTTTTCCAATCAGGCACCTTCCAAGTGTGTTGGACTACAGCTCCCACCCTTCATAGCCAGCATGGCCACTGGTGGAAATTTTGGGAGTTGTAGTCCAAAGCAATGGGATGGTGCACTGGGTGAGCAAAGCTGCAGAAAATACATCTTTCTCATTTGCAGACAAGTATGTACCGTACCATATCAATGAAGGAGAGTGAAAAGGGAAAACCCTTTTATTATTGCCCAGTGCATTTCAGAAATATGTTTTCCTTTGTTTGGGGCCACTTTTCTTCTGTTAGATGTATTTAAAAATCCTTTTACCTTTTATTCTTTAATTGTTTCATCTTTCTTAAATGTTCCTTCCTCTCTTATTTTGTAACTGTTGTTCCATATGGCCACACACAGGCTCGGGTTGCCTGTCAAGAAAGAACTCTTTGGGAATCCCTTATGCATATATAGCGGAATGGAGACGCTCCCACAGCCCTCACCTGCTGCTTGGCAGAGCCCCCCCGGCTCCTGCAATACAACGGCACTCCACTGCTGGCCGTGAGGCATAGCAAGGTCACCGAGCCCCCCGTTTCTTCCCACATCTTGGGACCCAGGATATCTCTCCCGTTCCGCAAGACAGATTAGCTTCCTCGCTGAGTCTCGTCCCCAGTCTTTCTACCCCGCACCCAACATTACTCCGTTCGCCCGGCTCCGCACCGCCATCTTGAAGAGTCCGGTGTATGCCGGGATACAGGTGCCGTCATTGCCATAGTAACGGACGCCCCTTCATGATTGGTTGTTTCCTTTCCCCCTTCCGTCCTGATTTGTTTTCTCCCAGACCGAGGAGGAAGAGGAATTCGAAAGCCTGTTAATCCAAAGAAAGGGGGGAGGTTTGTCGACGCGCGGGCGTGCCAAAGGTTGGACGCGAAGGGGATCATTTCCGGTGGCCGGGGAGCTGGCGAGGCCGAGAAGCCGGATGTCAGCGTTGGGTACGGAAATAGGCGGGGGTCAGTCTGTGGGGAGGGGAGCCAAACCCTGAAGGGAGGGGGGGCACAGCTAGACGTAAATCATTTCCCTGCTTCTCCTCTTTCTTGGGGGACCCCTCCAGCCCGCGAGTCTTCGCTCAAGGCTGATTGCTGCTCCAGCAACGTTAAAATAATGCATAATATTTGGAGAAAATGAACCCCACCACCACAGCCCTGCTTCTCTCTCTGGTACTTCGTGAAGGCAGATTTAGGTAGTGATTCGAGCCAGCATAGCCAATGATCAGGAATTATGGGAATAATTTTCCAAAACATCTGAAGGGCGCCAGATTGCCTGCTCCTAAAGTAGGCCAAAGGGTGCTGTTCTTCACACGATCTGTAATTCGTTTACAGGAGTCAAGCTTATGGGCATAGGTGGCCTCATCAGCCCGTGATAGGCATGTTTAGTGATGCTTCCTTATACAGTGATATAGTATTTCTGAATGCAAGTTGCAAGGTATGTGTGAACAATAGGGAGGATGTTGTGTTCATGCCTTCCTAGGAGTATGGCTGGCCATCATGAAAATAGCTTATTGGGTTAGATGAACTTTTCCTTTAATGTAACAAGGCTTTTATATTCTCTATATCAAGGTGGGCAGAAGGTAGATTGGATGATTTTCAATAGATCACCAAGAGAGCTTGTTTTCCAATTATTCAGCAACAGCAACTCCATAAATATGCCTCCCTTCTGCTGAAGCAGAAGGTACTTCCAGATAAGAGGGCTCCTGTGGCTAAGTTTCAAAAGGCATTCCCCAGATTTTCCATGTTGTCTTAATGATTTTTTATCTGTGGGAAAACACAGGAGAGGTACAAAGTGAAGATGTCATCTAGACACTTCATCCCCATAAAATGTTGTGAACAGGGTAGTGTGATTGCACAAAAAAGCCTCATCAAGGGGAAAAAGCCCTCAAAATACTTGACAGTAAACCAGGAGTAAATTTTGTGTAAAAGATCTGTAAATTCAGGTTTGATTCTCAAAATGGTGTTTCTCTAATTCAAAGTGCATATTTTGTCTCTTAAAGGTAGTTTGTATTTTACTCAGGTTTGTGCATAATGAACTTCTAGTAAAAAAGGCAAAGTGTATACTTGAAGCCTGTCTGCTCCTGCCCTACACACTGGTCTTTTCCTACCTTGCCTTCAACAGTACTTCAATTTGCCTTGCTTCTGCCCCATTATTCATTTCCTAGTCTCCATTTCTTCTCTCTCCTTTTCTGTCTTGCTTTTGTAGTGTAAATATTATCCCTTGGACGGAGATTTGAACAGTGTTTTATAATGCATCTCGTGCTTCTTTGATACAGAAGAAATGCTAAATGTTAAATTGATTTTAGGCTTGTATCTTGTCCTTAATTTGTTGCCATATTGCCATTGTACAGCCACACTTTATTGTGAGTAGCTGAAGGAGATGGTGGTGCCAACGCTGGACATGCCTGCACAGCCCATGGGGATGGTTGCTGATGTGGTCTTCGTCATTGAGGGCACTGCCAATCTTGGACCCTATTTCGAGTCCCTGCGCAAGCATTACCTTCTTCCTGCCATTGAGTGAGTGTTCACCAGATCCCAGGATGCAACAGTGTCTCCATTGGTTTTGCTACAAGGAGACACTCATGGGGGAAGGGAAGGCTGTGAAATTGTTCCTGAGAAAGGCTGCAATTGTTTACCTTAATCGCTACTGTGTTCTCATTATTTGAATACTGATTTTGTAAAAAGCCTTACAATATGCTTAATTGTTTATAAGAGCTACTTTTCTACTGAATGTAGCCCGATAGGCAAGACTAGCTATAGATATCCATGCTCTGCTAACATCTCATACCAATTACTGCAACAGATATGAAGAATTGTCTTTGCAAACAGTCTAGGAACTTTACCTGGTCCAAACTCAGACTATTAACAAGAATTGGGTGATACACCAGTGCTTTGTGAGCTGCACTTATCCTTGGTCCATTTTTGGACCCAAATCAAAGGGTTGGTGTTAACTTCTAAAGCCCAGGACTTGAAGGATCTATAAATATCAGCTTGGGCCCTAAGATTATATTTAGGGGCTGCCTCCAGGTAGGGATCTATGGACTTCGTTAAATTTATTCCGCCTGTGTTTCATTTAGTCGGTCTGTGTTTTTTGTCCCATCATTGATGGATCTGGCTTTTTCCCATTTTCTGAACTTATGTTTGTGAGCTTTTAAACAAATTTGCACTTTAAAAAATGTGTTGTTTTATTGTGTTGTAAGCCGCTCCGAGGCTTCGGCAAGGGGCGGCATAGAAATGTTATAATAATAATAAAAATAATAAAAAAGCACATATTTTCCTAAAATGTGGAAATTTGCCCAAAATGCTTATTTCATGTTTTATCCTATAGGAGGAAGTGTATATTTTCAGTTAGTGGTTAAAAAATACTTTTTTCCAACTAAATTTTTGTTTTTTCCTGAGTTGCATGTTTTTTAAACTTCCAGAAATTTACAATCTGCTATGGTATTCATGTCTTAGATTCACAGAAATCTAAAGTCATTTGAATCTTCTGTAGATTTCTCTGATTTTTCCAACCTCCAGGTTCCCTTACCTCCAGATGAGGCAGGAGGGTCTTTTCAGTTGTGGCACTTGGTTGGAGAATGCCCTTCCCAGAGAAATGTGCTTGGTACCTATATTGTGGCTTTCTGGTACCAGATGAAGGCCCTTTTAATCTCCCATGTATTTCAGTCCTTCAGTTTTTAATGCTTTAAATGTGCTGTTATATTTTTAGATCTTTACACCACTGCTGGTATTTACTTTGTTTCATACTGTAGTTTTAAAAGCTTTATATTTTTTATTATGTTACATTTATAATTTTAATTGTTGTGACTCGCCCAGAAAGCTTTGACTATTGGGTGATACAGAAATGGAAAGAATAAATAACTATTAATTTGGACTTAGATTTAGGAAATCATCGCTGGATCACAGTTTCAATGAGCCAGTGTGAACCATTCTCTTGCTTTTCATATCTGTAAAATGCAACACTGTGTGGGATTGAAAGCATTTACCTCTATCTATTTGTTGGAACAGAGTGGACAGAATTCAGGTTTGTAAGCTCTGTGGTTTTTTTTTACTGGGGCCCTGTGGCTCATCAGCCAGAGACAGGTGCAAATACCAGATCTGTCAGACAGACATGAACTTTGACTAAAGGAACAGATGCCTCTTAGCACATGTTCAGGCCAGGATTTTGTGATAAATATAAGGAGCAAACTTGCAAATCCTTTCATACTCAGTGTTTTTTCACTAATGTAGGCAACTAGAAATTTTTAAATTGTTAGTTGGCCACCAGAAACACATACCACTGTACTGAAAATCAACTAGAGATTCTGCAATGCATTCCTGGTTAGCTGCTGGTTACCCCTGAGATAAAATATAAGCCACTGAAAGCCATGGGAACTGCTCAGTAAAAATGAAAACTATGTATGAAGATGTGTCATATTGAAGCCAGCTTGGAAGTAAAGCCTACTGAAATCGTTCAGATTTACTTGTAAGTAGGAATGTATAGGAAGAAGGAACCTGGGACTAAAATATTGGCAAGTTGGGCTTTTTCCCCAGTTGAAGAAATAGCAGTACATATAGAAAATTACCTTTCCAGTTTCCAAATAACACTGTCAAGACAAATAAGAGAAAGTAAGCTGATGGGAAAACAAGCCTGCCATTTAAACGAGCAGAAATAAACTGACTTGGACATTTACAGAGGCTAATTCAGGTGTAAAATGCAATATACAGTTATCTGACATATTTACAATTTATACTTGCCCCTGGAAAACAGGTAAGTGATAAAACATGACAAATAAGTTCATTGGCATAATGATTTTGAAAAAAAATTGTGATTTTATATATCTGTTTTCTCAAGTGAGTAGTTTATGGCTGTTGTTCATAAATTCTTATTCATGCATCAAGTATTAGACAGCCCATCTGAGACTTTTTTATTTCTAGGTATTTCAATGGTGGTCCCCCAGCTGAAACAGACTTTGGAGGAGATGTGAGTATATGAATGTACTTTTGAAGTTGTTTGCAAGTGCAGAGACTTGAGTGGACTATGGGTAGCCCTTTGGCTACTAATTTATTTATTCAGTTTGTATTGTGTTTTTCCATTAAAAAATGGGGCTCACATTTTCTAAGTGGCACTTAAAGCACCCATTCTGTTTGTGTATGCCTCTTTTCTGTCATAAGGATTTTATGGATTATTTTGAGAATAGCTAAAATTAATTTCTGTTCTGTTTTCCTAGCAAAATTGCCTTATTACTTCCCCACCTGTCTAAACAGCAATGTTTCTAGTTTCAAAAATGGGGCAGATTGAGGAGAAAGATGGGGGCAACTGCAGGGCTTGGATTTAAGGCCCCAGAAACCTGAATTCATGGGTTTCTTCAATGAGACATAAACCCAGGTGACCTGGTCTGCATATAATAATAAGTGTGGATTAATTAACCAATGATTAATTAGGGTTACATGTGATCACAGTTTTGAATATGCAGCCTCCTGTCAGAGGTTATTTTGTGATGCACAAATCTGGACACTTGGTTTGCACATAACAACAACTTGAGTTTGTTGTTGTTGAGTCATGAATTGTCATTGTATGTGACCCCTGCACTATGATTGAACTATGAGCTGTTAGCCACAAACAGTATAGGAAGTAAACACACTGTATGCTGTTAGGTTGTGAGTTCTGGGATTTTGTGCATAACAACTCATAGTTTAGCCATAGTGCAGGGTATACATGTAAGAACAACCTGTGATTCAACAACATATTCAACCTGTACTCTGCATCGTTGTTTTGTGCGAACAATATCTATGGTTAATTGTGGGTTAAACAACTAAATTAAATTCCAGTTAATTCTGAGTTAACTGTGATTTAATCCGCAATTAACCCATGGTGACCAGGTTGGCACATCACAGAATAACCCTGATGAGAAGCTGCATATTCAAAATGACAGCAACATACACTGGGAACACAGTCTAGCAAATTGTGGGTTAATTAACCTACGATTTACTGCTGTTAAATGTGAACAGGGTTGTTTGGAGTAAGGAATGAAAAGAGCAGGATTTCCCAGGTAAAAGCTGCTTTTGAAAACTTGATTCAATATGTGTCTTGTTTTTTTTAATCAAATTACTTGCACTCAGATGTAACACTAAATAACAGTTCAGCATGATGGGAATAGACCTGGGTGATTCTTAGGGTCATACATCTGTTCTTCCTCCCCTCTGGTATAATAATGAGAGAATGTGGTATAATAATGAGAAGCTTTGCTTCCATTTTCAGTTAACTATAGGGGCTCCTTATATTTGAACCCAGGCACACAATGATTAGTATTAACTATGGTTTAGGGTATTATTATTATTATTATTATTATTATTATTATTATTATTATTATTATAACATTTCTATGCCGCCCCTTGCCGAAACCTCGGGGCGGCTTACAACATGATAAAATACATTGAAATACAATAGTACATAATAAATTACCATTAAATATAACAATACAAAAAATACATTGATTTACAAATACAAAATTAAAATTATCAGTATAAGATAAAAATATAGGAGGAGAAAGAGAAGGAAGAAGAAGTTGCCCAGGCCAGATCATATGTTTTAACAATTGAAATGATGTTTAAATAAAAAGGTCTTTACCTGGCGCCGAAAAACCAGTAACGACGGTGCCAGGCGGACCTCTTTGGGGAGTGAATTCCATAGGTTGGGCGCCACCGCAGAGAAAGCCCTCCTCCGGGTACTTACTCTCCTAATTTCTTTCATGGAGGGTTCCCGGAGAAGGGACTCTCCCGCAGATCTCAAAGGGCGGTCGGGCATATACGGACGTAAGCGCTCGTTCAGGTAGCCAGGACCCAAGCCGTTTAGGGCTTTGTAGGTCATAATCAACACCTTGAATTGGGCCCGGGCTTCAATGGGAAGCCAGTGAAGCTGATGGAGGACTGGAGTCATGTGAGCATAACGCCCCGTCCCCGTCAGCAACCTGGCAGCTCTATTTTGCACCAATTGAAGTGTTCGGACTGTCTTCAGGGGAAGCCCCACGTAAAGTGCGTTACAGAAGTCTAGGCGGGAAGTCACCAGCGCGTGTGTCACCGTCGCCAGGCAGTCGTACTCCAGGTAGGGGCGCAGCTGATTAATCAGCCGAAGCTGAAGGAAGGCGTTCCTTGCTACCGCTGTCACCTGAGCTTCCAAAGAAAGCTCCGGGTCGAGGAGTACTCCTAAGCTGCGGACCTTATCCCTAAGAGGGAGTGTTGCACCATTCAGGACCAGGTCAAATCCACCCTCTCCGAAACCCGATCCGCCAACCAACAGGACCTCCGTCTTGTCTGGGTTGAGTTTCAGTTTTTGGACCCGTTTCCCACACAAAAGAAGACATCGGGAGCTGCAAAACCCTTTTGACATCTAAAATGAAGATAACACTGCATATATCATTTTTTACCTTAATGCTATGTATATCTTCTTTATGATTTAGCTGCAGCTCTTTTTCAGTCACTAAAAACTTATTTTTAATCTTACATTATGAACTAGTAGGACTCCTTTCACATATTTTGAATAGGAGAACAGCTTTCTGAAGTGTCAAAGTCAGTGCTAAAGGGTTGCATGCATTAAACAGCAAACCCCATAAGTTTGTCAGCATTAAAAGCAAATGAATCTACCCACGTACCATTAAACGTTTGGTTTTCTTCAGAAACTTTTCTTCGATTTATCCATTGTTTGGGGGCGTGGAGCTCAGTAAATCTGCGCAGGTCCGCGGATCGGTGGCTGTGCCGGAGATATAGGTGTGTTTAGTGACTGATTAGCAGATAAACAGTCAAGTGCTATGAATTGTGACAGGTCCCAAGCACAGCTTTTAACATTCAGATGGGACAATGAGATTACATTGGGACAAAGAGAATCCTTTCAGAATCCTTTCGTGTAACATGAGAGCCTGCAGGAAGCTTGTTTAGCAGAATGGAATGTAGCGATTTACTTAACTAGCTGATTTACTTAACCAGCTGATTTACTTAACTAGCTAGCTGCGTTCCTGAGTGGAGCTTCGAGCAGATCAGCGGCTGTTCTGGCGCATGTTTTGAGTGATGGAGCCGCAGCAGAGGGGTTCAAGAGCCACATGCGGCTCCGGAGCCATGGGTTGCTGACCCCTGGTTAGGGAAAAAAGCCAGATTTGAAAACACAGTTGAAATTGGTTTACTTCCCTAATCTAAACCATAGTTAAGACCAGTGACAGTTAGTCCAGATTCAGACATAATGGATAAAGGTGGTTAGTTGAAAATTGAAGTGAAAACCTAAGTTCTTCTTGCAGTTATGCCAGAGGGAAAGAGGGAACATTTGGCTCCTGAGACTAATATATAAACACTATATCATAGTTTAATATTGTTATGCAAGTCATGCCATTGTTATCCCACTTTTTCTCCAAGGATCTGAAGGTGGTAATGTACATGAAGACTATTACATTACATAGGTAATCTTTTAGCTTACAAGGAGTGTGGGATGCCCTGGCTGCATTCAGGCAGGACTCCAAACCATCGCTCAAATGACTAGGAACAAGCCGCCTTTTGTACACACTATCCTCCCCTCACATCATGTGCATGCCCCAGTGTATTACTTCCTGATTTGATAAAACTATAATTTGCTCAGAAACTAGGACTTGACTTAGTTGGATGAAGTGTAGTTGGATGAAATGTGAAAGGAATCTATTAGGTCATGCATACAGAACGGAGAACAGACAGCATGCAAGCACAGAGATTGTTCCCAGTCCTTTGAAAGGTCATCTGAATACAGCCAGTTTGTTGCCAGAAGTCTGCCAGTGAGCTTAGTTTCTTTAGCTTTGACATACATATTCCATGTTAATTTAAGAGAACCTATAGGAGCATCTTAGACAACAAATTGCTCTTTATGAACACTCGCATTAAGTTTGTGCATAGTGCAGATATTTTGAATGTTTATGCCTGCTGTTGTGGAAGCTAATGGCCAAGCAGAAGCCCAGCAGAAGAGTTGAGGTACTGAAAATACCTTTGTCCAGAGCCAGTCAGTCTAATCAACTTCTCCCTGTCTCCTGCAGTATGGCGGTACCCAGTACAGCCTGGTTGTGTTCAACACAGTGGACTGTGCTCCTGAGTCATACGTGCAGTGCCATGCACCAACTAGCAGCGCTTACGAGTTTGTAACATGGCTTGACAGCATTCAGTAAGTCTGGGAGTGTACACAGGTGCTAGCAGTCCTGCTAAGGATCGCACTTACCTTGGTGGCGGCAGCAGCTGATATATGGGAATTTCTGGGGGACTGGGTAGAGCATGCAGGAAGTTCAGAGGAGGGAAGGTCAGTGCAGTAGCTCAGTAAAGGCTATAGCGGGCAGACTGTTGGTTGTACACCTTGGAGTAATCCGAAAAGATGTCTGAGTGGATCAATGTAGCAAATATTTGGGGGAAATGGGCTGAAATGATAAAGTAGTGTTCTTGCTCACTTGTTGTAAGCATGGAGCCACATCCTGCCTTGTGGCTGTCTTTCTCCCCTGCTTGCAGAGTGCTCGCAAGGTTGATCACTGAATAAGTGGTAGTTTGGGGAGGGGAGGGGAAACTTCTGGATTTCCTAGGTCTAAGATGAGGTGTGTTGAAGTGCAGTGAATGGGGAGGAAGCCAAACCTTCTGAGTTTCTTGTGTGATGAAGCTCACCAGAGTACTAGCCACAAAGTCTAGAAGATTATGAAGCTCTCTGCATGCATCTTACAAGATTCCAATTGACATTAAGGAATCTGGAGTAGCAGGGCTAAGAGAAAACCTTTTCCTAGCATTTTGGAGACCAACTGTCAGTAGGACTGGATGATTTTAGGCTAAATGAACCAAAGGTCTGATTTCATATAATGGCTTCATGTATGTCTGTGCTTTGTCTAGTGCTTAAGAATGGGTTGGTTCAGACAATCATAAATTGAGAGATGAACAAGTCTTGGACATACGACAGCCACCCAGCTCATCCCTTCACTGGGAACAAACCAACTAGAAATCCTTCATTTAATTGTAATGGGCCATTATAATAATTTGTAATGTAATGTCTTGTGTGTACCACGGGTTCCCAGCATTACATATGCCAGCTATGGAAGCCTGACCTTGTCAGCTGGTTCTAGGATTTTTTGCTTGATTGATGGCTTTGGAGCAAGCCAGGCTATGAAGTCACTTCTAAATCATGTCTTTCTATCCAGCCTTGTTCTGAAACTGTTAACCACACTTTTTCTAGTTAAGAGAAGACAAGAAACTGTAACTAATAGAAGCTTTCCTAGTGTGTTCATTCCCATCATAAAGAGGCCACACGCATGACCTGTGAGGCTGTTGGTTTCCAGCACTGGCCATCTCTCATTCTTTTGCCTTCCTGATCTCAGGTTTGTGGGTGGTGGTGGTGAGAGCTGCAGTCTCATCTCAGAAGGGCTCAGCACTGCTCTGCAACTCTTTGATGACTTCAAGAAAATGAGAGAGCAAATGTAAGTATTATTGGAGTGGGAGTGAAGGGAGAGTGGGAAGCCAGGACTCAGCGAATATGCACGAGGGTTCCCATCTGTTTTTAATATTAATGTGTCCCCATGAGTCACACTTAAAATTGTGAAATACTTTATTTTGTTTTGTGGTTTCTATTTGCCGGAAGTCGTTTCATGAAATGGAGGAAAACTACTGTGAAACAAAAGCTGGGTTTTGTTTTTTCTCATTTTTCAGAACTTTTTACCATTTCCTTTGGCACGTCATAATAAGACATGACAAAATGAAAGGCTGCATTGGGACGGTGGGGTCTGGGTTGGTGCTATCTACTGAAGCCCTTTTATTTGTTCATTTGTTAATAATATTATTTTAAAATAATGTTAATTCCCCAAGTGGCTCAAAATTCCTAGCACTGAGGGAAGGAAGGCTTTGTTTTGTTTTTCAAGTGTGCATGTAACTTCTGAAACACAATTTCCCAGCACCACTGCTTTACACAGAATCAATCTATCCCTAATCCCTTCTTTTACCTTTTTTTAAAGTGCAGAGCAAAGAATAGTTAGGATAATACCTATTCATATCTGCCATACATAATGCTAGTCCAGGAAAGAGCAAATGCATTACAGTGCTGTACTGCTGCTGAAACTTTACTCTGGAGCAAAACAGTATGCTTGGGAATGTAGTTCTCTCTATTTATTCATGCTCTCTTCCGAACAGAGGCCCCACACATAAAGTTTGCATTCTTATCTGCAACTCCCCACCCTACCTGCTACCTGCAGTGGAAAGCACAACATACTCTGGCTATACAACAGAGAACCTGGTGCAGAAGATTGGTGAGGTGAGTCGAAGATGTTGGGCAACAATCTGGATTTCTAATTTCTCTAAATTTATGGGAGATATATGATGGGTTTGGAGTAGGAATTCTTGAAAGTAGATCTCCAGATGTTTCAGACTTCAGCTCCCAGCATTCTTGACTATTAGCCATGCTACTGTATCCCAATCTTCCCAAGCATCTGCAATCTCCCACAACCTGGTGTTCTCCAGATGTGCTGGACTGCAACTCCCAGCATCCTGGAATGGAAAACAGATCTACTGCATTGAAACAGAGCTTGGCTTGGAGGAGTGTGGGAATCCTGGCAAGTAAGGCATGGAGTGAATCTGGTGGTTTAGAATTGAAGTTGCTCTGAAGAAGGTGCTGCTTCCTCTTGTCTCCTGTGAAATTCTCATGCCAAGTGAATGAGAGGTAGAGAGTAACAGCTAGAATTCTCTGGGAAGGATTTGTGCTCTGGGAAGGAAGTGGAAGGAAGGGATTGCTGTCATGTTGATAGGTAATCCTTCAGAAGAACTTTGTATTATGTATTTATTATTTATTTATTTAGAACATTTCTATGCCGCCCCCATCGCAACAAAGCCTCGGGGTGGCTTACAGCAAGAACCAAATTATACAATGAAAATATTAAAACCCAGTGCATCTCGGCTTAAAAATAATTTTAAAATCCTACAAATGACAAATAAATTAACACTTAAAATAAATTTTAAATAAAAAGGTCTTAGCCTGGCGCCGAAAAATAACGACGGCACCAGGCAGACCTCTCTGGGGAGCGCATTCCATAGGTGGGGTGCCACCGCAGAGAAGGCCCTCCTCCAGGTACTCACCCTCCTAATATCATTCACAGAGGGTTCCCGGAGAAGGGCATCTGTTGCTGATCTCAAGGGGCGGGAGGGCATGTATGGACGCAAGCATTCCTTTAGATACCCAGCACCCAAGCCGTTGAGGGCTTTATAGGTCATAACCAACACCTTGAATTGGGCCCGGACTTCAATCGGGAGCCAGTGGAGCTGACGGAGAACTGGGGTTATATGAGAGCAACGCCCAGTCCCCGTCAGCAGCCTGACAGATCTTTTCTGCACCAATTGAAGTATCCGGACCGTCTTCAAGGGTAGCCCCACGTAGAGTGTGTTGCAGAAATCTAATTGGGAAGTTACCAACGCGTGTGTCACTGTCGCCAGGCAGTCGTTCTCCAGGAAGGGATGCAGCTGATGGATCAGCCGAAGCTGCATCCATCCTGCCTATTTCCTGGCTATTTATTGTAAGGCCTATTCAAAAAACCTGTCTCCTCCCTGGTTGCTTGTTCTCTTAAACCAGGCTTGGCAAGCAAAAGGTCCAGATGTATCCATAATGCCCGGAGCCTCAGCTGTATGACCTTAGTAGTTCATGAAGGAGAACAAGTATGTTCAGATATAGATGTGTTCAGGTACCAGTTTACATGGATAAATATAGTTTTTTAAAGTACTAAAGTGCTCTTTATATATAAGCAGCTGAAGGAAGTCAGTCTGCAGATGAGTTCATAATGGCCAGTCATGTTCTCCGGCTAAAGAGGTGAACTCTGGGTGATGTTATCATTTAGCTCAATTTGTCTAACCTGCTGAACTTTTTATACTCTTCATTCACCTTCCCCTTGGTAATAGAAAGTGTAGAAAGTCATGAGTTTCAAAACATTTGCATTTCCCATTGTGAACATTTTCTTATGTGTTCACAGTGTTGACTGAGATATCTTTAAATCTACTTAGTTTTAGAGCTAAAATGAAAGTGGGTTGCCTAATAGCCCTGATATGTGTTTTGTGTTCTCAGCAGGCAATGCAACCTTATGTTCAAGTAAACAGCAGACTTTGTTAGAAAATTAATAAATATTTTCTTAAGAAAAATCAGTAATATATGCCCTTAGGGTAGTCAAAGGGTTACAGGCCTTTTATATCAGGCGTAACCCAGATATACTCCCAGTATTGTTTTGTCACTGTCTGCTGCTCACCTAAAATAACTCTAAGACATCAACAAATTGGATTAGTCGTATCATAGAGGAGGCTTCCTCAACCCAATACCTCCCAAATTTGTTGGACTCTAACTCCCATCAATTATATAACAGGATTTGCAACACATCTGGAGAATGCCAGGTTGTCTTAGGTGTCCTGAGCTAACTTGCTCATGCCCTGCAGGGAAGGTCATATATATTTAAGAGGAAGGAGATTGTGAATCCCAGGGTATGTGTCAGTTCTAAAGAGGAGTGATGACATTACAACCTGCCTCTTGGTCTCTTCTCTAGGATGCTAGGCATTAGCATCTTAGATGACATAGTTCATGCTGAAATGCACCACAGCTGCTGCTCTGATTGTTTCATTTCCATTCCAAGCCTGGTGGGTGTACAATTCACAAAGACATCTTATTTGATACTAACAAAGAGGGAGTAAAAACTTGGCTCACAGTTTCAGTCATAAAACCAAGACAAAAGATAGCTTAATCAGCTATCCTGGGAGATTTAATTTTGATTTGTTAAACTTATATGGCTGCCCATTAAGATATGCTGTGGATAGCTTATAGTTCAGGAAGTGAAGTAAAATGCTAAACATGGGTAAACTGACATAATCAAGAGCAACAAATATTTAAAATGCAGCACTTTTTTTCTTCTAATAGGGATAAAATTAAAGTTGTTGTTGTTGTTGCTAGTCGCGAAGTCATGTCTGACCCATCGCGACCTCCAGGCCTTCCTGTCCTCCACCATCCCCCAGAGTCAACTTAAGCTCACACCAACTGCTTCAGTGACTCCTTCCAGCCACCTCATCCTCTGCCGTCCCCTTCTTCTTTTGCCATCAATTGTTCCCAGCATTAGGCTCTTCTCCAGTGAGTACTTCCTTCTCATTAGGTGGCCAAAGTATTTGAGTTTCATCTTCAATATTAAAATGGCTGCTTTAATTAAAAAAAAGCAGAAACAGTGAGTGTCAAGTGCATGTTAAATTGTCTGGTAAAATAAAAAAGATCTTCACCTGACACCACGAAGAAGGTAAAGAAAGCACTAGATGAGCTATAGATGAGTGCCACCTTGGAGAGGGCCCTTGTAGCCACTTGTCTTACCTCACTTCCTGGGATCACACAAACCAGGACTTGCACAGAGGATCTTAAAAGTTTACTTAGATGACTTTTAAGAGGTAATCCCTTGAGTTGCTATGTGAGGGATCAGAACAGTCACTCTTTGCCTTTTGCTGTGTTTTTCTGTGCAACTTTGTTAGGGCTACTCTTCCCTTCTTGAAATTGTTCTGAAATAAATAGTGGGAATAGGCAACTGGATAACTGAGCATGTGTGTGTTGTTTAAAATATCTATCTATCTATCTATCTATCTATTGAAATGTCTGACATATCGGAAGTGTGCTAGGTTGGAGAAGGCTGGTGTTTATGCTACCTTTCTTCCAATGTAAAACTCAAAGCACATCCATGGAGTTTTCTGGTGGTCTCCCATGCAAACACTGCTTTGACCCAGGCCAAATTAGCTTCGACAAGGCTTCTGCTTCATGTGCCCAGGTTTATGGCCTGGGTTCTCTGCTGGTTGCCAACATGCTGGAAAGCCCCATTGGAACCCCACAGTAGCAGCAATTTGGAATGGGCACCTGTAGAGATCTGTCTTCCACATCCTGCCCTGAAAGTGCATCCTGCTCACCTGCTCTGTCCTTATTCCCCCAGCGTGGGATCCACTTTTCTATTATCTCCCCACGGAAGCTGCCAGCTCTGCGCATTCTGTTTGAAAAAGCTGTGACAGCAGGCATGATGGAGGCTCAGCTCAAGGACTACAGCCAGGACCCCCGGCATATGATCCTCATTCGTGGCATGGTGCTTCCAGGTGAGAGCCTACCTAGTGCTAGGAAGCATTGCAGGGTGGGTGCAAGCTACCAATCCTGTGATGGGCACAGGGATGCAGGAGGCTTGGTATTCCAAAAGGGGTGGCTTCCATTTCACCATTCAGGCCTGCCTGGCTATTAAAGTGTTCATCAGTAGGCAACCTTTGTTTCGAGACGGTCTATTAACTGCAAAGAGTTGGTTGAAGGCCAAGCTTACTAGGATTTTGCTGTGGTCAAATACTCATTGACTTAGTCACAGAAGTAGCTGTATGCAGAGCACATGCATTAAAATCAATGGATTTATGACGAAATCTATTTTCCATTAGAATCATATTTAAATTATATACCAAGGAGGTATTTCATATTTCATGATAAGGCACAGACACAGAAAAAAAAGCCTCAGATGTGACATTAGGTGCAGAATTCATTTTCCTGAAAATCTTTGCTTTTACTTTTAGGTTTGAATTATAAAAGCAGTTTCTAGTCCTTAGGACTGCAAAGATACACTTGAAAATATATGAGCAAATGGTCAACTGAGAAATCCTAGAAGCAGAGGAGGAGCCGCGTGATCAGATTTCTAGGAGGCCTAGTTTCAGTGTCTGCATCATTCCTTCCTCTTCTCCATGGCTAGCAGATCCAGACATGAAAGTGCTTGAAATGACAGGAGACCACATAAGTCAGCTGTTTTGGGGACAACTTTTAAGGCACAGAGTATGTGCAGTCCTGTTAGTGGTGTTGTTGCCATCAGTGGTGTTGTAGCCATCAGCCAAGGTTTATCTGTATATTTATTTTAAACATAGCTAGCTTCTCTCTTTTTTATGTAAAGGTGCAATCCTATGCATGTTCAGACAGAAAAAAAGGCTTTCAACTTCCCACATGCCCCAGCCAGCATGGCTAACCAGAGCATACTGGGAGTTGCAAGAGTTTTTTCTGTCTGAACATGCATGGAGCTGTACCCTTGATCCACTATTTCCATCTTGCATCTTGATTTATAGCTTAGAGATTCCCAGGTGGTTTCCCGTTCAGGCATTAACCTGGCTTAACTTCAGCATGTGGACTGTATCTTTTGCCATCCGGTTGTTCCCCCAGTAACCTCAGTTTTATCTTTTTTAATTGTTAATCGCTATGTATGTATGTATGTATGTATGTATATATGTAAGATGCATTGCCTGCTTTTCTGCTAGTGTGTTCACAGTGGCTAACATTTAGCATAAAACGTGTGCACTAAATCAATATCCGAAGGATAATAAAAATATAACTTTTAACATTTTAAAGATAAAGACCTTGAGGATTAGCTCCATCCTGTGCTGCAGGCAGTTGATGTTCCTTTCATTTATTTGTGTGTATGAGAGGAAGAGAGAGAAAATGGGGTGTCATGGTATGCCCACTTCCTGTTGGTGACAAAGACCATCTCTTGCATCTTTATTTGCAGTTGGAGGAGGGGCTGCCACAAATGCCCTGCAGTCCAAGCAGACTGTGCCCCAGCCCCAGCCCCCCACGGTGCCACCCCAGCTCCCTGCTGCCCCGCCACAGACCCTGCCACCAGTTTCTCAGCCATACCAGGTACATTTGCCCCCAAAGCTGTGTGTGTGCAGGGGGTGTGGGGATGGGATGATTGCTGTTCCCAGAACTCATCCCTTGCTTTGCCCTCTGATCTCTTGCTTAAGGTGACACCATCCACAACTCTCACTGCCGCCCAGGCAGCTGCTCAGTCAGCTGTGGAGGCTGCCAAGAACCAAAAAGCTGGCCTGAGCACCCGCTGTGAGTGTTTGTTCCCCAGGATTGGGAGTAGAGAATGCTGCAGAGGTACTAGAGGTGTGTGGGGTTAATGAGGGTAGGATCCATGAACACAGTGCTTTCTTTCTTCTCTCCATAGTCACCTCCCTGAACCCCATGCAGCCAGCCTTTAGCCAAGCTCCTGCACAGACACTCCCAGCAGGCTCAGTTCCAGCCCTGCCTCAAAAGCTCCCTGCCTCTTCACAGTCCAGTCTGGTCTCCACAGTAACCACGGGCTCTAGCCTGCTTGTCCAGCCCCCCGTGCAAGCTCCACCGCAGTCCGGCGCCTCAGCCATGGTACATGTGAGCAACCATTTGGGAGCCGGGGGGAAATGTTGTGCAGGGTTTATCTTGTCCCTGCTCAAGGGTTTATCACTTCTTTTTCCAAATTTTAAGTTGCTAATCCTCAAGAGGCTATTGCCACCTCTCCCTCTCCTTTCCCATCCCTCCGCCACTTGCAGTCCACAGTCGTGCCTCCCAGCAGCATGACGGTGAGCCAGCCGGCTCAAGCGCAAATTGGAGCAACTCAGCAGTCAGTCACAAACAAGGTGATGGCGTGGAGTGGCGTGCTGGAATGGCAGGAGGTGAGAGCTGAAGCGTGGAGGAGGAGCAGGGGTCAGCTGGGGAAAGGGGGACCTTTGTCCTGACATGTTTTGATGGTCTGCCCTGTTCCTCTTTCCCTCAGAAGCCCAAGCCAGCTTCTGTGGATTCCAACACCAAGCTCACACGTTCCTTGCCCTGTCAAGTGTACGTCAACCAAGGGGAGAACTTGTGAGTGTCAGTCTGCGTCACCAAGGGGAGGGGAGTGTGGCAGTCAAGGAGAGGCTGGCAGGTGGAGCAGGGAGGTCTGGGGCAACACGGGTGTTCTGCGGTTAGAAATGAACTGAATGCTGGGAGGCCTTGGGAGCAGTGGGCTGGGGGAGCTGGTCAGTTAAATGAGGAAAGGAACATACCAGCAATGCAGTGGACAGGGAGCTTCTGATCCCAGGGCTTAGCAGTGTCCCTATAGATTTAGGATAGGAGTGGGGGCGCTCTTTCAGCCTAAAGGCTCAGTTTGATTTCCCCAAAGCTCTCAGAAGCTGCGTTCTAGCAGAGGGCAGGGTTGAAAACAAAAGCGTGTGACTAAAGCCACCAAAAAGCAACATGTTGCAGCCGAAAGCTCCTATAGCCAGTAACTAACCCTTAGGAGAGGCTTTTCAACCTTTTAGAATGGAAAAGAAACCACACAATTTCTGGGAAGGTATCTCAAAGTATTGGTGGTTGAGAAAAAGGTTGGTTCAGAGAGTGGAGTTGTTGAAAGAATATGGGGCCAGGACCAGGATTCTTCGTCTCTTAAGCTCCAAAATAAGAGCAGCCTCTTTGATTTGGCGAAAATAAATCCGGTGAGCATAGGTTAAAGCCTGAGGTGGAAGAGGAACTAGAAAGCCTCAAAACCAGGGGTGCTCTCCAGGGGGTTCTGGATAGTAGCTCCTGTCAGCTGCAACCTGGGCAGTCACTGGTCAGGGACAATAGGAATTGTAGCCTAGCAACCCTTGGAGGCTTCCCACCCCTGCTGTAAACCTTGAGACCTACCAGAGCAAGATTCCCCACCCCCATCTTGAGAATTAGATCTTGTTTGAAGTGTTTGGAGCAGAGGGCCTTCAGAGGAACTGCCTGCTGGCTAGAGGGGTGCTGGGAGTTATAGTCCAACACTTCTGGGGGGCACCAGGTTGGGGAAGTCTGATATAGCCAATGAGGAACAAGCAGCTGACCTCCTTCTCCCTGCTGCATTCCAGGAAGGCTGAACAGTGGCCCCAGAAGCTCATCATGCAGCTGATCCCCCAGCAGCTCTTGGTAAGTTCAGGAGCAGCAGCCTGACAAGCGTGAATGCAGCCGAACCGGACTTAACACCGGCTATATCCTCTTAGGACAGCCTTTCCCAGGCATGAGATGTTGTTGGGCTGCAACTCCCATCCTCCCAAGCTGGCAGGACCAGTGGGCAAGGAGGATGAGAACTGTAGCTCACCCACATCTAGGGACCGAAAGGCCATCAGAAATTAGTGTGTTTCTTTGTATTATTGGCTTTCAGCTGCTCTGTGTTTCCCCAAAAGCTGCCTTGATTTCAGCACCCCTCTTTTTAACCAAGTTTGCATAGCCTGGACACAAGATCCGGCTCCCACTGAGCAAACCTCTCTCACTCCCTTACAGACAACGCTCGGGCACCTGTTTCGCAACTCACGCATGGTTCAATTCCACTTCACCAACAAGGATCTGGAATCGCTGAAAGGGCTCTACCGCATCATGGGCAATGGATTTGTAAGGCTCTGCGGGTGACAGAGGTTGTGGGTTCGGGTGACCCAGATGACTGGGAGAAGGCAGTACCTTCCCTCATTGTGGGATGGTCATGATGAACAAGTCAAATCACAGTGATTAAAGTTTCAAAATGCATCAGGGCTGGGGAACCTCTGGCCCACAGAAGCATGAGTTTGTACCATATGCCCTACCCGTTCCACACAGGTTAAAAGCAGAGGGATTCCCAACGACGTCACACTAAGTGTTGAGTATTCAGCCAGGCCTTGTGGCCCCTTCCCTTTGCCCACAGCTCACAGCTGCAGTCAGGATGTCATACAAATGCTACACCTGATGGCTGCTGCTTGGCAGAGCAAGTTACCCAAGTGCCAGTCAAGTCCCTTTCCCCATACAGAGGGAGGCATGGAGCTCCACGCCCTTCAGCACAGGGCAAGGAAAAATGGGCAGCAGCCAGAGGATGTTGTGGAGGGGCTTGGGGCTAGGGAGCCGCTCACTTGACTTTATCCCTCTGGATTGTTCCAGGGGTCAGGGAGGCAAACCAAAGGTTCCCCTCTCTCAGAGGCTTTCTGGGATTCCCTGCCATGATGCATGTTTTGCTGTTGAGGCCGGAGGACCTTGGCCTTACAGGAAGAGCTTGTATGGCCAGGGCTTCTTAGTCAACATGGCAGAGCTTTCATCTCATCAGTCAGACTTATTACCACGGGGAAGGAGGAAGCATCTCAGTAGCTGTTGCGGCTTCTGAGATTATTTAGCAGATGTGCACCTTTCTTGTCATACGAGCAGGCAGGCTGCGTTCATTTCCCTCACACAACTCCCTGTGAGGTGCGAGTGTTGATGCTGCTGTATTCTTCCAAGAAGAAAATCTTCATGGGGCTCATTCCTTATGACCAGAGTGGCTTTGTCAATGGCATTCGCCAGGTCATCACCAACCACAAGCAAGTCCAGCAGCAGAAGGTAAGTGGCATGTATCCCCAAGGCATTTCTCCCTTCTACCCCACTTTCCCTCACCAGGTGCATTGGGGGAGCTTTTAACCAGACCTCTTGGATTGCTGCAGGCTGAGATTTCTCACTCCCTTTGGCTGCAAAACTTGCCATTTCCCAGATGACTGACACTCTAAGGGTGACTGTTTCCCAGAAGCACAGCTCCTCAGCCCTACACTTTTTCTAGCAGGATTTGTAGGGCTCACCTGACCTGAGGATGAGACCCTCTGATGTTAAGGTAGTAACAGTGAAAATGACTTATGAGCACATCAGGAATAATTCCCAACATCCCCTTTTCTTTCATAGTGTTTTGGGGTTTGCTGATGCACTGGAGCTCTGCAGACAATTCTTCCTATTGAATTGCACCTTGAATTTAAGTCCTGTCCCAGCATTTTGTGCATGTGTTTGTTTATGTCTCTGCACATGAATGTGCTGTTAGGTCTGAGTTAGGCTACCTGGTGCCCTTCAGATGTTTTGGACAACAGCTCCCCTAAGTTCAAGTCAGCATGACTGGTGGCCTAGGATTACAGAAAACGTGATTCATTACCTTTAGAAAACACTAGATTGCCTGCCGCTGACTTATGCTACCTTTTGTCTCCATTTGCAGTTAGAAAGGGCATGGGCTGTCTTCAATTTAGGTGATGCAATCCAGCCTACAGGCAGACCTTTCTCCTTGCTTGAAATTTTCCCCTGTCAGTTCCCGTTGGTCCGTCTCCATGTGCTTACTTCTCTTCTACATCCCTCTCTTTGCAGCACATGGGAGGGTCCCAGCCCTTGGGGTCTGCACCCAACCCGCAGCCCTTCCTGGCAAAGCAGCCTGGAACATTGCCAGTGACTCAGGGGGTCCAGCAGCAGGTAAGGCAGATGAGATGAAGTTTTGCTATAGCCCTTTTGGGGAGAGCAACCACATCAGGTGGGAGCTACTTCCTGCCTGGTGGAACCAGTTCTCAGGTCTCATTGGCCACCTCACGCTTCTGGTCAGATGTACATACACTCCCCCTAATCTTCTTGCAGATGGGTAACCAACAGGTGAGCCCTGGCATGCCTCAGGTGGGGATTATGGAAGAACAACAACGTCAACAGGGGCTGGTGAGTTTTCATATGGAGGTTGAAGCCTATTCTACTTGTTGGGGTATAGCTTGTCCCATCCATCCTCCATTCCATACAGCCTAATCAACCCAATGGGCTTAAGTCCCCAGTCTGGAAGGGGGATGTAGGCTAAGAGGATTCATCTGTGCATTAACCCAACAATCTAATTTCCTATCTGAATGTATCACTTGTGTTGGGAGTATGATAACTCTTGCAGCGTACATGGGGTTTTGATTTTTTTTCAGTGTCACCCGTATTTCTTCCTGCTGTCAAATGCAGCTGCAACCCAGGTGGAGGGCAGTAAATATTCCTGGTTTCTTTAGCTGTAGATTCCTTTTGCTTAAAAAAAAATCTCCGAACCTTTCCTAGCTTCATCCAGGGCCTCCCAATACTCTTTCTATAATTGGGCCACTGCAGAAGGCTCTACAAATAATTGCATTCACATTGGAGAGCAGTCTGTGTTTTATGGGAGTATAGCACAGCTCACCTTTTGTGGGTTGATCCCTGCAGTGCTTTTGGCACCCCTTTTAATTTACAAGGAAACTGGGAAATGCTGAGCAAGCTCCACTGAGCTAGATGATTTCTTTTTTCCAGTTGCAGCTCCGAGTGCAGCAGCCTCAGCCAGCTGCCCCACCCACAAGCCAGCCTCCACAAGCCTCAGGTCCCCCTCAGGCTGGGCCACAGGCCACACAAGGGGGTGCCATGCTTAGGCCCCAAAATCCAGGCGCCAATCCTCAGCTCCGTAGTCTCCTCCTGAGCCAGCAAACGGTAAGCACAGTTTGCTTCCTTTCAGTTTCCCCAAGGAACTGATCTTTATTTGGAACTATGCTAGTGTTGACCATTGCTAAGAGAATCTTGTCTGCATGTGAGAAATTCTACAACTTAAGCACTGGGGGAGACATGATGCCCCTGATCCTCTCCTCCTGGAGATGTGCATTTCCCTTGAAAAGGAGTGGCCTCTTCTTCCTCAGTGGTGGGGAAGCTTTATGGAGACAGCAACTCCACCCATCAGCCCAAATGGTTTTATTCAGGGGGTGTTGAACCCCTTTTAGGCCCTGGACTGAATTTATGTTTGGGGTGGAAAAAAGGCCTTATTCCAGTTGTGGGTATGGCCAAAAGCAAAACAGGACAAGAGCCAGAATACCAAAAATAATAGCATATTTTAGCTTAGTGTAATTAAACCTTAAGTGAGGTGTTTCAGCATTCTAATGAATGCAGGGTGGGTTGGGGTAGCTGAGGATCATGCAGAAGCTGAGAAGCCACCAAGTAAGAGAAGGGGGTGGGGCTAGAGGAAGGGGGAGTGGCAGTCTGAGAAACCCAGATGGACCTGAGTTGGCCCCCATGTTGGCCTGTAGTTCTGTACCCCTGCTTTATTCTCTTGTAGTAGAATTCAATCCATTCCCATTCCCTTTCCTATCAAGGTTCTGCCAAGTCTTAATCAAGACATCTTGAGAACTCTAGTGTGATCCTCAGAGCCGTTGCGTACCAAGCTTTTAGCGTTCTTTAAAGTTATATTTTTAATGATGCTTTCTTCTCTCAGACCGAGGGGAAACTGGGATTCAAAGCCTTTGGGGAGCTGAGAGAAGTGCTGCAGTACTCTGATCATGTGGGTGGAAGGAATGGAGTTGTATTCTGTTGTTTGAGGGGTAGCTTGGCCATATTTAGCTACCTGGGCAGGGATTGGCACCTAGAAGGTAGACACCAGCTGGGTTGTAGCTTTTCAGTTGAATTATATCCTGACACTTGGGATGGTTAAAGGCCAGAAGCAACACTCCTTGTCTGGAAGCAGTGGACAGTTTGTATTGTCAGGTCTGCAGTGAGACTGAGAGGGTCAGAAAGGGGCAACCAAATGATTTGTTGGCAGCAGCAACTCCGCTGTGAGGGGAAAGGTTACAATATTCAGGGTTTTTTAATTTTGAAAGAAAGCTGCGGAAATAGGGAACTATATGCAGGGGGTGTATAAAATGATGCATGGTACAGAAAAATTATTTCCCCCTCTCATAATACTAGAATTCAGGGCCATCCAATGAAGGTGAACAATTCAGGAGAAAGAAAAGGAAATACTACTTCCTCTAGTAAACTATGGAATATATGACCACAAGTTGTAGGAATCCATGCACTTGAACTATTCTAGTTCTAAAACTGGAATAGTCCCATTACTGGAAGAGAAAGCTGTGAGTGACTGCTAGTCACGATGGCTATATAGACCTGAGGATCAAAAGCAGCAAGTCTCTGTGTTCCAGTTGTGGGCAACATGAACAGGAAGGTGCTGTTGCATTCATGTCCCCCTTGCTGGCTTCCTGTGGGCATCTGGCCAGTCTGGGGAAGAGGATGATGAAACAGAGACTTCCAGTCCGGTCCAACAGGGCTCTTTTTATGGAATGGCTTGCTTCTTTGACAGTCCCTCCCTCCTTGCACTGGATTCCCACATACTGTTCCCTCTTTCTCTCCTGTACAGCCCCAACCTGGAGTTCCTCAGTCCCAACAGCCTCTCCACCACCTCCAACAAGGTTCTCCAGGAATGTTACCACACCAGCCTATGGGACAGGCTATGGGCCATCAGCCTCCTGGACAGCAGCAGCTCCAGCTCCCTGGGCAGTCTCTCATGCATCAAGCGCCTGGACAGCAGTGGCCAGCCCAGATGGCACCACGGGCACCTTTGCAAGGTACAATGCGCATTGTTTATCTTAAAGAAGCACACACCCAGAAACAGCTACTTTGACCCCAGAAAAAGCTGCATCGGAAAGCTGAGGAATGATTTTCATTTTAAAACGAGGATGAGGGACATTTTTCCATCAAGAAGCAGGAGGGGAAAAAATGGGGCTTGGGATGCATGTACTAGCAATTAATTAATTAATTGTATTATAGGTTCTTGATATTTGCTGGAACAGAATCTTAATTGTTCCTGTAGAGGAGAGGAGGTGAAAGGATACAGTTAGTCTGTTTATCTGGGAAAATGAAAGATTGTTGACATTCTTTAAGGGAGTAGGTTAGGGGTGTCCAACTTCTTTCAGCCTAAGGGTCATATTAATTTCTAGAGCAGCTTGGCAGTTGGGGCACATTCCAGTGGTGAGCAAGGCCAAACACACAAAGAGTGGAACCAAAGTACCAAAATATATCAGCCTATTTAAGCCCTTCCTGCCAGGAACTAAGCCTTATAAGCATTTCAACTTTTTAGAATGGGGGGAAATATGCAAATCTCAGGAAAGCACCAAAGGCATGGCCATCAGGGGAGACCTGGGGGCAGTTGCATTTGGCCTGTGGGTCTGAGGCTCAACAATCCTGGCATAGTTGAAGAGTTCCTGGAAATTCCCAGGGGTCTGGGTGAAATTAACCACAAGGTCGCAATTAGTCCTTGAACTGGAAGTTTCCTGCCCCTGTTTTAAAAGTGTAATACCAGAAATGTACCTCATTTCTCCTGGTTATCTGTTTTCCTCCATCCCCTCTCTCACTAGGTCAGATGCTGATGAATGCTGGTCCCAGGGGGCCTGTATCTCAGCCAGGCCTGCAGCAGGTTCCAGCCCCCAGCATCATGGAGGACGACATCCTCAGGGACCTCATCTGATGACGGAGGAGAATCCAACTTCAGCCTCACCCAGGGCTGAGTTTGTTTCTGTATGGGGGAGTTCCTTCCCTTCTGGAGAACGTTACTATTCCTTTCTCTTGTGTATAATATCCTCACCTCCACCCCTCTTCCTTCACATCTGTTTTTTGCTGAGTTTCCTGCCTCATAAAAACTGCAAGCTACTCAGCCAGCTCCTCCACCCCTCTGCCACCATTTCAGAAGTTCCACTTGGCTCTGTTGCACCTGACACAAATGGGTAATGAACCCAGGAAACCTGAGCCATCGCCTCATCCCAACAATTTCCAAACTTGACCTTTCACAACATTCAGGAGGATGGAGAGCTGAGAATTTGGGGCTGCCACTGAATAAGGAGGCGGACTTCTGTGAGTTTGGTGAAGGATTTGTGACTCGGAATTCTTGCATTCTCAAATGGAGAAGTGAGCTTTGATGAGTTATGAGCTTTCGGATGGGGATGGGTAGGCGATCTAGCAAAGGGGACCTGCTTTGTTCTCCTTCACGGTTAAAAATCTCTCAAATCCTGTCCTGAACATGGCCTTTTAGGAGACTCTTTGCAAGTGTGCCCTCACCTCCTTTCCTCATTTCCCACGGCCTCCTGTCCCTCTGCACCCAGAGCCCCGAACAATTCTGCGAGTGTACCCTGGTTCATTTTCACCACCACACAGAACCTTGCAGTGCTTCAAGATTAGGGTTATACATTCAGTACAACCAAGCCAGTTTTCGGACTGTGTTGCTGGGTTTATATTTTTATCTGATACATGATCTGTGCTCTGTCAGAAAGGCAACATTTGGCCTATTAAAAGGGGAAAAGGACAAGTGGGATAGAGTAGGCAAGTGGGGCTGTAAGTCAGGACCCATGAGGTTTTTTATGTCCATTGACTGAAACCCCCCAAGAGATGTATATATTGTTGTTGGTCTTGGAGAACAAATATCATTAGTTACCCCACTTCTTATGAGGCAAGGACATGCTGGTTGCTGCAGGAGTTGGGCCCAGTGCTCTGGACAGTGCAGTCACTGGAGTCCATCTTACAGAGGTCACAGTGGCAGCTGAGAGCCACTGGGTACGTGAAGGATGGGTCAACGCCTGCTGGACATCCCCGCAAAAGCATGGTCTCGTAGCGGACATCCTTGTAGGTGCAGACCCTCTGGTTGAAGGATGAGAGGATAGTCTTCCACAACATCTCCTGAAAATAGTGAGGGGTTAGAAAGGGGTGCTGCACACGACCAGTCTCCCCTTGCTAATGTATGGGGAGGGTAGTGTCTGAAAGAGAGGCCTCCATTCTCCTGCTCCAGGGTGGCTGGCGCATTTGCACCAACTTCTTTTACAGGCCTGTTCTGGTGGGTATATTTGTCTTCCATTGTGTTGTGCATCTCTTGTCCTCATCCAGGTGCGCGCGCACATTCACATGGTGGGATTCCAAAGCCTGCTATATGGCCAGCACATCAATTTTTCAGAGAACAAGTGCGTGCTCTCCCTGTAAGCTGCAACTTGCCTGGGTCCTTAATAGGAGAAGATGATGGAGAACAGGGCTGTGGATGCCCTTCTGTATTTTGGGATACACTGTATGGTTCTTGTGTGCAGAAGCCTCAAACCAGATGTTTAAGGCGCTTCTGCCCCTGTGTACCTTGTCTCAGAATGGTTCTCAAGAACAAAGGGGGCGGGTGCTTTGGAGAAGTATAGGCACCTGCTTGGTGAGCTTTCCGACCCTTCTCACTCCCCACTGCCCACCAAGCAAGTCTATGCTAAGCATGTGGCGCATGGATTTTCAGTCCCGCTGTCAGTCTAAACTGGAAGCATGTGATTTTTAAAGGATCGCTTTCCTTCCTGCTCTCTCTTGTGTGGGATTTTTAAAGGATTTCTTCCCCCCACCCCCGCCACACACACACGCACGCACACACACACACACACACACACTCACTCACTCCCCCTCCCCTTCTTCCCCCTCCTCCCCCTCCTCCCATATGCACACACCCTTGTCTCACAGTAGCCGCTGCAGATAGAGGTGGTGATAGCCATGCAGACAGGGCAGTCCTCTTTCTCTGCTGCAATCGTGGCATTGACTGGGTGGCAGGCCAGGCTGCTACTGCTGCCACGTGGACCATTCCTGCGACTGGCACAGTGGGTGAGAGCCAAGAGTAGGCATGCTGCCAGCAGAAGATTCTTTCCCTGCAACGATTGACGAGAGAGGGCATTGAGGAATCTAGAAAGCAAGACCAGTGCGGGTTCCACCCGACATGTTGCTGTCGTCGTCGCCAGGCTGTGATTCGGGATGGGGTTCATGCCTGAATGCTCAGGCATAGATCAAATAGGGAGAGTCTAGGTGGCCATTTAAAGGAATTTCAGGAGAGGATGACCAATTTGCAGCATTCATTTAGATCTCTTGCAAGAATGCATTGATGCAGCTGTTTGATCTGACTGTTCCTCCTTTGCTCTCTCTAAAATTTGGCATCTGTCAGATTCTGTCATCTGTGATTCAGTAGGGGCTGAGCACAGCAAATTAACTGGTCCATTTTCTCATCTCCCCAGGGCGAGGACATGGTCAGGCTGCCTTGTGCCATCTGTTCCCGCCCCCACCACCAGATGCGTTGAACTCAACTCCCATAGTCACCATTGACTTTGCTGGTTGGGAGTTGCAGTCTGACACATTTGCGGGCAGCTAAGTTGGACAAGGCTGCCACGGGGGTCCTGGTCTCCTAGGGACTATTCCAGGTTCTGTCTGTCTAGCTTAAAAATTTAGCTCTTAGGAAAGGGGTACGGATGGTTTTCCAATTGCACAGTAAAAAAATCAGTGTTGAACCCTTTTCTGGTGTTTTGGCCAATGGGTGCAAAGTCATTGATATGGCTGAGAAACATTTGGGCACTCTGTTAACATTTCATTTATCCAAAATTATTACATAAATCTATGAGGTCCCCAATATAGCACAAGCAAACCTATCCTGGGTGGGGAGAGGAATGAGCAGCTTCTCCCAACTGTTTACGGGGAACTGAGTGCTCTTCCTTGAGACCTCATCCTCCCGTCTTTTCTGGCTGTGGATTTGCCCCATCTTGATATTAATGGAGAGGAAAACCACAAGTTAACTTACAAGTACCCCAGCTTTGCAGGGTTGCTAAAAATGGATGAGAGTGCAGAATGAATAAAGCTGATAACCTTTTCCTGTATCTTCTGGTTGGGGTATAGGACATGCAAGCTTCTGAGCTCTATCAGAGCTTTTTCAATTTTGTTAGCAGGCTCTGATCCATGTATCCCATGCATTCTTGGTGGGCAGTACCCCATCAAATTTAATAGGACTGACTTCTGAAGAAATATCTGTAGTGTTGCTGCTTACCTTCTGCCTGAAGCACCTAGAATAATAAAACAGATTTGAAAGGAACCCTGATCATCTAGTCTAAGCTCCTGCTGATTAAAGGAATCTCTCAAATAGTGCATCTCTGAAAGTCCAGCCCAGGTACTGCTTAAATGCCTCCAGCCAAGTGTCCATAGCAATCTCATTTTACTGTCAAACAGGTCTTACGGTTTGAAAGATTCTCCTAATGCTATAGTTGAAGTCTGCCTCCTTGCAATCTGACTTCTAAACCAATCTCACACATTCAAAGAAATAAAACAGCATCCACTGACTTGCAATCGCAGTGGCTCACACTGTCCTCAGGGCATTCATTACCTTCATGAGAGCATGCAGGAACCACACGTATGTTCTGCTCATGCAACTGCTCTTTCATTTGCACTTACCTGTATCAACTTCATCGTGTCTCCTTAGCCAGCCTGGATTGGAGTATTTCTCTCCTACCTTCCGTCATCTTTTATATGACTTCCCCCCGCCCATCATTCAACTGACAGGAGATTCAAGGACAAGCAAAAAAAGGATGTATCTGGTTGCCAACCAGGCTGCCAACCCGAGGTCAAGGGATGCTAAAAAAACATGCACAGCTCTCCCTGGAAGCCTTGTCTTCCACTGAATCTTGAATGGCCGTGGTGGCGCCACATTTGGATTTCACCCTTCCTGCAAGGCAAAGGTGCAGAAACACTTTTAGCCTGAAATCCCAGTTCCATTTTGCAGATAGGTTCAATGCCAGCATTTGGTAGGCAGGGCTGAAGAGAAAAAGCCAAAAAATGCCACAATAGCTGAAAACGACAGCTCTACAAAAGGCATTTCAACCTTTTTAGAACAAGAAAATACTGTACAAAAGCTGGGAAGCTGCCAAATGATTGATGTTCAGGTAAAGGAAGGTATGGACAGGGGAAATGGGCATAGTCCACTGAGGAACCCTCAAGGGCCATTTTATTATCACAACAGCCCCTTGGGGTAGATTTGACTGACAAGGCAGTGACCCAAGCGTGCCTAATGAGCTTCGCAGCTGAACAAGGAATTTAACCTAGTCTTCCCAGCCTACTAGCAGCAAGCTCTCTGCTAGACTATGCTGCCCTTTCTATGCAAAAATCCCAAATCCCTTTGCTCTCCTATCTTGGTGGTAAGTGATCAGGGCTTTTCTGGCAAAAGCCCACCTCAGAAAACACTGCATTTAGCTTGAAAACTGGCTCATGTGACTCATTTGACTCTGCATGGTAGTTTGCCACTTTTTTTCAGTCACTGAGTGTAGTGTAGTGACAAGAACACAGCCCTGGTGGAAGTCCAGCAGCTGGAAATGAGCCCCCAGGTTGACCAGAATTGCTAGCTCCTGTTTTGCGGGGTTGCAGCAGGATTTTGATTTGGTCAGTTCTAGGGATTAGGGGTTCTTGGGAAGAACATTTGGAACGGTTATTTATTTCATTTCTATTCCACTCATAGCTGATGCACTCGGGCCATTTACAACAAAGTATAAAAACAATAATGTAAATAGAGGAAACACATTAAGAATTAACTTAAAATAACATAAAGGAATGTAAATAAGTTACAAGACTCGGTCAAGAGTCAAAGAAAAAGACCTGACTAGTTATACCGGGCTTCTGAATGATCAGGGAGGTCTTTAAAGATCTCCTCAAAGGGGGCTGTCATGACCCCCAAAAGATGGCAAATCTGGTGCCTGGCAGGCTCAGCAGGGAGGTTGTTGCAAAAATGGAGGGCGGGGGCTTACGGTCAGGGTGCTTAAGAGGGTCAGAGGGTTAGAATGTGAATGCTAGAATGTACAGGTTCTCTGATAGAAAGTTTGGTACTGTTTATTCTTCTAAGGAGGTGCTAGGTATGGTGACGGGGCGGGAATCAAGTCATGTTAGAGCAAGCGAAGTGCTGGGATCCCACAATCCTGCCCTAGCACAATAGAGATAGGTATGGGTAGTTCAAGGGAAATAGGCTTTCCTTCACCTCCATGATGTTATAGGCTGGGGGACAGGATGTGGCTGCCTGCACTGGCAAGGGAAACGTGCTTTGCATGTGCTCATACAGATTCTCATCTTCCTTGTTGATGAAGCGCTCAAGGACTCAGCTGGCTTAAAGCATACTTATGCCTGAGCCACGGATCAAATTAAATGGAGAGCTGGGGGACAATGTTTCTTCTGAGTTTCCCCACCTTGCAGTAGCAACAAATGAAACCAGCTAGAGATTTTCCATAGGCTGTTGAGTAGCCAGATTTTGTTCAAGGCCACTGGCTGAGCACTGCATCAGGTGTGTTGCTAGGTGAGAAATCCCTGCCTGCTTTTGTCCCATCCTGCTGAGGGTGCTGTCCCTGACATCAATCCCAGCTTTGGAAACTTAAAAGGGCATTGTGTGGCTTGCACTGAAAAACAAGCTAGTGATGAGTTGACCAGCAGAAGGCTTCATAGAGGGAAGGTGCATTGTTGAGTTGGCTTTATTCTGGCTCCTCTGATCAGGCTTTTTTCTAATTCATCTCCTTCCCTACCTCATCTTTGCCCTTGGCTGGGTTTTGAGAGCAAATCCTGCAACATTTCACAGTGGAAAATGGGGATGAGTATCAGTCCTTCTTCAAGGATCAAGTTTCAAGCCTTAGCACCCTCTCCTATTGCACTTAAGAGCTCTGCTTAGGAGCAGCAATGAATCTTCAGGGTATTTTCCAGCCCTACCTCAAAATGCTGGGGGTTGAACCCAGGTCCTTCTGCATGCAACTTATATTGCCCCACCGCTGAGCTGTGGCTTTGCCTTGATACCCAGTTCATTTATTCTGCAATGGTCCTGCCTTCCATGGATCCAATAACCAAGAATGGTTTTCTTTTGGTTAAAGACTTGCTAGAAACTAAGCCCATAATGTTTTACAGCATGAAACAGGCAGCATAATGCCTTAATTTTCATGCACCTAGATTAATGTGTAATTGTAGATATGCTAGAAGGATAATGCATCCACCTACTCCAAGAAGGAACTTTTTGGGAAGGAACCAAATCTGAAACACAGGCCAGCCTTTCCTCCCATACTCTGGTCACTCCCCTTATCCGCATCCCCATTTTATTGGCTCCTCAGTTATTTCCTGCTGAGCAATTATAATTCTATTCTGGTAACAGTTTCTTGTGAATCCTCCAAGACATTGGCATTCTCAGGAATGAATTGGCTTTTCAGAACAGAAATCACTTTCCTTTCCACCACAATGTGGGATTGTTTAGGATGATGCTTGAGAAGTAGCTGTCAGAAACTTGCTACAATCTGAGTGGAACAGTGTGTGTGTGTACCTGTACTAAATTATTGAGAAGAAAATTTGTGTTCTGCTGTTTTTGGTTTTTTAACAAACTCACAAGGCAGTTCACGCAATAGACTTTTAAAATGTGGGCAACACATGCTAAAAGGTTAACAAAATATACATCATGGATAGGCAGCCTGGAGCCCTCCAGATGTTTTGGACTAGAATTCCCACAATCCCTTTCCATCAGCCATGCTGCATGGGGTTTATGTAGGTCATAGCCTAAAACATCTGGAAGACATGAGGTTGCTATCACAAAAGATGGGGACAGCAGCTAGAATTTCATTTTTTAAAGCCAGGGAACATGAAATATAGGCAATCTGAAAGGATCACATGTTTACTGAAATAGACATGCCTTGGCAAGGTGGTGAGAAACCCTGAAGGAGAGGGTCGGAAGGGACCCCTCATGGGCTGTATTTGCCCCACAGGCCTGAGTGCAACACCTCTGTTCTAGCTGTTGTATTTTGGAACAGCTGAATTTTCCAAATACTGTTCAAAGGCAGGTCCAATTTCAGTGTAAGTTACTAATGCATCATTTTAACTATTGAAATGTGTTGTTTTTGCATCTGGATTCCCCACCCGTTTTCTTTCCGAACTTTCTTAAAGAACCTAAACAATGCCAAAATTGTGTTGGTGCTCTTGGAGATGTCCCATCTGAGGTCCGGTTGCAACCTACCACTTGAAGATCAGAATCCAGGCATAGCACCTGTGCTGCCTGTGTTGAGTCAGCTTTCACATGCTGGAACTATCTGGCATGTGGGCTACAGTCTAGAGGGCTGACAGCAATGATATCTTTGTGGCATTGCCAAGAACACAGTCCTGCTGAGGAGTTCCCTATGCCCCATGGGCTGGCCAACTGAAGAGCACAGCAGCTAGCTCTGACTGTCCTTTGAGTTTCCCACAATGCTTCTGGCCTAGCTTTGTTTGGATGTAACTATGGCAAATTTGAAGTGTTGGCCTGTCCCAGGTGCTCAGAACCGTTCTGAGCAGCTGCTACCGCAGCTCAGTAAGCAGGGTCCAGAAGGTGCATGGATTGGGTTTTATGTTTGAGTATTTTATATGATGTTTCATTGTGTTGTTGGTTTTAATGAGTGAACCGTCCAGGGAACTGTGGCAAATGTGTGTGGGTGGCCAGGGGAAGGGGGAGCAGCTGTACCAGGCAAGATTGACAAAGGTTTAATAATATTGGTTTTCCAATAGATTTTTTTTTGAAAGACAATGCCAGTGCTAGGTGGGAGGAAATCATAGATGAAAAGGACGTAAGAACAGTCTATTAAATGACTCAGGGTCACTCATTTCCAATAGGTAGAGGAGACAGTAATTTATCAGCTATGAAGCTTAAAGCATAGCCTTGGGCAAATTCTGCACGCGCTCTCTCTCTCTCAGCCTAACTGATCTCCAGGATTATTATGAGGGTAAAATGAAAAAAAAAATAATAAGAATTCTACAGATGCTGCCCTGATCTCTTTAGAAAGAAGGATGGGTTGCAGATAATGAGAAATAAATTGGTACTAAGATTAATGTGAATGAAAGCCCCCACCCTTTTGTGGCCTTGGTCACGTCTAAAGGGCTGCTCAAGACCATTTCTTGCTTGACATGCAGAAGGAAATGGTACCCTTTATCCTGTCCCAAGGCCAGGTTCATAGTAACCAAGGGTGGCCTAGTTACTTTGGCACCTAAGGCAGAAAATTCCAAAAGCACCTCAGCCTCTGCAACCTGGCAGTAAAACTTGTGGGAGGTGGGGGGAGCTACCATTTCAGAACACCCCGAAATGGGTTCTCTTACTCTGCTTAATGATAGGGCCAACTCTGAGTCCCCAATATCATTCTAAGGTTTAAGTGAAAACCTTAAGCATCCTTTTGATTTTGTTTTGTTGGGCAACCAATTCTTTTGTTGTAGCCAGTGGTCACTTCCTGGCTTCCATATAAGAGGTGCACATTTACTCCTCACGGCTTTAGTAGAACAAGCATGAAGTGTCTGAAGCTGTGAGGAAGAGTTACGACTTTGCATGCAGAGGTTCCCAGGTTCCATCCCTGGCATCTCCAGCTAGCCTGGAAAACCTGCCTGAAACCCTAGAGATTGAGTGGCTACTAGTCAGTGTCAGCAGTCCTGGGCTGGATGGG